CTATCTTTCTATCCGGGAGCGGCTTTCCCCCCGGCCCACAAGCCTGCCTTGGATTCAGTTGGAATGTTAATCCAATCCTATTGCGGTTGCTTTGTAGTGCGTGTGTGTTCCAGGCGGAGGATGTGTTGATTTTTAGCAAAACAAAGAACCCAAAGAGAGGCCTCCTCCAGTCCTGACCGACATCGTCGGAAGCTCCTTTTGCTAATAAAATAGTCCTATGCGTCTCTCTGTCTCTCCGTCTCTCCGTCTCTCCGTCTGTCTGTGGGTTTGTTTGTTTGCTTTTTAGACATCACAACACCGAAAAAGGGTTCTTCTGATGATGCTGCCTGCTGCTTCTTTATCCTGCGGTGGCTCTTCTTCTGCTTTCGTGTGGCCGCATTAAAATTCAAAATACGTTCGCCAAAAGGCAAAAGCCAATTTCAACCTTCGCTGCCTGACAAAATTCATTTGGCAATCGACAGTGGCGCGGAAGCAGGTCCAGTGCCATTCCCCCTTGGCGGATAACCCGGAGTTCGCCCTGGACTTCGCCCTGGACTTCGCCTCCAACGGAGGAGCCTCATGCATAGGCAACAAGCGCGCCGCGCCTCTGCTTCCTTTTTATTCCGGCTCGCCCGCCTCAGCCTTAGTTTTGTGTTCCTTCGCTGTCCTTTCGATTCGTTTGCAGTCCACCAAATTGTTTGGTTCGTTTAGTTCTGCTCTCTCCCTCTCTCTCTCTCTGTCTCTGCATATGGGGCTGTGTGTGTGTGATTTGGTTAGTCAGCTGACAGCCGTAAGCTAAGAATTGCACGCACCAGCAACAGCACCATGTGTGTGGCACCACATGAAGGGGAGTTACAGTTAGTGCCACAGCTTGTGACCACAATGTGCTCCGCCCCCAATGGGGGGTCATTTTCGGATAACCTGGGTCATGGTTATGCGTATTCCGAGCCAGGTGCAACCTCAATGGCACTGTTACAGGGTATCCGTGCGTCGTTTCTCATTCCATAAACAGCATGTCTGCCTGCGCTTGTGTGCGTCTTATCTGACATTTACGCACTGCAAAAAAAAAAACAAAGCACAAACAAAAATGGACGAATAAAAAGTTGGCTATGCTTCATGAAGTTTTGCCATCAATATTCCGCTTTCCCTGTACCCTGCCCCCCGCGGCATACATTTGTGCGTTGATTGTGTGGGTCGCGCGCTGTCCAGTATGTCTGTGTGTGTGGGTGTGTGCGTGTGGGTGTGTGCGTGTGGGTGTGGGTGTGTTATGAACACGTTGTGGCTATAAATTTTGTCATGCTGCGTTAGGTGAGCCCTTGAACCTTATAAAAATTTATAAATGTCAGTAAACTGCTGAAGGTCATCGGGCAGACCTAAACATTCCCGTTCTTGTAGTTAGGAACTACAAAAAAAAAAAAAATGGTGGGGGGACGAAAGGAAAGCCTCTAACTAAATGGTCCGATGATGGTCAGTCGTCCCCCACCACCGAATCGAAACGGCTTTGTTTTCCTCGACTCCTCATGAAGCCATAAATAGGTTCATATATGGGGCATTCATCAGAAGAACTGAATCGTTTGGAAATTATATCTGTGCATAGCAATTTCGTTTAAGCGGAAAATGTAGATATATTTAGAATATGCAGTAATACAGCTTCCCGAAGAAACCTTCGTGAAAAGAAATAAAACCCTCTTGCTTCGATCTCTGGCCCTATCATATTGATGTCGGTTCTAATATTCCACATTCAACATCTTTAAAATGTAATATAAGCAAGAATGCAAAACCTTTTTGGCTTTGAAAGATCAAAAACTGAATAACTTGGCAAGAAACTATCCACTTCATCTCATTTACGTTAGTCATGGCGAAAATCGAGCAATTTCTATGCAAAAGTGACCAGAGGATATTCAATTTCAAGTGGACTCCAAGCCCCAGCCCAAGTCACAATCCGCCGTTCCGCATTGGACCCTTTGCCAGGACTAAGCTAGTTAGGAGCCATTTCAAAAACTATAAATATGGAAATACTCACTTTGGAGTACCGCAATGGATGGAAAAAAATAGCCAACGACGACAGGAAAAACAAGTAACAACGCTATGGTTCATATTGGGGCTAGAGGATACCCTAAGCTCGATACCCAGCTAAATAGCATATGGCAATCTGAGATTAATTACACGACAGCATGATCAATTCTGGATAGTTTTTGCAGATGCTTAAATCCAAGTTCTGTATGTTTTAATCTTTCGATACAATTGATAGGTATCTCAATACGCCAGAGTATGATCAGCCAAAGTTTCTCAGAAACATAGGCACATTATTGTTAGCTTTATCTAATAAACACCGAAGATTCTGGTACTTATATTCATCAAGAATACTTCTACATCAAACATATAAAGAGATATATTTTTTTTTTAGCTCAGAAACGGATAGATTTCTCACTACGAATTCAATATACCCTGGCATTCGGCAAGCAACGGGTATAAAACGGATGTAAGCCCAGTAAGGAGACGAGACAGAAACGGGGATAAAGGACACGGCGCAGCAGCCGCATCACGTCACTCAAATGCGCAAACACAAAGAATCGCACCCGGGACGAGGTCGGGCTTGGGCTTGGGCTTGGGCTTGGGCTTGGGTTGGCTCAGTGTTCCGTGGGGTGGCGGGGCTTGGCTTGGCTTGACTTGGCTTGGCTTCGCGTGGAGCATCAAGACTGATGGCAATGAGGACGAATGGGCAGGGACTGCGGATGAGCTTCCACTTGCACTGGCAGACACAAGCACAGACAATGGTGGAACATACATAATATACATAATGCGCCGGCTCGCTGTCCTTGACGGACGCTTAACTCTAAGCGGACACCAAGCCCCAACAGCTGTTTGCATTTTCCTATAGCTATGCATGTGTTTTCGAGACTCTGCAAGGAAGGTTTTCAATTGTTATGGGTACTTCTGCAATAATCAAACAATTGCCCATCTACATATTTAAGTAAGTACTACATATATGGGATATACATATATATTAATATATATATATATATTAAAATAACAGCCAAAAATTCATTAAATAATTTTGTTGGTATGTTTAAGTATAGGAATTTATAGAAGTTTAAATATATTGGACATATTATATATATTCGACAATTTACAAAAAGTGTTGCCTTCAAGAACTATTTGAAAAGCTTCGAAAAATGGAGAAATTATCAGACAAATAAAATAATTAGCTATTATATGTATATTGTTTTCAAATCAGACTATCAGTTTTCGAAAATTTGTCTGTCAAAAGCTTTCGTTTTGTAACCTTTTCTTAGCCCCTATGAGGGGTATACTCTTCGCATAAACGTTTTCTTTGGCACTGGAGAGCCGAACAATATCCGTTACATGCTGTTTTTGTGCCAAAAAATGTCAGAAGCCTTCGGTCAGTGAGGAGGACCCCACACTCACATATTGGCTGCTCCACCTCCACCTCCACGTCTCTCTGTCTCCCTCTCTCTCTCTCTCTCTCACTGAGGGCTTTACTTATTACAAATGGCCGGCCAGCTCCACTCTCTTCTTGCTGTTCCGCCTACAACAGCTTCTGCAATTTCTGTGCGCTTTATTTGAGTTCTGTTTCACATCGTTAAAGATGTGAAACCGCCTGCTAAAGCTCGCTCAAGTGAAAAATTTGAAAACGTCCAGTAAAGTGAAATGAAATGAAATGCGAGAAAGTGCAAAAACATACATACACACGCACACACACAGCCTCCAACAGAGGCAGAGACAAGGCCAGAGGCCAGAGCATTGTGGGCGGCGGCCAGAGAGGAGGAATCTGAGTCGGTGGAGTGGCAGAGACCCATAAACGAAACGGCGGAAGCTCACGTACGGCATATTAAATAAATTGGCAGGGCTATGTGATGCGGTAAGACGGCAGTCTCTCCCTCTCTCGCTCTCTTTAGCTCTGCCTGCGGCTGGACATTGCCCAAGCAGCACACGCAGACCCCGCCCCACATCCGATGCCCCACCACTTCCGATAAAGTTCTGTGAAGCGGAGTGATTAGGCCAAGCTGGAGTCATTAGAGTCCGGCCCCCAGTTGATCACTTGAACTGGCTAAGAGCGCCAGAGGCTTAAGCGAGCTAAGCTCAAAAGTAGCTGAACATCCCACCAAATGAACATTATCGAATTTTTGCCATACTTTCCAACGTGACTCTAAGGGCTCTAAGGTACGGAAATTCTTTCAGGGCAGGTCAATTGTCACCAGCCGCACACATACAATATGCATTAAACGCCTAAGCTAGTTTATGTTGGCTGTCTGTATCACATTTGACTTACATTTCAATCTCACAGAACAATGCAGAAGGCATCACAAAATCTGCAGCGACCATAAGACATTCAAAGGTACGTACCACTCAGCGGCTCAGCGATAACTTTTCCTGAAACTGTATTGACTTTGTTGATCAATCCACGAAAGAGTATTGTTTTGCGCTATGGATTGAAAGGAATGGAAATATTCAACAACCAGAGGAAACACCGATTGCAATGGAACTTACTTTAAATGATCTCGTTGCACTGAGTGTAGAAATGCCATGGGCCTAAACGCACTCCAGGGTATAAGGCCATTTTGGATGTGACAAAGACTGTCGCAGCGGAGGACTCGCTGGTGGCCGCCTCGCTGCATTCCAATTGATAGGAAGAGTAATTTGATTCGTTCTCGCTCGCAAAGTCTTGGTCTTACCTGTGTTCTCTCGCTAATCTTACTCGTCCGGCGAAAGACCTCGCGACTTGTTCGCATCTGAAATAGGTTCAAAATTATTTACTTCGCGGTAATTTAATAATTAATTTTTGCGCAAAACACAGCTGACCGAACAGTGTAGCCGTTCACTGAAACATATTACTGAATGTTGATGGGTCACACTGTGCCGCTGTCATAACTAATAAGTACAAACTTTGCAGAATATTTCGTCGCTCTGGACAAAGGTGAAGAGTCTTAAATAATTGCAGCTCGTTAATTTTCATATACAATTATATCACAGCGAATACCAAAATTTTGCGTCACACTGCCGGCCGCAACATCGAACTATCGACAGCACCAGCAATAACAGACAAGTAAAAAGTAAATCTTTAGATATAATTACATAAGTATATATCTTTTAGTAGATTGAGAAATAGGAATGGAAGTCTATAGTCTATAGCTATACATACGCCAACAGATCAATCTGTGCCACACCGTTTATGAGAAAAGGCGGTAGTCTGATTTCTCTCGCTATCGCTTTTCATTCTCGTTCTCCAATGAAAGATGGCCAAAAATAGTGCCAGTTCGCACTCGTCAAGCAAGAATCCGCAACTGCTCTTTTCGAGCATCTTTGTTCATCTAAAATTAAAAACTAAATCAGTCCTCCTCCAGAGGTAAAACAGAAGCCGTCTATTCTACAATACAACAAATGTTCGATGGTCACACTTTCAGAATATTTAAACATTTTCGTATCAGAATGTTTTTTCAATCCGAGCTTGAGCGTGTGCTCACAGCAGCCTAACATCACTTGTAGCGATAGATGTTAGCAATCGATAGGTTTTAGCAATCGCGGTACCACGTTTCTGCTTTTACCAGCACTTGGATTTCAGCTTTTGGTATATACATCTTTAATTCTTTAAAATGGACTCATACATTCTTATTCGGGAGCAAGCCATTGCCAAAAAACAAAAAGAAGGTGGCCAAGAGTTGGTGGCAGATATGAGCAAGAACTTGGATAGTCTGCCATTGGCACAGGTAAGCCAATGGTTCAGTATTCATTGGATTATTTGAGGTACATATTTGTGTTTTTAAACAAAGGAGCAAAGCTCATTGCCATCTTTCCTTCATCATTCCTTACCTGATGGGAGCAAATCGGACAAATTGCACGAGGCTGCCAAGAAATTCGAAGAAGCCCTTAAGGAGAACATTACTGTTGACAATTACATAAAGCGTAAGCCAGCCCCGCAATGTTTTCAATGTCGATTTGGAGTTCCCAAATACATATTTTGTCTAATTCAATTTCCAATGCAAAATTTCAGCTATGTATTCTTCGCTCATAGAGCGCGCTAACCGGACCTCAAAAATAGAAAGTGCCACACCGTTGCGTAACACTCTGATTAAATCTGTTGTCTTCGAAGTCAAAGGCAACGATCTTCTCGCACAGAAGGTAGGTGCTAAATCAATTTATATACTCCGGAATATCCAAGTATGTTACATTTACAGCTTCAGTTGACGGGCGCAGAGATACCATCGATCACATTGTGTCCTGCTAAGATGTTGGAAATGTTCGAAATCTTATCCCCTGAGTAGTTTATGTAAACAATCAATATTTCCTTATTTCAAACACAAGCCGTTCAATCTATTAAAGGATTGGATAGTAACGAATCAGAATCTATATACATACCAGCAGGCTCTACCAAACTTCGATGTGGCCCATTGTAGATTCGTTAATGACAGCTGAAGAATAAAAGAAACCATACGTTTAATTAGTCAATACTTCTTCTGCGTAGATTTACAGGCTATCTGGGTTGTCAACACGGGAACTCGCAGTATTCTGTTCTCGTTCCCACCATCTTCAGTGTATCGTCTCCCTGCCTCCACTGATCGATCTCCTGGTCACTAAGGAAGTCAAGTACGAGACAGCAGCCTCAGCTTCAGTGGTGGTCTCGGCATAAAACTCGGCAGGGGCGACATACGACACGCTGTTGTAAGTGGCGGCCGAGTAGGACTCGCTGTTTGGGAACTCCTCCAGAGCAGCCCAACCTTCATGCGGGTGAAATAGGATATAGAATCCATCAAATGAATACATATTAACAGTAAAATTATTTTTTTATGATTGCAGCTGTATAATTTTCAATAACTGCTATAGCAACGATAGCAACACTGCAAAGTGCATTAGGAGCAGATTACCGTGCACGCAGCAGTTCAACGAGAGGCGAGTGGCGTTACATATAGACCATAGAGAACACATACTGGTACTGTAGGGTTTATTTCTCGGGCAGAGTACATAATGTGAGCCGATTCTTGATATATGCACGGATATTTTTACATTTAACCAAAGGCTATACAATTCCATTTCGAAGATAAGAAAGGAGTGACACTGATGTCTACCGAATATGCAGGATGGCAGTCATGATGATATATCATCGTAAATAAAACAAACACCAGAAATTTTCTGTGTGGACTCTAAGGAAAATTCTGGAAATAAGAGCCAGGTAGAAATTAAATTTTAATCAATTCCGAACTGCCCAAAAAAGTACAGCGCACAGAGAAATCTATGTAAAAAAGGCCTTATCGCAAGGAGAAAGAGATAGAGGAACACCGCAAGCAGCAAGGATAGAAAAATATAGAATTAATTATTAGAAAATCTGTACAATTTTAAATTATAATATAATATTTAGTTGTTACAGCGAAGAACAGTCAGATGGGATCTTAATAACGCACCAAGAGCGGTTAAGATTCCATAGAGAAGGATTCCATACACGCTGAAGCGTGTTGAGAACGTGCTACCTTTTCCAGTTTCCAAGATATTGATGGTTTTCATATTTTTACACCTGATACCCCTATATATTAGATCTGTAACTAAAGTGGATATGTGTGTAACACCCAGTAGAAGCGTTCGTGACCCTATAAAGTATATATGTACATATGTGTATTCATAATCAGCATCAATAGCCAAGTCGATATAGCCATGTCCGCCTGTCCGTCCCGATAAGCTAGATCTCAGAGACTATAGGAGCTAAAGCAACCAAATCCAGAGTCCTGTGACATCACACTGTTACAAGTGTATTTCAAAATTTCACTCAGTCTCAGACAATCTGTGGCGTCCACAAAAACCGAAAACGCAGATTCATAGAGAATATCCAGCAGATTGCCACAACAGGATCGAATCATTATCATATCCAGAAGGGCAAGTGAAATTTCACGCACTTACTCATTCTCTCTCTCTCTCTCTCTCTCTCTCTCTCTCTCTCTCTCACATACACTCCTCGTGCAGTGTGCGTGATCTGACTGATGGACACGAGATAAAACGACTCAGGGTGGTGTGAGAATGGGGGTAAAATACAGATTTACAAAAAAAAGATATAAAGAAAAAGGGAAACAGGTAAAATCGAATTATAAAAAATCTCCCAAGCAGTTCAAACGATTTTTATAATCTTTTTTGGCGCGGCTAACAACGTAACTGCTCGTTTTTTAACATTGTTTCGTACGAATGTAACGTCGGAATGGAAACATGTGTATGTAGAAAATGTACTTCTGTCGTACTTATGCATCATCTTTTGTTTGGGTCTGATTTAATACTAGCAATGACACAATGTTGACGCCGGCCGAGGACAGGCAATTTAACTACGGCGACGACGACTACGGAGACGGAGATGGAGATGGAGGCGTCGCCACTGCAATCCGCGTCAAGGACATGGGCATGACAGCCGGATAGCCACCCCCCCACACCCCCACACCACTGTCAGTCTGTGTCCCATTAGGCATGGGTGGGGCTTTTGTCTTTGCTATCATTATCAACACCCCCCACCTGCCATGTGGCACTTTTTTTCGTTTTTTCGTTTTCTCTTTTTTTCTTCCTCCAGCTCTGGCTCCGTCCCACCTCCCTTCCCATCAGCTGGTGCCGCTGCTTCTGTCCGTTCTTCTAGCTTTTGTTCTGTTGCCGGCTTTGCTTTGCTTTTCGCCTTCGTTTCCACTCAGTTCAAGTGTTTTGATATTATGCTTTATGCCCTAGAGATGAACGCGGGCACGACTGTTACGGCACGGTCCAAAACTCGAACCCATTTCATGAAAAACCTTTTCATTATGGCCCTCTTTTTGTAACCTTGAAGATTTTGATAACAATCTTTGATTAAAAAAAGAGGAAACACCACCGACACCATATTTTATAAAACATCTATGTATGTACGTATGTACCCAGCTATTTACTCTTAAATAATACCCAAGAGCGCTCCAAGATTGCTCCAATAATGGGTCGTAACCGTTTTATTTCAAAAATATTCCATCCAAACTTTAATAATTGTGGCAACCGCTGTGACACGAGAACATACCCCATACGCATATCTACCGCAAACAACAGTATTTTTTTAGTTACACCATAAAAGTACCGTGTAAAAATGTTATGCTTGAACCGGAAATTCATCCGGCCTACTGCTTTAAGGTATTTTTACGGAGTTGACATACTTGATGGTCATACACTGAATCAATTTCTCAACTACTGTTGGAGACTATTATGCCCGATGGCTACCCTGTGGTGGGACAAACGTTTCTTGCCACGTCTTCATCATTAACATCTGCGCTGCATCCATGACAGTTGGCGTTCTTTTTAAAAATTAACACAAACGCCAGCCACGCCTCACGCCCGCACCGCACCGCACCGCACGGCCACGCCCCGCAAAGCCCCCGATTCGGACAAGGCAAGGCTAAGCAGCAGCGGGGCCCAAGACAACGAATAAAAATAAAAAGATGAACATGAAAATAAAACGAAATGTCATTTATCACTGTATAAAATTGTTTGCTAAATAACATGGAATGACCTGAATTAAAACGCAGAGCAGAGCAGAGCGAGGAGCTTTATGCCCATTATGGGATACATTTTTGGACCACAGTGCCATTGGGCCGTCCGCCCAAAAATTGTACCCCCTAAATTGAATTTGGAATTTGCACAGAAAGAAGAGATCATACGCGTATCATGCCTCTCTTTCGTAGCCCATGTGTGAGAGGGTAAGTTAAAGAAAGTGCTTCTAAAGCAGTCATCGGCACACCCTAGGAAACCGCACGGACTGAGGCCCAAAAACGATTTGACAGGTGCTTTAGATCTGCTCAAACGCACGCTTTGATTGTACACACCAGGCATACAAATAATTCAAAAATTTCTAGCATAAAGTCGGCCTTGAAGCTGCCCCAAAAGCAAACGTAGGGAAATTTTCCTGGAGTTTTCCTCAGTTTTAGTCTAAGTTTCGAACTGTTCACATCATTCGGCTGAACAAAATTTTGTTGCATAAAAAAACAAATTTTCCAAAAAAAAAAAAAATTGTATCTAAAATAATTTTTGTAACGAAAATTCTAGAAAGCTTTCGTGCAGCACAAAAATGTCAAACTTCTCATTCTGGAACGGACAACCTGTGAACGCACCCCTGTACCCCCAAGTTGGAGACCTGATGCAGCCGAACGCATCTTGCTACAGCGGTGGACAGTGGCCCGCTCCTGGCCAATCCCAGGCGGCTCCCATGCAGAGCCAGGGCCAGGCTGCCGTCCCTTCCCAGACCCCGTCGCTTCGAGGTACTACATTGAACCTTGGTGGTGGAGGAGGCATGCAGCCGCAGCCCCAGTCGCAGCAGCAGCAGTATCCCGGTATGGGAGGAGTTGCTATGACGGGACAGAGTCCCATGCCCATGCAGAGCATGATGGGCATGGGAGACTACAGCCACATGAGCTCCCCTCTTACCTGTCCGGTACCGAACAGCTTCTTTGCCCATACCCAAGCCCAGGGATCGTACGAGCCTTGCATCGAGAACGGCGAGGCCTTCTGTGCCTACAACGGGATGGATATGGGCATGACCTACGGCGGTGGAATGCAAGGACAGAGCGGCGGCAAAGGTGGCTTCTGGTAGACGCCCCTGGTAGATGCTGAACGATTGCAGTCACCAACAAATTGCAAAGTGATTCAAATAAAAAGCCATAACAAGAACCAGTAAATCCCCTCTTGTGTTTTTTTTAACAACATTCGTGTCCTCTCTAGCTGTTTCGATTGGTGGGGGAATGGGAATTGGGGAGAGAGCCATAGCAGCTTGATTTATATAATTCCAGGTTATTGATAATATTTTTCCTATATATTGTCCAATCTTGACAATAATCTCCAACACTCGGTTGGCTCTAAGCGAGTGTGTTGGCAGTTGACAGTTATCCAAATTAATTCTATGGAAATTATTTGAACAAATTATAAGACATATAATATGTGCCTAATATGTATATAATATTTAAATATAATAGGTTGGTCAGTCATGCGCCCTCGTACAACTATACATATTCATATTCATTCATAAGATCAGCCAGAACAGAATGACAATCGTAGGGAAGCTCAGCAAATTTCAAGTCTTAATCAGCAGCCTCGGCACGTTTCCCCAAGTAGGGGGCGTGACTAATTGCCCAGAGCCGGGAGTTGGCAGGTTCTCATCGACCAGACACGCTTGACTAGACCCAGACCTGCCCGTCGTAATTATAACTTAGAATCGCAACAGGGTAGAACCCGTTTAGACAGAGACACACGCAAACTCAGTCTGAGAGGGTTATAAAAGGAATCGCATCTACCAATCGATCAGATCAGATCGCGCATCTAGTCGCAACCGGGAACAACATGGATCGTTGGCAAAATCGCGTTGCCGTCGTAACGGGTGCCAGTTCGGGCATCGGATCGGCCATTGCTGTGGACCTGGTCAAGGCAGGACTCACAGTCGTTGGTTTGGCGCGTCGCGTTGAACGCGTCAAGGAGCTGCAGCAGCGCCTGCCCGCAGCCCGAAAGGACAAACTGGTAGCCCTGCACTGCGATGTGGGCAACGAGAGCTCGGTGAACGAGGCCTTCGACTGGATAATCCAGAAGTTCGGCGCTATCGACATCCTCGTGAACAATGCCGGCACTCTGCAGTCGGGCCAATTGGTGGATATGAATCCGGCGTTTATTCAGCAGGTTATCCAGACGAATATCATGGGCGTTGTCCTGTGCACACAGCGCGCTGTCCGCTCGATGCGGGAACGCAAATTCGATGGCCATGTGGTGATCATCAACAGCATCTTGGGGCACAAGACCATGTCCGCCGTGGAGGGCGTCGTGCCCGATCTGAATATCTATCCGCCCAGCAAGCATGCGGTGACTGCCTTGACAGAGGGATATCGGCAGGAGTTCATGGCCCTGGGAACACGCATCAAAATTACTGTGGGTCCACTTCCTTATCATCCATTTCCTCCTCTACAGCTCATTTGTTCTCCTCTCCCCTCTCCCTCTAATAGAGCATCAGTCCTGGTGTGGTGGACACGGAGATACTACCGGATAGCATAAGGAATGTCACCGGACGCATGCTTCATTCAGAGGACATTTCCCAGGCGGTCCTCTATGCCGTTGCCACGCCCCCCCATGTCCAAGTACACGAGATAATCATAAAACCTATGGGAGAGAAAATGTAGACAATTTTGTATTGTTAAAATCTTTTTTTTTTCAAATTTTTTAGGCGGTTTTTAGATATTTTGTGTATTATTTTACATATTCGTGGAAGTTTTTCTCTCTTTTCTGCAGAATAAATAAAAAAAAATGTTTTCCTAGCACCAAATTGATTGTCGGAATAACACGGAATCGGATTTTTGTTACCCCATGGGTAAAATACTTACATCAACATCAACAGCATAATCGATCTCCGTCCGTCCGACTGTTTGTCTTTCAAATTATTCCCAAACTTTAAAGGTCTCTTGGAACGATCAGTCCGTGGGGGCATCAAAAGCATTGGTAATTTATTATTTATTTTGGGAATTCCATTTAATTGTATGTGTATTTATTTCTGGTCAGAAACAAATCAATCAAACAAATGGACAAAACTTGTTTGATAACAAAAATCGATAAAGCAAGTTTTTCGTGTTAAAGCATACATTCCTTCTGGCAGGGATTTCTTATACGGAAATTATACTTGTTCTTTTTTGGTGCGGTTATCTTTGAATTGAAATCAATTGAAGCTGCAGTTTCATTGAGGGAGAGTTCATTGAGGGAGAGTGTTGATGCAGCTTTAATAGACACGACCAAGGATGTATGTACATATGTCCATATATATGTATATCTAGTGCGGATGTGTCTTTGTCCTTGAAGCTGTGTCTTGTCTTTGTGTTGCCTCGGTCTGCTCTTGCTCGTACTACTTGCTTCTGTTCTATCGCATTTGTCTAACAAATTGAGTTTCCGGACGGACAGACAGGGACTCGGACTTGGAAAAAGCTCAAATAAAATCAAATGTGGTGCCAGGAGCCAGCCAGCCAGCCAGCCAGCCTCAAAGGATGGCAGCACAGAAGAACAGCAGGACACACTAATGATTTGGTTTTCTTGTGCTTGGACTGTATAAAGTTATTGCCAGCAGTGTTCTCCCCCAAATGCACATGACACTCTTTGACCACAGACAGAATTTCATTTATCTATTCTCAAGACACCCGCACCAGCACCCGCACCCGCACCCCTCCCTCGCTCGCTCGCTCGCTAGCCTTTTCTGTGTAAAATTTCAATTGTTTCTTTGCTGCTTGTCCGAGAGAGCCATTTGCCCGTTGGCCGACAAAAATTGTCAATTAAAGCCATTAAGGCCAACGGCAATTAGTTGGCTGCCCATTATGTGGAAACTCATTCCGGATGCCCGTACTCGTATTTGTATTCTACGAGTATTTTCATTTTTACTTCACTTAAAACCGAAACTATCTGAATGGCATCTGCAAAGATCTTGGGGAAGAACCCACATTTCTCTTTGCCTTAAAAAGAGAAGAATGAAAGAAAAGGAAGTCGCTGTGGAGTTGGGGTATCCCAGTATGGTTTGGGTTTCTCTGAAGGTATGAGCGAAAGAATTTACGAATAGAATACAGAAAACCAACAAATTTAAGTGGGGTTTTTTATATTTTTTGAAAACAATAGGGTATTGACTTGAATAAATATATTTCGATTATATCCATCAGTTCAATTTGAATTAAGGTTTTTGATATTACAATTTATTGCCAGGCTTACAGATACGCTAAGCCATCCGATGGATCCATGGCTGCTTTATTTTTTTTGTTCTGGATTCATTTTAACTTTTGGTTTTTCTTTCGCCATTTGAGATTGATAAATTCCATTTTTATATTTTGTTCTCCCTTGCCATCTTTCTGTGTCGTTATTTGTTTCCGCTTGTTTGCTTTTTCCTTTTTTATTTGTCTATTCGGTTCCACATCAGAAAGTTGTTTTGACGGCACCCGCAAGGCCGCAAGCTGTCAAAAGTTTTACACTCGCTCCCCACTTCCTTCCACAGACCAGATCCCACTCATAGAGATTCCATTTACACAACCCATCAAATGCCAATTCCAATTAGGCTGTCATTATAGAAATGAAACTGGGTACGGAAAAACTTGTTCGTGTGTGGCAAAATCTGGCTGGAGCTTGCATTAGAATATTACTATAATGTCTTGTGATATTCTCGCCTTTATGTTGTTTATTAGCCGCAAATTGTTGATTAATTTGTTAACAAACTGATTGAATAATGGGAATAGCATGAGTTCTTTGAGGCCAAAGTAAAAAAACTCTAGTCATCAAATCTTCTAGGTTCATAAATAATTCATGAATGTGGCTCTTCTTGTTCCAGTACTTTTCCGGTTTTTATGGATATTTATTATTTATTTTTCGCTCTCTGTCCTGCTGCTGCGGAAAATTAATGCAAATTCAATTAGTTCGATTAATTTCCAAAAGAGAAACCATCTGAATTCTCGGGGATACCTAATTAATATTAGATTTGTGTCCGACAGAACTGGCGGCAACGAAAAAGAATCTTAATTACATTGCATGAAATTTGATTTGCTGTAACATAAATACATATTTTTACCATTTTTCTGCTGCGGCTGTCTGTGTGCGCATAAACTATTTTCCAATTAAATTCATTGTCTATCAAAATCAAAGCATGAAAAAAGCCTAATTTAATTTCCATAAAAAATGCAAATCAAATTAAATGAACACAATAAAAAATAAAAGTAAAGTAGAAGAAACCAAATATGAATAAAATTAAATAAATCTTAAATATTTAAAACCAGACGACGAGGAACGTTGTGAGTTGCTGCTGCGACCGCAACTCTACATTTATACCGATACTTAGTCAGTATGGCTCTCCTCCGGCAGACGGCGTTAACATTGAATGACAAAGAGTGCGTGCGAGAGAGACAGAAACGTGTCGGAACGTGTCGGGAGCGTAGCTTAATGATCCGATCTTGAGCTACCAGTGATATCACGAAGCGTTCATAGGGACTGACAAACATGTCTCAATCGACCCGGCTATTGATGCTGATCAAGAATATATGTATATATATATATATTGAGTATCGGGTATAAGAAGTAATTTTTGTTGTATAAATAAAATAAATTTAATACATCTCTAAAAATTTAAAAAAAAACTTTTTGGTCGTCGTCCGATATCTTACTCACATCATGGCGAGCGTGCAAAGCGAGTGCACCCCTGCGTATCTTCCCTTAGTATCTGCCCCTTAGTATCTTAAAAAATAATTAAGTATTATTCGATTCGATTTTAATATAGTGGTCTTCCCTATGTCATCTAAATGATGCAGTTATCCCATTCGGATAAAAAACTTGCCAGATCGGCTTATTAGAGGTAGAAATTCAAAGGTTTTATTTAATATTTTATCCCCTAGATTAAATGCGCTCAAAGTAAGTCGCAGCTTCCGTCTGAATGTATATTTAATTTTAAAATAAAGTTGCACACAATCCCCGACAACGTTTGGCACTACAGAATCAATCAAAATCCAGAGGAAAAATCTCATAAGATGGTGGTATAAGGATACATGCAACGCTTGAGGCAGTGCCAGCTGCTGCTGCAGCAGCTACGTGCAAAGGAAGGCAGCCAGGCAGGCACATCAAAATCAAAAAGGGAATCAAACTCAATGTCAATATATTGTGAGCCAAATCGAGGCTGGCAGAAAAGGCGCTAAGTCAGTGCGGGCCCTGCTGGCTCTGGGTCTGGCAATAAGCGAAATGAGCACGTGCAAAAGGACATGGACGGGGAGTGGCTGAAGCAAACTTGGCAAACTGTCGCCTGGCTCAAAGCAAACGGGCTAAAACAATAAGTATCAAACGGGTGGCGCAAGCTGACAAAAAGCAGCGGCTGAGGTAGACTGGCGTCATCATTTATCACGCGCGCACTCCCAAACCCACGCACACACACAACGCACCCTGACACACAGAGAGAAAGGTCAAGCAAAGTGTTATCCTTGGAAGGAAGAGAGCCAGCTGTTCCTCTCAGACTTTCGGACAGCCTCACAGCGGGAGAGAGGGAGTGGTAGATATCCAGAGGCGTGAGTGTGATAGAGAATATAGGAAACGTTTGGGAAAATCACTATCGAAATGAAAATATCAATGATATGTGAAATGTTTTATGTACGTACATACATACGAGTATATTTTCTTCGGTCTGTGGCTCCTGCTCCTGCTCCCATTTAGTGCGATTATCATCTGAGAAGCGGCTCATCATTAATAAAAGTCCCAGATATCAATGATACAATTGAAGGCTGCCCTTTCCTTTCCAACCCAAACAACCAAGTTTCTATAAATATTTCCTTCGATTTTCGCGGGTTACATTCGATTCGGCCAGTCAGTCGTTTTGATCAAGTGAGTAAAACCAATTATTATGCATATGTTTTGGACATGAGTCAATAAAAGTGAATGAATCAAATGAAGAAAATACTAAACTTGATATTACAAAAAAAAATCGTTGTGATCAATTGAATAAAACAAGCAATGTAATTGGAGCAGCTGTAGTTAAGGCTTGGCCAATTATAAGGATACAATTTTAATGGATTTGTATTTATGGAAACTGGTTTTACTATAGAATACTGAATATTTGGCACACAAAAAAGTAACTAAAAATTGTATTTGTTTTACTCAAATATTACTCAAATAATAAAAAGTTCATTTTTTAGAAACCACATATTAAATCACATATAGATGTGATATTTAAAAAATAATAATAATTAAAATCGCGCTTGATTGACCCAGAACAACAGACATTATGAAAAGAGGGAAAGTCTTCAAATCTTAGGAATATTTTGAACGAACTGAATTTAAAATACAAAAATTTATTCGCTCACATTTAAATAAAATGAAGACACAATGTTTGAATGTTGTGAACATGGTAAATATATCAGTCAATCCCTTTACTTTACGCTCATCCCTTTTGCATTCAAAATATTTTTTATTTACAAAGAGAATTACCACGCTCTTCCCAGTTTGAATTATTATGCATAATAAAGAAAAACTATTGCAAGATTTATATTAATTTGTTTGTGTTTGGAAAATTTTATTTATATTATTTTAGTTTTTTATTGCATTATTCTTAACGCAGTTATGATGCCTAGCTGTTTTTTTTAACGAATTTACACAATTTGTCGTTTAGTTCATGTACCATGTTTACTTGTAGATAGCCAAAGACTCGTGCTGGATGTGGGATTCTCTTGGATGTCGAATGCCATTTAATTTGTTTAAATAATTAGCTTGTACAGTAATTTTATCTCGCTTTCGCTTTTCATATAGTATATAATGTTATACAATATATTTTTTATTTAATTATTTTTTTATTTATACATAAAAATAGTTTCTGTAGCACAAATCTTGTTATTTTTTGTTGTTGTTTTTTTTTGTGGTTGTTGTTTCTGACTACACACGGCATAGAGCGAGATGCCAAGAGATGCCCTAAGAGGATCGAAACGGGAGAAAAGATACGACGTATACTCAGTACATTTTCTATATGGCAAAGAATAAAACGAAACTTTTGCCAAACAAAATAACAATAAACTTGAAAACTGGGTAATCGAAATTTGGAACACATCCCTAGGCATCTCGATCTATTAACTTGATTTTATCTTGCTGAACTTTGAATGTGAACACAGAGCTTGAACGGAATTTGATTGAAGAAACATATCTGATCGATTCAGTATCGCCTTAGATGCGAGCGCTTAAAATTCTTCGTTAAAACATATCTTAAAAGTGTATGTCTCTTTGCATTTTTTGACCGAAACGGCCTTGAATCTAAAATAAAATGAAGGGTTTAGGTTTAAAATTAATTACAGAGGAGATAAACGAAACTAATGAAGGGTATATAGGCAGGTAGCTGATCATTTACATACAGGCCTGTGTGGTATTCTAGTTTCACATCGATTCGTATAAATAGTTTTTGTTTGTTTGCATAAACGTTGCCTTACGATTTAATGAAAGCAAAATACACTCATTCTTGTGTTGTGTAAACAATGTTATAAACTGTTTTCCTTGCGGATTTACGGGTTATCGAAAGGAAACTAATACAATTACAGTGTCTGTATGGTGTGAACAAGCGAGTGTGTGTGTGTGTGTGTGTAAGTGTAATTAATTAATATAATTAAAAAATACATACAAGCTATCGAGCTACAGTTAGGCGCGTGTGTGTGTCTGTGCAGGCCCCTACTATCACGATTTCTCTGGGGGCTCTTGCACTTTTAGAATCTCTCATTGTTCCACACTCTTTCTCGTCGTTTCAGTAATTACATTTTACAGCATTTAAATAAGTTATTATACAAACGTGTGTGGACCCGCGAAAAAAAAAACGTATTACTTATTTGATTTGTATTATTACTCGTATTCGTTCATCATTAACATCATCTTTCCCCGCTCTGGACCCCGCTCTTATCCCATGCGCTGGCCCAAATGGATCCGCGAGCGAAGGGATCTTTATGCCGCGCAGACAATATTCCTTAAAATATAGCATACATTTTCTCTAAGCCGAACCATTAAGTGCCAAATATTTTCCGTATTGTATATCTCTCTCTATTTTTGTTTCATTTCCTATCGAACGTTTTTGAGTATGAGTCGCAGGAGGCTCGTAAGAAAACCCCATTTCAGAGTTCCTGATGGAAAGCCCGAAATTGGTCATGAAACTCATCAAATGAGTTCCTCGAAAGTTTAAAGAGTTTATGGTGCTTCATTATGAGCATAGTTTTCAGTGGTTTTGATCATTTGATGGGAATGGAATCGAGGCCTGGGGTTCGCATCTATTGACTGTCGCTTCCCTTAAATGATTTTCGTTTTTTTTTTTTAATATGCTTGGATTCTCGTTCTCATTTGTTAAAAATTAATTGAGAGCTACTCTTTTGAGCGATTGATAAAAGTCCGCACTTTAATCAAATGATTCTTGCAGAATTGATATCCATAACTTGTTAAAATACTAATTGAAAGGAACCCGAATTTAAAACATACAAGAATTTAGATTTGTATCATTTCTAAGGTGTAAAACACAATGATCAAAACCCCTCTGCACAACTATTTGGCCATTGAATGATCCAAGAAGCTGTTGTCCTCTTATTTTGCTCCCCAGCATATCTTTCTCCCTTATTTTACGAGCCTCTCTGCATTCCACTTTGTTTTTCTTAAAGATGTCTTATAATGTTGTTCTGGTTCTGCTGTTGTTGTTGCTGTTGTTGTTGTTGTTGTTGTTGTTGTTGTTGTAGTTGCTGCCGCTGTGGTAGCTGCTGCTGCTGCTATGGGCGGGTTGTTTCAACACTCACTCTGTGACAGATCAATCTCCTTCTTAACGCTGCGCGACAGCCGATCCAGCTCAGCGGCCGCATCTGAGCGTACCGCCAACTTCTCGGGCGTCATGAGGCTGTCGGTGCCATTGGAGGTGCGCGTTGTGCCTGTGGGTGTGCCGGCGCCCGGTGGACCTCCACCGCCACCCGGGCTGCCCGACTTTTTGTGTAGCAGTGAGTTGAAGAAATTGGCCAGGACACCCTCGCCACCGGGCGTGGCTGGCGTCAGTTTGGGATCAATCTGCAAGACAAAACGATTACAAAAATGACTTCTTTTTCACTGGGATTTTATTCGTAATAAAATGTTAGAGCACCTTCTTGGGTGAGCTCTGGCCGGTGCTGCCGGGTGTGCGTGGCACACTCTTATTGCCACCGACACCACCCCCACCCTGCGAACGCAACGGTGACTCCCCGCGATCCTGTCCAGCCTGCTTGAGTATCTCCTGTTGGCGGGCCAAAAAGGTCTGTTCGTCCTCCGTTTGCACTTCCACCTCGCGATTGGACACCGCCTTAAGAAACATAATAATAATAGCAGTTGCAATAATCAGTGGGGTATATGGCTGTGTGAAGAATGAGGCTATCCGATTGCTTGATGGGATCTTGGTTAGTACTAATTTTATTTTTATGACGAACTAAATTAAATCACAGCATTAACAAATAATTTTCGAATGAATTTCAAACTTGACTGTTCACAGATTTAGTCTGGGGTTTTTCGGGATATGCTTCTTGGGTGACTTGAGATGCGCTGTAAGCAGGGCAACCGATCGAAATGGGGGTAGAGGGGACAATCTACAAACCTTTCGTGTGGGCGGAGCCTTGATGACATCTGAATAGGGACTTTCGGCCTTGATCCCATGCATATTCTCATACAAAATACTAATCTTCTTCAGGCTATCCCAGCCAGCCGGACTGCAAAAAAAAAAAAACAAAAAGGAAAAACCGAAATTTTAGAAAGCAAATTGGAATTCCTTTTTTTAGGGTAAACACGCACATGAGTACCGCATCCTTTTCAACGACTAGCGCTGGCGTACGGAATGGTAGGCCATAAATTCGATGCGTTAGATATTTGTAGAGGAGATCACAGTTTTTATCTTCTTTGACGCTTGTATAGAAGAGCGAGGCGCCAGTTCGTAGGCAAAAGCCACGTATCCATTGCTGGATAAAATCGAAATGCTCATCCCGGTACTCGTACTCCTTCTCTAATGTGGTCATGTAGTCCGTCTAAGACAAGAATTGTATTTGTATTATTCAGATGCAACCAGAGATTGGGAGAATCTTGGGGCTACCTTTGTGACCACAACGACTATATCGAGACCCAGATTTGTAATTAGTGCGTCCTCTGTCAGCGGCAACAGATCATCCTCATCGATCGAATTGTTGCGCATGGTGCGTTTGACGGGTGAGCCAGGATCGAGATCATCGCCGACCTCGCAATAGCTCTGCCACGTCGTGGCCAATCGCTGGCGTGCCATCTCCTTATCTTTAGCCTCCAGTGGCAGGCTCTCGATATGCTGGCCCAGGACTTTGATCCAATGATTGAGCTGCTCCAGCCAGCCCCAAGGCTGGGTCATCGACACTGTGAGGATGACGAGTGTGTGTGCATAGTTCGTTTCGTTGAGCGCGAAGTGTAGCAGATTTGTGTGTCCTGGATCACCATCCAGGACCCAAACACCTAAACGCGTCATGTCTGCAAATAGAATAGAATAATAAAGAAATAGTAGAATTCTTTATTTTATCGGCATGCATTCTACCCACCGTCTCTGTACTCGTCTTTGACATCAATGTAGGCATACTCCAGGCCGGATCCCTTTTTGGGATCCTCCACACCCTGGAGTTTGGCAATGAGGGTCGTCTTGCCGGTGGCATTGTCGCCTAATACTAGTACAGATTTGTTTGCTGGAAGTTTTGTGCTGCCCTGTGTTTGTACTTCATTCAATATTGCCGACCTGCAACGATTACAGATAGGAGAACAAATTTATATATCATAAGCATTCAAATGATTTGCCATATATAATCTCGTTTGTATATAACGATCCAAGAACAGACCAATCTATAGCTAGAAGACTCTTCTTTATAAATATACATTTTCTTTTTTGGACTCAATCTTCTGTCAGCTGTCCCACAAAAAAACTTTGCTATGATCCACTCGACAATTCATATAATGATCAAGAATTCACACACTTTTTACGGACTGCTACCAATACCCGGAACTGGTTCAACTTTCCACTGCCTGGGAGGGGGGCTAGGGCACACGAACATGGTAGCAAATGCGAGCTAACAATCGTAAATTCAGGTCAGTTCCATCATTCATCAGCATTTCCCTATTTTTGCAAGGCATTCCACCATCCACCAGCCACCATCCACCATGCGCCATCAAGTTAATTGGTTCCCCTCGAACCATATTCAAATCTACATTTACTGCCCCCTTGCCCCATGGCCCCGCCATCGTGCTCAATTCCATTTCTTATTGTTGAGCGCTTGGGGGAGAGGCGGGTGGCTTCAATATTTGATATGGTTTGGCATGCGATTTTCAAACGTCGTAGCTTTTGCCAGCAATTCAATTAAAGCAATTAAATATTTTTCAATTGACGTGAAATACTTGTGGTATTTCCTTCCGACTGACAGCCGCGACTGGACTAGACTGCCTAGACATGCAAATTGACCTCGGCCGACGAGACCGCCCGTCCGGCTCTAGTTCTGACTCTGTGCTCGGCTTCCGCGATTAGTGGCCGACAGCCAACTAGCCAGAAATATCGATTGCAAGCTGGTAAGCTCCCGCTTTTCCAGCTCTATTCAATTGTATTTTTGGTGTTCCTTCATTTGCCTATGTATGTGTGTGGCACCACAGTGGTGCAAGTTGTATTTTAAAATGAAATTAGTACCAAAGATAATGCTCAAAAGTCCTAGATCAAATTACATGTCGTGTGCATGATGAGGAGCACATTGATGATGCTCGACGCGGGACTGGTAATCGGTATTGGTACTGGTGTGGCTTGGTTCCACAAATGTAATTTTTAGACCATTCATTTTAATTCTCTTTCTTCTTTCGTATACCCTGCTATTCAAAGAAAGTCCCTACATATTTCCATTAATTTTCTCCTTCCCACTGTGCCGCAACTCCTGGTAATAGTAAACGAAACTTTTAACGTTCCAACATTTGTTGGCGGGTGGCGTGGCGTTTGGTTCTCCGGTTAGTGTGGGGTCTTGCTCCCCCCCTAGCCCGGTGGCTCGCTTCACACTTGACAGTCATGCCGACCCAAGTTCGGGTTCGGGCCGGGTGCACGGAGCCGGGTGGTGGAGTGGGGCATGGGCCGCCGGTTGGCATGGTGCACGAAAGGGCCCAAACGAAAAATACATTTTTCCAGGCATTTATCGCCGTTTTGAGTACACTTAAGACTGTTGGCCGTGCCAGTTGAGCGCGTGTGTTGTTGGCTGATGTCCAGCCGCTGAGGATTCCCATCGAATTGGAAAACCACAAAATAGTCGCATGGAGCAGGAAGCAGGCAGAAGCTCCAAGATGAGTGTGCTGCTGAAGCGACGCTCGCGCAGCGAAACGCGTCCCAAAGACGTTGCAGATAAATCCAAGCAGCAATCGCAGCAGCAATCGAAGCAGCTGGAGAAACACCAGGAGAAGCATGAGCTGCAGGAGAGACCACAAGAGAGTCGTGGCAAGCCGCATTCCAGTGAACAGAGTCTCAACAGATTGGGAATGTCCCATCATCAACACCAGTCCACCACCTTCTCGATTGCGGGCGGTATGGGCAGACGCAAAACCTCTGCGGAGCTGATCTGCGAGGCCAAGCTTTTTCTTGGCGAAACGGTAGCCGGTGTCGGTGGAGGAGGAGGAGCAGGAGGAGGAGGAGGAGGTGCTGCTGGTGGCGCCGCCTTGCAAATTATGGCCACGGGAGGGGCACGTCTGGTCAGCACTCGACGTCCGATCACACCGCGCGAACCAGGTCGAGTGCTCTACGGAAAGGTGGCCCTGGCCGGACGTCCACCCAGCGCATTTTCGTAAGTGGCCGCACGGACCGTTAACGAATGTTAAAGGCTATTATTCAACTCTTGGGGTATCCATTACAGCATGCGGTATCTACAGAATGAGAAGCCAACGCCACGACAACTTCCCGCACTCTCTGGCACGGGGCCGACTACCCCGATGCCCACACGGAACGGGGCACTGCTCGGCCAGTCCACCACAGAGACGCTGATTGAGCTGCTGAAGCAGCATAGCGGCCTAAAGGAGTGCACCAATGAGACAGTCCAGCATATAAACGCAGTAAGTGGAAGGAGATCCATCTCCAGGACTCCATACATCTATCATTCATGTCTGCTTTAGATCTTGCAGGAGCTGTACACCCGCGTGAGAAAGCAGGAGCGCAACTTTAAGCGGGGCTTCATCTTGGGCGGGCTCTATGGCCTCGTGGAGTGCACATCACCGCGTGTTCTCCTGGCTGTGGCTCGAGTGGTGCTAGCTGTAAGTAGTCCATTCTTTTGGTCATCCGTTTCCCACTCGAGCATCCTCCTCTCCCTCTCCAGCTTCGGGTGACGGGCAGCAATTTGACGGGCGCCTGCAAACTCATCTTCAAGGTGGCCCGGCATGAGCAGAATGATGCCTTGTTCCATGACCATGATGTGCTGGAGCTGCTGATCGACGGCCTGGGCCATGCCTCACCGCTCGACGAGCCCGAAGCTTGCATCTATGCTTATGGCTGTATACGTTTCCTCACCGCCAGCAGTGCCCAGGACCGGGATGATGCTCTCAATCGTAATTGGATTGGTTTGGGCGAGGCCATAAAGGCTCCTCTTCCTGCTCCCGTTTCCGCTACGCTTGCTGCAATGCCTGCGGCAGTGTTGTGTCCGCGCAAACTGACGGGACAGCAGACATTGGTGGCACGTCTGGCCCGCCATGGCGCCGTGGAGCTGATGATCCTCCATCTGCAGATGCTCAATGAGGCGGGGGCCACCAAACGATTGACCGGACCACCGCTGCATACGCTCTACCAGCTGTCGGCGGCGATGCGTGCCCTGGCGGATGTCTCCCAACAGCAGCAGCGGCTTCAGTTGCAGCTGCAGCTAGCGTGTCCGCATCTGATCCGGGCCGCAGAGGTGTCCATGGGGGAGCTGGAGGTCCAGGCCAATGTTGTGCGGACTCTAAGGTAGCGGTAGTCAATGACTATGGTTGTCGCAGGACTTAATCTCTTCCTTCTTTTGCAGCGTGCTCTCTGAGGACTCTGACTGCTGTGAGACCTTGCATAACTATGCCGCCAGAATTGGCCTGCTGCTGGGTCCCTCCTGCTCGAGTGCGGGCGCAAGTGAACGTCTTCTGGCCGTTCTCAGTCGCCTGGGCTATATGCTGGGCAATATCCTGGCCAAGCACGAGTCTGCCAGAACCCAGGTGCGCAGCCACTCCATGTGATCTACAATCAGTAAGACATATATTTAATAATGGATTCCCTTCCCTTCTTCATAGTACTTCCACAACGATGTGGCCATGGAGTATCTGCTGAATGTGCTGGAGCAGCTGGGCGAACGCTCGCCGAGCAGTGTGGCCCTCCTGGATGCCCAGATCAAGCTGATTCGCGTGGTGGCCAACATGAGCGTGAATCCCGAGGTGGGCGCCGGCCTTGGCAATGTCCGTTGCTTGGGTTCGGTGCTGCTGAAGCTTCTCAGCCACACAAGCGCCTCGCTGCTGCAGAAGAAGGTAAGCCATCATCTGCATTCCGGTCAGTCCGATCTTCGCTCATGCTCTCGTTTTTTGCAGTCTGCGGAGCAGCAGGAGCTGCTGCACGCCACACTGGGTGCTCTGCACAATCTGTGCTTCTATCAGGATAAACAGACGCCAGACAGCATTGCCGCCCCGGCCGCCGGTTCCCTTCAGAGTCTAATCGATGAGCTGTCCGCGTCGCTGGCCGAAGTGTTGGCCAAATGCCAGACGGCCGCCACCAAGGTGGAGCTGGTCCGGGTGCTGGGAAATCTCACGCGTAACGAGCGGGCCCGTCGCTGCTTCTGTGCGGCCGGCGGACTGCCGCTGATGGTACAGCAGTTGACCCGTCAGGCGGCCGGGCAGGACTACGAGCTGCGCACCTGCGCCATCGGTGTTTTGGTCAATCTGCTGGGCGATGGTGAGCAGCGGGCTCCTTTCCTGCAGCTGCGCGGCGCCGAGCTGCTGTCGCTGCTGCTCCGTGGATCGCTGGAGCAGGAAGACTGGTTCCTCGCCAACATCGTGTGCCAGGCCCTATGGAATCTCCTCATCGACGGCCAGTGTGCGGCCACTCTGTGTCGGAGCGGCTGCATTCTGGACGAGGTGAGCGACCTGCTGGCCGACTATCTCGACGAAGATCGCCTCAACGCTGGCGATGACGATGACGAGCAGGCCGGCGACGATGAGCACGAGCTGGAAACGCAGACGGAGACGGAAAAGGAGACGGACGCAGATCACGATGCCCTGTGGGAGGACTTTGCTCTGGTGGCCACCGATCTGCTGGAACGTATCCAGAACAACTTCGATAGGCAGCAGCAGCCGCAATCGGTTGTGCGCACCGACAACGATGACGATGGCGATGTATTCATCGAGGAAATGTAGGAAATGCTCCGATAACGATGACGATGGCCATGTATTCATCGAGGAAATGACCCCCGCCACGCACCACAGTCTCTGGTATTTCTAATCCATCAATATCTTTAATAGCAACATAATCCGAAGCCAATAAAACAAATTTGAAAAAACACTAAGCAACAAAGGTTGATTAATTGTTAAAAAACGAAAAGAAATATTTAATCGAAATTCAAGTATAAACCATTTAAAGGGATAAAGTCAGAAAAACTTAAGTGATCCTTAAATATTTGCATAATTAAACGGATATCAATGAGCAGACAAGTTCATAGTTAATCCCAAAATTCCCCAGTAATGCCGTTCCCAATTTCTACCAAAACCTATAACAAGGAATTCCCTTTCAAAGAATTCTTCTAGCCAACATTGTACATTGTACAGGGCGTAAAATGGTGTCGGTATCGGCATTGGAATATTCCAAGCAAACCGTAAACAATGCATATGGAATTCCCATTCTCAGGAGTGTTCCATTTCTTGTGACGACCAGTGTAACCCAAAGCCCCAGACGACGCACGCACACACACATACATATTTGAGCGATGACAGCATCATCGCACACACACACACACACACACATCTTCAGGCCAAGTTTGTCCGAATTCCAATTGGAATCAGTATTGATAGGCAACACGCACTAAGCTGGGCTTCACTGTGCTTGTGTGTGCTAGTGAGAGCGTATGCGTCTTAGACAGAAAAAACAACAACAAAATTGATAAAGCGAAAAAGGTAACCGCTGCCAGCGTCGCTGTAGCAGCCGCTGCCTAAGTGAATCATCCATCCCCACATTGTTTCTCTCTTTGGCCGTCTCCCTCTCTGTCACCCGTAGCTGCCTGTCACTCTCTCTCTCTCTCTGTTTCGCCCTCTCTGCCATTTACTTGACGCATTTTATTTAATAATTATTGCGCTTAAATATTTGCCACAAGCAACAAATCGTTGGGGAAAACGTTGCCAACCCACTTTTGAGGTTAACTAGAAAAAGGCAGTAGGCAGTAGGCAAAGAGACTAAAAAAAGAACGAAAGAAAGAAAGAACGGAACGGAACGAAAGAGGAAAATGACAACATGCATAGCAATCAGCTGGTCGGTCGGCCACTCACTCGAGTGCGACAGAGTAAGCGCGGGAGGGGTGGGGTGGGGTTGGCCGGGGTAGAGGGCGGCTGGCCTTGTGGGTGTGCCGGCAAGGGACAGTTAACAGTTAGCACAAATCTACTGCAAACGTCAGCTAAAGAAAGCTGAAAACTTATCAGGGGAGAGAGTAGTGGCGAGAGAGGAACAAACGCGAGAGAGAGGGACAGGGAAAAAATCTACTATCCAACAATTAGAGTTTAGTTTTTTGTGCACTTACCACAGATTCTCCTTTTCCGCGGCGGCATCCTTCTTCTTTGTCGTAAAGGATGATGTCAGCGCATTGCTGCCAGTTTGTGTGCCGCTTTCCAAAGCCATTCTTTTTGTTGCTGTTGTTTCTGCGGCCGTTTCTGGTGCGCTCACTTCCTGGTCCGATTTCAATTCCGATTTGAATTCAAATTCCAAACGAGATGCAACTGCTGCGGAGAAATGAAACAGTTGGAAAACAAACACACAAACGGCAAGGGGTTTCGGGCAGATTGCAAGGTGTCACTGTGCAGTCGACGTCGCAGTCAGCGTCAACGAATGATTATGTCTATTTAAATATTTCATTTGTTTATGCACCGCCTGGGCACTACTATCCGTCTGTCTGCCTGCCTCTTCACTTCTTTCCTCACTTTTGTGTGTTACGACGCACAGCTGCTGCTACTTCTGCTGCTGTTGCTGCTAACCAATTTGCAAATTTGTGTCTGTTTCTCTTTTGGGGCAATTTTTTTGTACGTACGCAGCGCTTCCTTGGCAGTTTCTTTGCTTTGCTTACTCTCCACAAACTCTCCCAGCTGCACTGGCACTTTTCTGTCGTTTCGGGCTGAATCTTGCTTATTGTTTGGTTAAAAAAAAAATAACAATAATATATGTTCAGAAGTGGGGGCGACACAATAATGAATTTTTTCGCTATGATATATTGTACGACGAACGAGGCACAGTGTGTACACATACAGTACGGCAAGTGTTGTCCTACACGCAAAAACATCGAAAAACACTTGCACAGGGTTGCTTTGACTTAGTGATGAGCTGATATGTGAGACAGTGGTGCGCGTATCGCAAAGAATTTCAAACATAGTTTTAAGTAAATTGGCTACAGCGAAATCGTGGTGCACGCTCAACAAAATAACTTAAGGCTGATGTGGTGTCTCACTCTTGCACATGCTCTGACAGTGGAACACAAAACTGATCAAATCGAAGTACTATATTCTAATCGATAGTTGGTGGCCATATCAATGGCAATAGAAAAGGAAACCATCGATTACAATGGAAAGCTGCCACCTTTTAACTGGACAATAATTTTAGTAAATTACCAATTATCGTGGCCGACAAAACTTTAAACAATAGGGAACAATGAAATATATTAGCATATGCCTGGCTGTGATATTCCTTTTTAGTTGCAGCTTCCTCTTCGGCAAGATCCATGGTGAGTCCTCTGGCCAAGTTTGTGCTCTGTTCAAGTCTTTTGTCATCTGTTTTCATTTGTGTGCGTGTGGGTTGCAAGGCCTTTGTTTACGTGTGTGCGCTGTGGTTTCTGCTGCAATTTCACTTTTTTTTATTTTCTGCCACTGCAGGACTTCTGCGTCGCTGTTACCAGTGCCGCTCCCGCGGCGATCTGGGAAGCTGTAAGGACCCCTTCAATTTCAACGCCACCGACGTGGACCACGAGCCCGGCCTGGCTGCCATACCCTGCGCCAGCGGCTGGTGCGGAAAGGTAATCGAGGGCGGCGGCACCTACGCCATCGACGACTACGACCTTGCCATCCAGCGCATGTGCGTCCAGCGCGGCCCCGACGACAACATGGACCGCTGCGCCGACACCATCTACAACTACAAGAAGGTCTACATGTGCTTCTGCCAGGGTGATCTCTGCAACAAGGGCCACAGCTGGACGCAGCCCTCAGGCCGACTGGTGCTCCTGTTCCCTCTTTTGGCAGTCCTTGTGCCGGTCTGTCGTCTACTCTGATGCACTTAATTAGCCTTAAGCCTAGGGAAATAAACGTATTTTTTTACTACTTTATTATGAAATGAGAAAACTTGCCTTTATCTTGATTTTCTGTGGGTTTTTTGGTATCTTTGAACAATCCTACATCATCCCAGCCCAGCAACATCTACTGGTCCGATGCGGAGCCTCGTCTCATCGAGGTCGCCCGCCTGGGTGGCAGCAGTCGGCGCGTGCTCTTGTGAAAGGGACGGGGGTGGAGAAGCCGCGTTCCCTGGTCCTCGAGACGCATCGCAGGTACATGTACATGGACAGAGTCGCCTTGGACTCCATAAGCCGCGCCACGCGGTTTCCCTGTATCAGGACTACGCGTGCTGGAGCGACTGAAACACCGAGGACATTGAGCGGGTGCACAAGACGATGGGCGAGAGCCGCAACTTGGTCCATTCGGGCATGACGTACATCACTTCGCTGCTGCTGCCACCTGTGCCTGGCCCTGTGGCATGACCTGTGCCTGCCCCACCCACTACCAGCTGGCCAAGGACGGGGTCTCCTGCAAGAACTACATCATCTTCAGCCAGAGGAACAGCTTCGGCCGACTGCTGCCGAACACGACAGACTGCCCGAATGTGCCGCTGCCAGTGTCCATAAAAAATATCCGCGCCGTGGACTACGATCCGATCTCACATTACATTTACTTGGTAAAGAGGATTAATATCCCTAACCCTTTTTGTTTTTTCAGATCGAAGGCAGGAGTCACAGCATCAAGCGTTCTCTGGCAAATGGCACAAAGGTGAGCCTCTTGGCCAACTCCGGACAGCCGTTCGACATTGCAATCGACATCATTGGGCAGCTGCTCTTCTGGACCTGCTCCTACTCCAACAGCATTAACGTGACCATCCGCACAATTGTGTTCCTAAAACGTTGCCTCTTTTAGCTTCCTGGGTGAATCCATAGGCGTCAACGATACCGGGGACTCGGAAAAGCCTCGCAACATTGCCGCCTTGGGGAGATTTGTGTACTGGCTGGACGACAAGACCGGACTGAAGCGGATCACTGTCAACGAAGAGCGTCGAAGAAGCGGAAGTGCGGCACAGTCGTCCAAATTGTTTCCACAACTGCATAGCCAGAGGGGAGGGTGTGGCACGCAGTACTCACGACGTCTGCTCGTGCCCCAAGCATCTGATGCTGCTGGTGGACAAGGAGAGCTACGGCGTGTGTCCGGCCTTTGGGCCAGATTTCACGTGCACGTCCCCAGTGACGGAGAATGGTGACAGTGCTCCGGCGAGTGCTTCGCCAAGGCTCTGATCTGCGATGCTACCACCTGTGACAACTGTGAAAATGTCCACGATGAGGCCGACTGCTGCAAGCGGCCTCCTGGCCTGCCGGATATTGCCTTTGAGGTGCAACGGTACCAAGCTACGGTACGGAGGAAGTGAAAAGACTCTGGACGAGTGTGCCAGGTTACCACTAACACAATGCCTTCGACAAGGACCCCAGGTCCGAAGGCGACAGCAGTTTAAGGCGCGGGTTTGTCCTCAACGAACGAAGGACAAGCTGCTCAGCACGGAAGAAGTCAAGCCAGATGGCAACGCTGAAACGCATTCTACATTTGATCTGGCGTTTATGGTGTCTGAAAAGATCAAGGGTTATTATTATATGTGCAGTAAATCGACAAATTTGTACTTCCCTTTTTCCAGGTATTTGTCATTCGCATCGCTGGACCTAGCAAACCTTCCGCAAGAGCCGCTCTGGTGGAACATCATCGAACAAATGGATCGAACATCAACAGCCGCCATCGCTGCCTACAACATCTTTATAAATCCGCATGTAACAGCCGGACTGTACTCTAGAAAATTGCAGGGAAGTAAAACTTTGAATAACGAGATATTCTACGGTTCTAAAGAGCCGACTAAGCGGGCTATAATATAGAGAGCATCCTCTTGAAGTTCATTAGGCTGGCTAATGAATTAGGCTTTTAATAATGAATTTACTTCCTTCAGCTCCAATGGGGCTGCGCGCGTACGATGTAGGTCGACACAAAACCCCATTTACATGACGCATTAAACGTCATCATTTATGGCACAAGCACATGCCCTGCCCTCAATCATCCATATCAAATTTTGCAACAAAGAAATGCCATTGGTTTTATCATCAAAAACAATCCTCCGCTGCTCACACAGTATTTATTATTATTAAAGTCATCTCTTCTCCGCGTATGCACATTCATGCACATATATACAATTTTTTTCTTTAGGTATGTGTGAAAATGTAGCTCGAAATAAACATTTACAATAAAATATTTAAAAAATACCCGTAAAACACACTGTAGAGGAAGCAAGCGGTCACAGACGCCACTGCCATGCAACACTAAACAAAAACAGCAAAGGGAAACGCATCGCAGATGCACTAAAACGTGAGAGCCAGGGATCGCATCTCCCGGGATCTGGCATTGCGGACAAAGCTTGGTTTTTTCTCCCTTTTTAGTTTTAAAAACTAGTGGGGGTGGTGGGAGGGGGGGGGGAGGGTATGGGAAGGTGCTGGAAGGATGGATAAAAAAAAAAGAATAAATTTTAAAGTTAAACGGTCGGGACACCGGCTGCCTTTTTGGTAGTGCTGGCGGAGGTGCTGCTGCTGCCGTGGATCGACAGCAGACTCTCACGCATCTCGCGACAGCAGGGGGGGCAGCGTTTCTTCTGGGACTGGGCCAGCAGCCGGCCCTTTGTGGGCTGGTGGCAGTCTTTGTGGTAGACCCCGGCACACTGCTCGCAAACCCCATCGTCTTTACCTACAGAAAGGATTAAAAATATGGGTTCAAGAAGAGGTTCTCATTTCAATCGTTGGATCGATGGCTGGGACTCACCTACGAGACGCTTGCACTGGCGGCAATGCTGGCATTCTCCGCGACACTTGCGGCAATCCCACTGATTGCTGACGCTCTGACCAACAACAGTCTGCGAAGCCTCGGCAGCGGCCTTGTCCGGGCTCTTGCTCTTGCGGACGTCGGCCTTCTTGGCCTGCAGTCGCTTCTCCTTGGGCGAGAGCAGGAACTCCGGTTTGTTCTTCACCTTCTTTTGGCGCCCCATCGGTGTGTCCAGTGTGGCATTCAGCTGCTGGCCATAGTGAAAGTCAACGCCGCTGGCGTTCTGGACATTGCGACGCTTGCGCTTCGAGTGGCGCTGGCTGAGTTTCGTGATCACCTCGGGCGTGTACAGGCCAAAGATACGGAGGAATGTCTCCTGGCCGTACTCCTCGGGCAGGACACGGGTCTCGCGCGGCTCATCGCACCACTGAGCCGCCGAGGCGGAGAGACGCTGCTGCTCCTGCTGTAGCTCCTGGACGGTGGAGTCATCTGAAGATGCTGATGGCGAGCCGCCTGCCCCCGTTGACGGCTGTGCCTCTGGTGATGATTTACGTAGGTTTTTGCGTATCTTGGACGATTTGTTTGCCCCAGCGGCCGCTGCCGGGCTCTGCTTCTGCTTCGGCAGTGGTGGTGATGGCAGAGGCGGTGGCGTTGGTGGTGCCTTGACCGATTTTTCAGCGGCGGATGACGCAGTGTTTGGTACAGCTTTGGCAGCAGCTATCTGGGAACCCCTCCCCGCCTTCCGCTTTATATCAGTCTCTATGGTTGTCAGCTCCATGTTGTCCTCGTAGCAGAGGCGCGGCATCTGCTTGGTCTTCCTGGACCGCTTCAGCACCTGGCGCAGATTGCCGCGGCTCGCCTCCACCTGCTCAAAGCCCAGCTCAGCCTGCGCCGGATCCTGAACGTTAGCCTGATGAAACTCAATCGTAATGGGTGCTAATGGCGGCGGTGAGGTACTAGATATGCGCTTCCGCTTCATGGCAAACGAATCCTGCTGCTTTAGTGGTATCAAAAGCGAACGCTGAGACTTCTGCGTAGCAGCCATGCGCAGTGGCGGGGGCTCCACAACTGTCTTGATCACAGTGTCCGGCAGACAACGGAGCATCGGCGGCGGTACAGAAAGCTGAAGCTGCGTCTGCGTCTCCTCCGACGATTCCAGCTGCTCCTGCTGCTCACCGTCTCCATTTTCCAGCTCTATCTGTATGTTCGTCTCAGTCGGAACCAGCATAAGAGCGATATTATCATCGAGGTCGCTCAGATTCATGGGTGGGTTCTCGCCCTCCTGCGACAGGAGAAAATGCTTGCGGATGAGCGTCTCCTCGGTGTCGCGAGTACCCACATTGCTGGGAATGATTACATAGTCTTCGTTCGAAATTAAAGGCACTATCAGGGTGGAGACGTGCGCATTGGCCTCCTTCACATCGGTTTTGATGTTGCTCTCCTGCAGTTTCTTGAGGAAAGTGACGATATCCTCATCGAGGCGCAGCATTAGGTACTGGCACTCGGCATTGATCTCGTACATCTCCTCCTCCAGCTCGTCCAAGATGCGACGCATCGCCACGGGATCCTGTTATGCAAGAGCAACAGCAAGAGACCAGCATGATACCATAATTAAAATACAAAATTCGAATTCAAAACAAGGTTAACAGTTGAGAGGGGTGCGAGGGAGCGACGGGGCAAAGTGCGGGGCAAAGTGTTAATTATCTTTTCTTTTTTTTTTACAATTTTCGCAATCGTTGCCAGCCCTGGTTTTGCTGCACTGCCTCTGCTGCTGCCTTGTCACCACTTCACTTCACTCCCCTCTCCTCCCCTCCCTTCCACTGCTGCTGCTCCAAACCCCGAACGGAGCACGCGAAACTCTAGAAACTTACCGCATCCTCCTGCTGCGAGAACACCTCCGTGACCAGCTAGAAGGAGGGGAAAAATATGAAAATTTATTAAGAATCGACGCATCCCTCGCACGCGCTGCCTGCCACTGCTCCCGCAGCGACTGTGACTGGAGCTACAACTACTACTCACCGCATGCACCTTTATAAAATCACGCAGTGCCCGCTGGCAATAAACAATGTCATTCTTGAGATCCAGTGGCGGCAGGTACCACTTCTCCACGTAGTAGCGAAATTGGGCCATCTCCTTCGCGGTCAGGTCGCCATTTTTGTTGTCCTGGTTTTCCATGATTTTTGTGGCGAAGAATATCGCGAAACGAAAAACGACAAACGACGACAAAAATCCGACTCACTTGTGGGATTTCATTGGGGTATGAAGAGAAAGAACACTTAACAATAACCAGATGATCGGGTCGACGCGTGATGGTTGAACGGGGGCGGTGGATCTGAATCGGCTACCCAATAGCCCGGGCGGGGATTAAACAGCTGCTTAAAAGGTTTAAAGCTGCTCTCTATATAATAATTTATTTGTATTTACCGACGGTTCAAAAAATTGGAAAATTTGATAACATTCTGAGCACTAGGTGGATTTATCGATAGGATTAGAAAAATTTCCCAGCTCAGGAAAACTGGCCCAGAACGCATGCAACGCATGACAGGTAAAATCCAACACCTTTTTCTAACATACCATGAGGACGATTTTAAATTGCCTCGTCCTCATAGCATATTATATGCATTAACAAAGCTAGGTGGGGTTCGTACGAGCTTTGCAGTTTCCCTTGGCTGTTTTTGCCTGTTGTCCATACCCCTTTCTATAGCCCATTCAAAATTACGCTCTCCTGACACAGTTTTTCGTTGCATGTATGAGCAGGAGAGAACAGCTGTGTGACCGTCTCAGAAATATACCGTTTAATTTGTATAATATACCGTAAACCTACCGATGAAAAACGAACTTAGCTCACTTAAAACCCATTTATTTAAACAGGTTAACAGCTTGAGTTAAGCCGCAAAACGAACATAGCCCATTTAACCCCCATTTATTTAAACAGGATAACAGCTTGAGCTAAGCCGCGGAAAATAATATAAATAGTAATAACAAAATTTCTTCTTGGTCTTCAATGTGCTAATCGTACCTTGTCCATGATCATAAATCATATTCCACGATTTTGATATTCGTTTTATTACTATCTAGCTAGAACATTCAGCACTGAACACAGAATTAATCAAATTTTCTACTATATTGGCTAATTTGAAATACTCCCTTTTTGTGTTTATACAGATTGACATGTTTTGGACCGAATTATGCATTTGATAACTTTCCTGTATATACATATGTATGTATGTATGTATGTATATCTCGATCCCAATACCTATTCATGGTCTCTGTACTAAGACCATAAACTCAAAAATTTCGTTGAAATAGCTTTAAAACAGAGACTGTGTAGTTCCTGCATTTAAAAGAGTCTAATCTTATCGTGATTTGATCGCAGCCTGGCTGTCGCTATAAATGTGTGGCTGGGCAGTTTAGAGCCTCCCGGATTGCTATGACTTCCGCTTGGAAGACGCTGCAATGATCTGGTGGCCTGAGAAATGCCTTATGTTAAGCTGTTCAGAGTAGATTCCTCCTCCGACTCTGTCTGCTAGCTTCGATCCATCCCTGAAGATGTTTATGTGATGTGATCGCAGCTTGGCAGTCGCTATAAATGATATTGATCGACCTCGATCTCGAATACTTAAGCGCAGAATGGATCTATAAGAAGTTTTGTTTTCCGCGGCGTAAGTCAAGATCTAAGTTCGTTTTTTCACCGCCATATTTACTATATATTTACGGTATATTTTGAAAATTAAACGGTATATTTCGGTATATTTTGGTATATTTCTGAGGGTCAGGTCACACTGGTGGCCAGTGTTAATAATAACGTGATTCACTGCGGCCAAAATCATCGCAGTGGTCATTGCACATCTCTAGTTTCGAATCCCAAAGCCAAACATTTTCATTTCATTTTTTTTCACATTATTATCAAAATAAATAAGCGGCTAATTCGCGCATAACTACAGTCGCTTACAGTTGCTTGCATTGCACAAACACACACATACACATCCAGCTAGCCAAAGGAAGTAGAGCAAAATTCCGTAGTTGCAAAATTCAAAACAAGTGAAATTTTTAAAAGTTCAACAAAAAGAGTGAAAGAGGACAAAAAAACTATGTGTAAGTAGAGTAGGACGTGTCGTCGGTGGGGGAGACGACATCCCCCGCGCATATTCTGTCGCAGAGGAACGGACAACGGACTACAAAGAACGAGAAGTACAAAGAGAGCAGCAGCCAAAATAATGGTTAAGAAGCAGGAAGGAAATTATTTTTGCTGCAGTTTCTGCATTCTTTGGTTGTTGTTGTTGGACCGCTTTGTGCGGGGGTGACAGCCCATGCACAAGTGTACGAGCGTATCTCTTGCCTCTGTGTACGTGTGAGCGAGACGCAGTTTTGCTGACGCCCCAGCAACAGCAGCCACAACAAAAATTGTCCAGACGAAAGTAAAATTTCACCCAAATTTTTGTTTGTTTTATGGCTCACACTCACAGCCACACGCATAATACTGGACAAACAAGTTTTTATATTTGTTAACCCTTCTTTTTTTCTTGTTTTTTTTTTTGGTTTGTTTAGATTTTTTGCGCCGGCTTTCCGCGAAAGTTTTTAAAACGGCATTTTGCCTGTTGGCCAGCCTTCTCTTCGTCTCCCTCTCCCTCTTGCTCATGACTCCACACTCGCTATGCATATCTGTTTGTATGAATGTACATATATTTAGTAGCGAATGTGTGAGAGTCCCGTTAAACTGGTTTAATTGCATTGTCCTCTCCCTCTCACGCACACACGGGCTTCCTTCACAAAGAAGCCCAATTCCGAAAGGGTCATAACTGTGCTAATTAAAATTTTTCCAGGTTTAGTTACGCTCAGAATTCTTTACGATTCTGTTAACTCGTCAAGTTTTGCGTTATCAGCATCTGATGGCCAGGCCCTGGCGACACACCCACACATCCACAAATGCATGCAAATAAACAATTAACAAAAGCTGGTCCGCAAAATCTACAATAAATGGCAAAGCAGCAGAAATCCAAAGTGCATAAGACATTCACATACACACACTCGCAAACACACGCACGCGAAGCGAGCGGGTGAGAAAGACAGAGACAGATAGAGAGACATTTGCAGTTAATGCTAATGGCCCGGCCCGGTCCCGCAGCTGTTGTCGCTTTTCAATTGCCAATGCTCTTGTGCAAGTAATTTTTCTACTTACCTCGGCCTTTATCCGCAATCCGTGGACAACGCCCGCACTCGCAGCTCTCAACCTTGCAATAACATTGGATTGGCCAACTCTAGAGGGGAAATGCTTATAAAGATACCGCTATCAACGGGGGCCTTTTCTCAGATTTCTATTGCGTCACAAGCCACCTCACCCCTCAAAATGATGTATTTTCTTACCTATTATCCATAAATCTGTCATTTTTCTATGAGTTTTATTTGTTGTTTAATTTAATTTTCTCTACATTTTGTAGCTAAATGTTTCAAACTTTTGTTTTGTAAAATTCGCACCCAAAATTTTCTCGTTTTTGGTTCGATCTTCGTTTACCCAGTTTCTCGGTGGGCATTCAAGCAGGTGGGCCAATCCGTGCACTATTTAGCCAGCTATAAAGAAATCCCCCTCAAGATCAAGATTCAGAAGCAGATGTGGCATCAGGGAGAGAGCCCCAGCTGCAGCCAGAGCGAGTGTCTGGACCCACCGCATTCAGTACGAAAATCCCACTCAATATCGGGCGAACGTTGCCATTCCCATTTAATTGCAGCTGACAAGAATAGCTCGGGATGCGCTGGTGGAAATGGCAACAATAACAGCGCCTCAAAGAACTCCATCCATCCATTGGACAGCGAGAGCGGCTGCAGCAACAGTCCCGTCACCAGCGAACTGCTCGGCGAGTGGCGGAAAAACTTCTACAGCCAGCCGAAGAACTTGCTCGCCCAGAACGTTTGCTCCCGTGTCGATCCGTTCGATGTGTGCCTCTCCCGCAAGGTGCTGGAGAACACGAACCACGTGTTCAACTTCAAGGTGGAAACGGAGGGCAAGCCGGTGACCAATCAGCGGAGCAGCGGCCGTTGCTGGCTCTTTGCTGCCCTCAACTGCATACGCCTGCCCTTCATGAAGAACTACAATCTCGATGAGTTTGAGTTCTCGCAGGCTTTCCTCTTCTACTGGGACAAGATCGAGCGCTGCAATTACTTTCTCAACAATGTTGTGAAGACGGCGCGACGGGGCGAGAAGGTTGATGGCCGCCTGGTGTCGTTCCTGTTGCTGGACCCCACCTCCGATGGCGGTCAGTGGGATATGCTGGTCAATCTGATAACCAAACATGGTCTCATGCCAAAGAAATGCTTTCCCGAGAGCTTTAGCTGCGAGTCCAGCATACGAATGAATGCCATATTGAAAAGCAAGGTACAGAAAGCCTCTCCCTTAGCCCTATTCACTCCGCTAATCTTTGATTCCTTTACTCCCCTCTAGCTTCGGGAGTATGCCCGCCATTTGCGTGTGCTGATGGACCAGCAGCCCACAGAGGAGGAGATCACAGCCAAGATCCAAGAGCAAATGTCGGAGATCTACAAGGTGGTGGGCATCTGCCTGGGAATACCCGCCGAGACATTCGTCTGGGAGTACTATGATAAGAGCAAGAACTACCAATCTGTTGGCCCCGTCAGCTCGCTGGAGTTCTACGAACGGTATGTGAAGCCGCACTTTAACGTGGAGGACAAGGTTTGCCTGGTGACCGATCCCCGGCCATCAAGCAAATACGATCAGGCCTACACTGTCGACTGTCTGGGCAATGTGGTTGGCGGCCGTCCCGTCCTGTACAATAATCAATCTGTGGAGCTCCTGCTGGCCGTTGTCACCAAATCGCTGAAGGCCGGCGAGGCTGTATGGTTTGGCTGTGAGGTCAGCAAACGTTTCGCCTCTAAGCAGGGCATCGAGGATATGTCAGTGTGAGTGAAGCCCCGCAAGCAGCCTCTTTCCCAAAGTAGATAAATGTTTCTATACTGAACCTTTTATTTTTGGTTGCAGCCATGATTTCAAGCTGGTCTTTGACATCGACATACAAACGACCTTTTCGAAGGCAGACCGTCTTATCTATGGCGAATCGGCCATGACCCATGCCATGGTGTTCACCGCCGTCTCAGTGGATGTGAGTACCATCTAATTGCATGTATTTCGATTCATCTTTAAACTTTTGAAATCTTTTGTATGTGTGTTTCGCAGAAGAATGGCGTGGCCCAGAAGCTGCGGGTGGAGAACTCTTGGGGCGAGGATCGTGGCGAAAAGGGCTATCTGGTGATGTGCGCCGACTGGTTCAGGGAGTTTGGCTTCGAGGTGGTGGTCGACAAGAAGTATGTGCCCGATGATGTGCTGCGCGTCTTTGATATGGATCCCATTGTCCTGCCCGCCTGGGATCCAATGGGCACGCTGGCGCAGTGAGCAGCAGCAATGAGCCAGCCGTCATTATATAAATACAGCCTATACATATATACAAAGCTTTACAACATCAATGGCAGCAGCAGGCAGCATCGGCATCAGCATCAGCATCGAGATGGTGTGGCATGCAAGCAACTTAAGCATCATATTTTCGGTTCAAAAATTATCCGCTCCTTATGGCCCCCCAAAATCCTTTGTTTATCTGTTACCGATATTAGGGCACACAACACAATAATATTTCGTAAACACACACACATTTATATATGATATATAATATGCACTTATCCATCGCCCCATTCGGGGGCGTTCAATTTTCAGTTTAAGCATAACTTTTGTGTCTAGCCTAAGTAAAAAAATTTCCTTTGTCCTGTGACGTACAGAAAATTTGTATCGTGTTTTTTAAATTATTCGCAAACAATCAGCCGCTGAAAATAAATAATAATAATATACAACAACATAAATTAAAAGAGAAGTGAACGATGTAAATGCATTTTTTTACGTATATACAATTACACATTAAATAATAATAATAATAAAATGAACTATTGAATATACATTAATTAATTTAACTTTGCCTAAAAACTTGGAATAAAAACCGAAAAACCGACTCCGCTCCTGCCTCCGTGCTCGCCTAATGGTAACTGGTAAATATGGTAAGTGGTAACGCTTATTACGAATTGAGTACAGTGTAGAGTATCTTTTTTAGCTTCTCTTTTTTTTGGCTAGGGGGTCTATTGACTTGCTGCTGCTGTTGTTGTTTTGGATGGTGGTGGCTGCTTCAGCCGCAGATTCCGCTGCTCGTACTCGTATCGTAGACGCAGCCAAATGCCCTGGCACATGCGCACCAGTCTCTGATCCTTCTCCCGATGGACACGTGCAAACTGATACTGATCCCGGATCAGATGCTTGGCCGCCCGCAAATGGCCACGCTGTATCAGCGAAATACTGTAGTAGAGCTTGCAGCGAGCCTGTAGGAAGGGATCGCCCAGCCGCAGACCAATCTTTAGCTGCTGCAGCGAGATCTTGCCAGCCGTTTCGGCCTGTGGATATATATGTACGTATGTGTGGTTTGTACACGGAGGTCTATGGCTACACTTACGCATCGTCCGAACTGCTCGCCTAGGGCTGAGAAGCCACCGCCGAGGGTGGATAGCCAGGACATTAGATTCTCCACCTCGATGTGCTCCCAGATGGTGTGGGCCAGTATGTCGGCAAACTTGTAATCAATGGTGTCCCGCTCCGGTGGCTCGAGTTCCAACCAAATTAATTGCACGCCGTGTTGGTTCTGGAGCGTCACAGCCAGAACCCGCTGCTGCAAAAACTCTCGCAGATAATAGTTGCCATTTATGGCATCCACCTGCAGCCGCAGGCGGCGCAATTCATTTTTTTCTTGATGTGCCGCAGCCGACCCAACTTCTTCAGCTGTTGTCGAGACTGCGCACGGGCCCAGTGGTGGGCGTTTGTAGTAGTGACGCCGTTTCCAGTAGTCGCAGACACATAGAGTTAGTGTTCCCGACATAATGTTTTCTTATCAAGGTCTCGGGTCCAGTCAAAGGATGCGTACGAGCAACAGGCTGTTGTGTTGGATGGCACTCTCTCTGTTTTTGTATAGACGGCTGCACTGAGTTGGTTAAAACATAAAATTTTTTTATTAAAAAAGTCGGCACTCGCGGACTTTTGTTGTTCCGGACACTTAAATTGTTGTTAAAATTGAGTGGGAAAAATTTCTATGGAAAATAGGGTATGGACAATAGGCAAAACGGCCCAGAAATCGCAACCTATGTTAGTTAAAATACACCTCTTTTGCTTAACATACCTTGGAAGGAAGTTTATAAAATTTCCCCGCTGGGAAATTACTGGGGTATGGATAACAGGAAAAATGGGACAAAAAATGCAAAGCATGCTAGGTAAAATCCACCCCTTTTGCCAAACATACCATGAGGATAATTTACAATTTCCTCGTCCTTATAGCATATCATATGTATAAACACGGCTAGGTGGGATTCGTACGTGCTGTGCAATTTCCCTTTGCTGTTTTTGCCTATTGTCCATACCTTTCCATAGTCCAACAAAATATAGCTTTTTGGCCCAAAAGTTATCGGGATTCAAATTTCATAACTATAACATAGACTGTAAGATCAAACTAATATGAATTAACAATATTGTCGCTTCTACAAAATTTAGAAAAATTAAAAAATCTTCGAAACGTTCCTTCAAAGGCGCTCGTATCAACATATAAGTACGTGAAGAAACAACTGATTCTTAGAAATGAACAAAAACATTTCCCAATTTCTGTATCCCTTTTTGTGGATTGGCATAACATTCGTGTATTATATCGTATATAAGATCAGGCTGATCCATGTGGACAAACGTTTTCTAGTCTATGCTGTGGATATGATATACATTCTCTGTTTAATGCCACACAGGCTGGACTGGATGGTGCCGTACTGCCTTTTTCTACTGATGATATCGCATTGGACGCACTGGTTCGCTCGGCAGCAGGTGGAGCCCTTGGATGTCAAGTATACGCCCTTCAATTCTCTTATTGTGTTGGTCGTCTTGGATGGGTTGCTGATGTTGTCCTACCGGTGCATGCTGGACGACGGCAGCCTAAAGGATCGCTTGACAATCGAACAAGCCTTACTTATGGTCCATGCCGTGCATACCACTCGAATTTGGAGTGCTTCTAAGGCTCTAAAGGTGGAGTGCCTTTACTGCGATCAGCTGATTCCAGAAACCATGATTTTCTTTGAGGGATTCCAGCTCGTCGGCACCATCTTTATTTTATTCTACTACTGGCCGGCTGTGGGTCTGGGCAATGTGCTCTATCGACTACAGTGTTTTTATACTGTATTAGACCTAATTGGTAGTCGTAAAGACGCCCGCTCTGCCATTGAAAGAAAATGCAAAAAGTTGCACTATAGCGAGATAATGGACCTTTTTTGCATCATCTGCCGGGAGTCCATGGAACCCAAGGAGCGGTGTGGCTGGGTCCGTCTGCCGTGCGGTCACTCCTACCACAGGTGCTGTGCCATGGCCCGGTTTAACGGCCAGTTCCTCTGTCCACTCTGTGGCGTCAAAATACACGCGTAGCCGGAACCAGCTGGAGTGCCGCTTCATCATAATGAAATATACCAATGAATAAACCACATAGCCGCCCACCAACAGCTGCCATCTCTTGGGATTATCATTGAACTCTACAATAAGCAAAATGCTTCATAAGGTAAGCATCTATCCCAGCCTGATAGAAATGTTCTACTCATCATCAAAAAATACCTATATAAATTTCGGTTTCAGTTCGAAAAGGATTCTATCGCATTGTGGACCTTATCTCTGCCTGTTGTGTTATTTTGTTTGTATTAAGGCAGTAAACATCCAGATAATTCTCCAGATAATCCACATAAAACACTCCAAATTGAGTTGGAGCTTTCAAATTTGAAAATTTAACCGCACATTGGCAGTCAATATCGATATCGCAAAAATGATCGATAGTTACGTTCCACACTGTAGAACCCATTGCTTGGCGGCATTTCAAATCAGCAGCAACCAGTGGAATGCCTTTACAATATTTACTTTCAAATTACTTTTGAGTTGCAGCTATTTTTGACTTTTGGTAGGCAAATACATATAAAAAAGATTAAGTTTTTTTCATCGAATAATATTACATTTACATTTACAACATCAATCAAAATAATAGTGCTGCCGCAAGTGTGGAGGACACAGAGGAGAAAAGTTATACTTTCAAAGATAAACACATTGCTTATGTTTCATACTTACATATTTACCTTAAGACCTACCGGTAAGTATTCGATTCCATAGTACATCCATTTTGCTTTTATTTTTTACCAATTGATAGCTCCACTCAATCCCAGGGCTACTCGGAAAACTCGATTGTGTTGGACTTACTTTCAATGTACTGCTCTTCAAATGATCTTTGATCTACCTCTTAACCACTTTAAAATCCTCTGAATAGTTCCATCGTTTATCTTCATAGTTTCATGATTGTTATTCGAAATTGGAGATACTTTCTGCACAAAAATTGATTTGTGGCCATTGGGTTCCGTTCGTGCTGCCATAATACCATCTGGAAATGACTCAATTTCCCTTTGGTGTAACTGCATCCTTTGTGGGCCTTGCGGGCCAATGGCCAATTGCGTCAACATGGCCATTATCATTATCAAACAAATGTTGCTGCCGCTGGCGCACCCATTCCCATCCCTCTCCCTCTCTCTCGCGCTCTCTCAATTTCTCTTTGCCAACAAATCTGTTAACAGTTGGCAATAATTGTGCAGCAGTGGCAACATTGTCCCCATCTGCCCCAGGGCGAGGGGATGCCCCTCCCCTCGCATCATAATTTCTGTGGCTGCTTTGTCATCCCATCCCTTCCCTTCCCGTCGTTTCGCTCCTTCCCCAAGGCCCTGCCAGCAGAGTCAGCCTCTTCAACATAATGTTTGCTGCTATTTTTGGCATTTGCCTTTTATTGTGGCTGCCAGTGTTGTCATCGATAGCATTAATTTCGGTAAGTGCGCCAGCTCCTCGGCGATAGAGGCAGCTCCTCCTGCCGCTGCCACTGCTGCACATTTCAACACGATTTTTATGGCACGACATATCCGATCCGAGGCACAACATTTTTCTGAATTATGCGCTCAATTTCCGTTGAATCGACAGGCAAGATTGGGGGGATCCCCCCCAATCCCGATCCCAATGTCTGGACTATTGTGTAATATTAATTGCTCACAAAACCATCGGAAATTGCATTTCGCACTGGCGATGGCAATGGCAGTGGCAAAAACGTCCCTTATTTAAATGCAATTTTTATTTCATAATTTTCACGGCTCATAAAATGGTAGCAACAATGTTGGGTGTCCAGCCCAAGGCCCGTCCCGAGTCGCGGAGCACGTGCGCCATCTGTGCCCTGTTGAAGTGGAGAGTGACAGAGTCAGAGCCAGAGCCAGAGGCTGGGAAAGACGAAGAGAGATTTGTTTGTGGGCGTGTCAGCAATATGTCAAATATTCCCCTCGACAGTCAGTCGCGCATGCGTCCCCCTACAAAAGGGTTTCCCGTTCCCGTTTCCCGTTTTTTTTTTTTGGGTTGGTCAGGCCGCCGTTTCCCACTTGAGTCGCGTGTTGAGGCGTCTCTGAGGAAAGATCCCTATCCAGGCATAAATAACAGTAAAAAAAAAACAAGACAAGAAAAGTACGAAGGTAGTCGACTAGCTGATGCCCTGAAGGACATCCCCTAGAAATCAATGGCATTTCTGGCACAAGTTATTACGAGTACGAGTACGAAGCATTATTTAAAGTACTTAGAGGGCTGACATGATGAAGGAGATACGAACATATGTTTCGGGAAACCGATGGGTCATTTCTTTCATTTAAAGACTGTAGTATTCGATCGTATTCAGAACATTCATGATGAGAAGCTTTTGATCTGCAAGGATTTGGGTTGGTTTATCTTTTGGCAGAACCTTCTTAAAGACAACTTTGCTGGGAAAGGATTTCGATGTCCTCAAGCAATAGGTTTAGAAAATACATTCTTTTGGATGGGAAACATCCAATATCATTTAACGAATCACTAAGGATAATGATAAGTGTTTCACTGATCCTCCTAGAAGCTCCATTCTGTGTGCCTCTCAATCTTTGATTACTCATAAATCACAATCATTTTGCATGATACAAGAGCGCTTCTTAGCCCTTTCGGACTGTCCCAGGCATACCCTACTGACTGGCATACCCCTGGCATACCCTAATCTGTGGGTTACGCTGCTGGGCTGCTCTAATGCATAAACAAAGACTCAAGTGTCGGGCTCGGGATCGGGATCGGGAACGAATGAATGCGAAAAGCGGAAAAACGAAGACAACAACAGCATAAACACGGTTTCACTTTCAAAGCGATTAGCTACGGATGCGCCCGCAGCCCCAGCCCCCCGCCCCAGCCACTGGAACCTGCAACAAACACACTCAGAGATGATAAGAATAACAGTTTCTTTTCCCGTCCCGCACCACTTGAAAGGATGAGAAAGAGAGGGAGAGAGAGAGACACTAACACGGACCTTCAAGCCATTTGACACCATGCAAGATGCCAGATCGAAACTCCAGAGATCGGATCGACGGAGCGACAGGGCGCACACCTACAACAACAAATACGGGGATGTGAAGTGGACCTACCACATCGTTGGGATGACAATAAATATCGAAAATATTCATTTTACAGTGGCATCCAAATCATCTTTCCAAATGATTTTTCATTCCACTCTCAAGTGGCCCAGCCCCGACCATTCGCATACAGACAGACAGACACACCAATTGATTATCACCATATAATGATAGGATAGGGCGTGGACACACACATGTGCCGGGCCGTAGTAGTGCCGTATATAATTTGGAGCGAAACCCAGCCGGACTTTTGAGCACGATGATAGAAACACGGCAAGTTCCTTTCCCCCAAAGATATGTACATAGTACGATTATGTACATACGTCACACGAGTATGCCGATTATTACTTATCAGCCCCGTAAGTGTTTTTGGCGATAAAACTAAACGGTGATGATGATTCCCATTCCCATTCCTGTCGATGTCGAACCTACCCGCCACAATTTTCGTAGAATTCCATGGGTTCGGCTCGGAATCTTGCCATGAAATGAATGTAGTGTGTTAGTGCTATGACCGGACACAACCTGTCCAACGATTGCCCTTTCTATTAGTCAGTCAAAGAACCCGACACATTCGCAACCTGTCCAACGATTGCCCTTTCTATTAGTCAGTCAAAGAACCCGACACATTCGCAATCTTCGTATCTGAATCACTCACAGCCTAGTCAAGTTATTCATTCATTCTTGAGTTAGTCAGTTATCGGGTTAGTAATATGCTCTTCGAGCTTATACGTAGGCTGGCTAGTGAAACACCAACAAAGACTGAATGGAAATGATTTTCAAATATTCTCTATGATAATGGATATCCGCTGAAACCAATCTTCAAAGCCCTTATTGCACTCCTCTGAAACGAGGTTTTTGGGGGCAAAAATACTTTTTGACGGCCAAATGCTCGTGCAAGTTGGAATCTTAGATCGCATGGAATCCCGTATTTTGTGATGAAAATGGATGTGCGTAACACCCAGAAGGAAACATTTCCGACCCCATAAAGTATATATATTCTTGATCAGCATCAATAGCAGAGTCAATATAGCCATGTCTGTCCGTCTTATTTCTTTCCAGGAATGTCACAGCGAGTATATACATATATATATATGTAAGTCCTTTACTCAACGGGTTTATATGTGTATTTGTGTATGTATTTCCTTTTTTAGAAAGTACACTCTCATAAGCCATCGTCCATTATCTCCTCCTTGACCTTTTGACCCTTATTACATACAAGAATTCTACAATGGAGTACACCATATACAATGCATTTGTATACGAAAATGATCAACAAAATTCATTGGGTTTTCTGTGCCTGCAATTGAAATTATTCCCGAAAAAATACGCCACCTCCCCTATTAAATGCCCCTCTTTACCTCTGCATATTCCACCCTCCCATCTTGCCCCATGCAACCTCCTCCCCTTGCCGCAGTACTCCCTTCAATCAGTCGGCGACACATCTGTTTGTTCTTGATCGTTGTTTTTGTAGAAATTTTATGCAAGTGTTGAGAAATTTATGTTCTACTTGGTCGCTGCTCTAAGGCGAATTGCATGCCAATTTGTTCTTATTTATGAGAGGACCACAGCCAGAGAGGCCGGGGGGGGCTGGTAGATGAGGAGATACAAGAAGATATAGCGTTATTAAATTTTAGACATCCACGGAGCTCTTTGATGCCGCTGCGATCAGAGAGTGGAAAGTATTTCCTCTAAGGAACACTTTTAGACTATGTTTTTCTGTTTTTCGTATCGTATAGGATCGTATAGAATCGGCTCTGTTCGGTTTCCTCCGGTTACGTGTGCGGGTCTTTGGTAAAAGTTCAATATGCCATATAATCAATCTCCCTTCGCCGATCTCTCGCGTGTCAAAATTCTCCTGTGACTAATGATTGTCGGACATTTGATGGCTTGTCACAGTTTTTGAGAAATTCATTTCATTTCACTTTTTTTTTCGGAGCGTGTGAAATTGAGATTGAAGTGCCGTCTCGTTTCGTTTCGTGTCGGTAGAGGTGGCGGTGGCGGTGGAGGTAGCGAGGGTGTTGGAGGAGGTGCAGGTTAAACGTCACCAAAGCGACAATACTAATGATAACGGGACCATGTGTCGCATGCCTCACTGATCGTTCCATCCGATTACTCCTACAGTATGTACACATGTCTGTATACATATATATATTGGCTCTGTATATGTATTCCTGTATCTCCCATGCGTGGAGTACAGGGTACATTATCTATGCTCACGATCTGTAGGCGGCTATAGCTGCTATATTTGCCATCGTCGTACCTATAGCCCTAAAGACAAAAAGCTGGGCTCATTTTCTACTAATAACTTTATAATTTTTTTTTAAATTAATATTCTTCTTTTGCGCTACTTAGTTTCTGCCTTTTCTCATTTAATTCAAATCCACATAAAGAAATCTGGGTAGCGGATTTTCTATAGTCGATATATTTGAGTACATCGTACTTAATTCATGATTTAATTGGCTTGCGTTACGATTACAATATTAAAAATTGGGGAGTACTTAAAAAGGTACATAAGTGCACAGAAGAATGTACATATCGCCTTCAATTTCACCATTATTGATAGACTCATATCTATTTTAGCAGTATATAATTATATCAGGAATACAACATATTAGGTATGGACAGGGCTTAAGCTACATTTGTACCACAAATGTTTTAAAAAAAATAATGAAAAAGTCAAAATTTAAAATACAAATTATTCCAGTTGAATAGTAATTGGGTAGCCCTATATATAAATAAAAAATGTACAATATTCGTACGTACAATTTCAAAAATATCAGCCAAAATATAACCTGACGATATATTACAAAAATTAAAAGTGAATTTTGAGGTTGGGCCACAAAATCGTAAAACCCTGCAAACAGGGTAGGACAAGCTGTAATACATTTTTTGTGCTAATATATATATAATATTCAGAGTTAATAGATAATAAAACATAGTTAAATATGTTAGAGAGACTTTGAGAAAATACTTTTACCAAGTCATCTTTCATATAGGAGACAATATTAAAGCAAATTACCGGAAAAGTAGACCTTGGTTTTCGGATTATAGTTAATGCAATTATATTTCAATTATTAGAATTATTTAAATTTTGTTTTTAAGGTTTTTTTTAAAGGATGTAAATGCCCAAATATATACAAATAAATCTGAGACAACCGAAAAATAGGCAGACAATTAAAAGACTTTATACATATGCCATTCGAACACATTCCAACAGAAGTATAATTGATTTCACATTATTCAAATCGTTTTTTAGAACAGATTATACGAGTAGATACTTCCAAATGCCATTCATCGGTAAGAACTAATGAAAATGCCAAGCAATTGTTCAACGAATAGTTCCATAGAGAAAATAAGATGCGTAGAACCGAGTCCCCCTCCCGGAATGGACTTCATTTGTTGGCCAAATCGATTTGAATAGAATATAAATCGACCTCGATCGTGGTACGAGTTAAATGTTTGTTTGCCCCGAAGATCCGCTCGTCAATCAGCGGGCCGGGCCGGGCCAGCCAAGGAGGAAAACTTATCAGGATGGTAAACGCATTTCGAGGGTCGACGGACCCCGCAACGATAACAATGGGGGGAGGAAATGGGGAAAAGGGGAAAACGGGAAAATCGGAGCGATACAGATACGGTTTTATGGCTGTCGTGCATTCGCTCTCTCCCATCTTCGTACTTTCTCTTTCTCACCACCCATCTACACCCCAGTTTATCAGCCTGTGATCTTTAGTTTTCCACTATCCCCAGCCCCTCTCTGATCTTTCTCCTCGTTCACATCCGCAATTGTGATTCCACCTTTTCGATCCCACACCCACAATAGCTCCTCTTTCTTTTCCACCTTGTTCTGCATCCATTCCATTTTCCTTTACTCCATTTTTATACCCGATACTCAAAATGAGGTATATTAGTATTGGGGTATATTAGATTTGTGGTGAAAATGGATGTGTGTAACGTCCAGAAGGAATCGTTACATACATATAAGAGCCGTCTGCCGGAGGAGAGCCATACTGACTAAGTATCGGGTATAAGTGTAGAGCTGCAGTCTCCGCAGCAACTCACAACGTTCCCCCTCGTTTTCCTTCTTTTTCTGTCTTCCACTTCCATCACTCTCTCTCTCCTGGTTGCTTTTCCACAGCCTAGAATTACATTTTACATTTCTTTTGTCCGTTTCTGCCTTCCTTCTGATACTCCACCTCCTTCTCTGTGTATTTTTTCGGTTTACTTTGTTTTGGTCTCCCTCCAGTACCTCCCCATCTTCCTTTCTACTGCTCCCACAATCTGTTCTCCTTCTCCTTCTCTCACTCTCACCACTTGCCCCACCACCACCACCACTCTGCTCCAATCTGAGTCTCTTTCTTCCTCCAATCCTCTTCATTAGTCTGTCTCTATCGCTCTCACTCTGCCTCCACCCTTTAGGTCTCCTTCGCACACCTTCTTCCCCAGCATTCTCCTCCTCCTCCTCCGCGTATGCCACCTTTAGTACCTCTATTGCCAGCCCTTGATCGAACGATGCTCTTTCGTTGGTTTTTCTCAATTAAGGCAACGGCACTTTTTGTTTAGAAAGAGACGGCTACACAGAACGAAAGAAAGAGACGGGCGGGACGGAGCACTGAGCAAGGCATAAACAAAATGGTAAATGGTAAATGGAAAATCGTGTGATTTTCCTCGCCGCATTTCCCAATTACCGATCGCCTACGATCGCTCCCGCCGGCCATTTTGATATTGAAGAAAATTAAAATTTCGTTTTGCTTTTTTTTGTTGTTTTGTTTTTGTTAATTTATGATTTTTGTTGCTGCTGAAACTGTTTCAGTTTTATATTTAGAGAGAGAGATAGAGAGAGGGAGAGAGGGATACGCTTTTCTTGTATGTACATAGAAGCCGTAAGAATAATCGGAACGAGAATTTAGGATTGAGGATTGAGGACTCTACAAATGTTGGGCGCAAAAAAAAAACAGTTTAATATTAAAACATTAATCGTATGATAAAATTACATTTTACAAACTATAAATATGCATTTTTTTTCGCTTCTTTTTTCTGGTTTTCTCTTACATGGCACACACACATATTTTTGGTTGCTTTTACATATTTAAGAACTAGGCAAAAAAAAAAAAACAAACAATAATTTTTAGATATTTAAAGAAATACTTGTAATACTTTTTGCATTTATTTGGTTTAATCTCAACTGCTGCTAATACTTTTTTGCTGCGATCTGCAATGTCCGATCCGCGATCTAGCGGGGCACCAGATCTATATAGCTATTGGGTCGCATCATCTGATGATGGGCCGCCGATCCGTAGAAGGTCTGGTAGCTGGCCGTCATTCCATAGGCGGCGGCTGCCGCATGCCGCGACACCTTCAGCTTGTCGTAGGCACTGGCATAGGGTCCATGCCCATGCCCATGCCCATGCCCATGCCCATGGGCATGGTTGTGGGCGTGGCCATGGTGATAGTGGGCGGCAGCAGCAGCGGCAGCATTATGATGATAGATTGCCCCAAAGTTGCTCTGCTCCTGGGCATAGGGCTGGCCGATGCTGGAGTAAATGTTAGCCGCCGCCGCCATCACCTGGGTAGTTGCCCCAGCGCCAGCTTCTGCGCCTGGTGCTCCTGCTGCAGTTGCTCCTCCTGCTGTTGGTGCCCCTCCTGTGGCCGCTGCACTGCTGGCGGGGACTACAGCCGGCGGCGAGGCTGAGCTGGTGGAGTGTGGCGTCAGTGGATGGGTCTGGTAGGCATGGTGATAGCTCCCATATTGATTGTGGCTCTGGTGATGCAACGTGGCATGTTGCTGCTGCTGGTGTTGCTGCTGCTGCTGTTGCTGCAAGTGATGTTGCTGCTGCTGCTGCTGTTGCTGCTGCTGCAGTTGCTCCATTTGGAAGGATAACAGATCCGGGGAGTTCCCTGAGGCGGAGCTGCTCGAGGGCGTGGCTGGCAGTTGCATGCCACTCTGTTGTTGCTGCTGCTGCTGCTGCTGTTGTTGGGGATCCACACTCAGCTCTGTGCAACTCAGGCTGAAAGTGTTGCTGGTTGTTCGTTCCTTGCCACTCAACTGTTGCTGCTGTTGCAGCTGCTGCTGCTGCTGCTGTTGCTGCTGCTGCTGTTGCTGCTGTTGCTGCTTCATGCGAGCCTGGCTCTCGTGGCTCATGGTGCTGCCGCTGGTTCTGAAATACAACATTTAAGAAAAAACGTTAATTAAAACATTGTTAAATAAAAGGAATCCTTCAGTAGCAAAACCATCCTGCTTTAAATATTTCAAAATAGTTTTTCTAAAAGTTTCTTTAAATTTTGGGACACTTTATAATATTTTGCTAGGAAAAGATATTTAAAATAGAAAAATAAACTCCTCAATTGTTGAATAATGCATTGGAATTTATGGCAAAATCGAACACAAATAATAGATTAACGTTGCTACTTTATGCGTGAACCAAAACTGTGTTCAGAATTTTGGGAATTTCTGAATTTGTTATACTGTTCAACATCTGCTAAGATTTGAACGATAATTTAAATAAAATTCTGATAAGCGTTTGAGTTGAAACAGAATCCCATACAAGAATTATTGTATGTGAACCAAAAAATTTGGAGAACAATTTTTGAGAAATGCTAAGCATTTTTGTGCTTTTTGATAAACATCAGGGCATAAACAATAGAAATTGCAGAGCAGACCCCTGATTTGTTTAGAATATGCTGCGCCCAAGATTGGGCTACCAGCTCCCGTTCCAGTTCCCGTTCTCGACAAATATGAAAAGCCCTCGGAAAACAGAGTGAAATTGTTTATGCCGCCGTCCCATCTGTCAGTCGTACCATCAGCATTCGGGCATCATCATCATCATCAGCATCAGCAACAGCATCCCCATCATCATCCTCGACATCACTGGCTGCTGTTCTACATTTTGAAGTTCTTTTGTTTTTGAGTTATTGTTTCCCTTTTTTTTTTTAGATATTTTGTTTGCTGCGACGCATCGGCAATTCCGGGAATGTCTTTGCCCGCCGTCGACGGACTGTCTAGTTCCACTTGGGACTGGCACTAGAGATGGGGGCTGGCAGCCCCCAGTACGGCAGAAGTGGCTTTGATTTCCTAACAAATTGTCCCGCTTTTTAAAAGCAATCTAATTGGTTTCTTATTTGAGTGCCTTTTAAATATAATTTTGATAAGTAAAGATAAAGACTCACACATCATTGGTGCCATCGTCTCGGAAGCCTTTGGCGAAGGGATTGCTGGAGATCTTCAGCTGTGTCACCTGCAATACGGAAAGAAACAATTTATGGCATTCGGGTATTTTGGAAAAGTATTGGTGGCTGGGGGAACAGAAACTACTACGAAAACAAATAAATTAGATACCCAACAAATTAGAGAAAAATGTTTACAACTGGAATTCGCATTGGGAAATACGAGCGGAACACACAAAATGATTTGCAATAAATTTGAAGAGGCCGCGGAGCAGGAGGTGGCGGTGGAAAACTGTTAACGCCCACATTGAGCGCATAAATAATTTAAATACTTTTCAAGAATGTCTAGATATATTTATAGCAAATGTTCTCTCGGCCAGCGATTACCCGTTTCAGCCCCACTGTCCCCACTTGCCAGAATTATGAATTATGCCCGAGACAAATATGAGGAGGTATGGAGAAGGCCTCGAGTCCCCCTATTTTGTCGTGAATCTTGCGCCCCCACGATAAGATACTACGAGTGGCACTCAGGGCTTTGTACCTTTCCCCTAAGTTTACCTTCTGACACTTTGGTTGTGATAATATTTGCTGGGAGCAAGCAAAGATTCTCCTGTGTTAGCTCATCATTTTTCTGCAATCTTTTGATGCATTTGCCAAAAAACGTATTTAAATTTCATCGAGAATTAAGCGATCATCATTAAGTGGAATTTAGTTGATTTTCTAATATTTGCTAGGAGGATTTTGGACAAAACTCAACAAAAACTGTTCACTAAATTGGGTTGGAGTTCAATCCATCACAAATAATTAGAAAAACTAATTTAAAAATAGAAAACAGTGTGTTCATATCTTGAATGATGGTTTACTATAGGATCTTGTTAAATGATTTACTTACAAAAAATACTTTAAAGTACTGTATGTGAAATTTCTCATTTTATATATGTGGTTTTTCCCATTTACCTTCATATATGATTTTTCTAGAAATTCCTAAACTATTATTGTCCTAGATAAGTGTATCTTTGCAGTCGGTGATAGGCATACTTTTCCTATAGTATTCTTTCAGATATTTCTGCTGTTGTTGTGTGGAGCTCTGGCCCCTGCTCGTCATAAGTTATGGGAAAATCATAAACAATGAGGCCAAAACGGCGCAAAATGGTCGCGGCCTCTTGTTTGGTATGCCATCGCCCAGGAGTGGCTGTGCAGGAGAGGGCATAACTTTTGGGCATCTATGGGGATTACCCATTTAATTCGCTTGAATACGGTAAACGTTTTCAAAGGAAGACCGAAGACCTCGGCTGCTCGGCACTTACCCTCTGATTCTGGTAGGCAGTCACGGCCGTAAAGCTCGTCTCCGGAAAGATGAACGTGCGAAAGTGGCTCGAGTGCTCGTTCTCATCCAGGGAGGCGTTCTTCGGGGGCAAGTAGACCAGATGGAAGCGCGGCTGATAGCGATGCATCGAGTTCAGTATGATCTGTAGAGCGGAACGGGGGGGAGAGAAGCATTTCCAGGAGACATTAGCGCACTGGGCAACGGAACACCGTGTGCTGTCTGTTGTCTGAAGTCACTCACATGGCCGTTCTCGTCCAGCTGGTTGTTGGTCAGCTTCAGCTTGTCGAAGGACACGATCTGTTTCATCCAGTTGGAGCCGGCCGCTGGCGAGTCGGGATGGACATGGATGCGAGGCGGTGAAATAGGATCCGCTTTGCCGGCCACCACCCAGCAGGAGCTGCCAAGGACGGAACACACGCATCATCATGGATGATCCATCAGCTCTGATAGATCTCTGATAGATACTCACTTGTGGAAGGCATAGCGATAGCGCTTATCGTCCATGGGCACAAAGTCCATCATGCAGATGTAGGTGGCATGGGGATCGAGGCCCCCGATCCGCACCTGAAACGTGGGAAACATGCGACGACCCGTCTTCGTGATGATCATCTCGGTGCCCTGGGCATGGAACTGATCCCACAGCGCCTTCGTCTCCAGCACAACGATGGCCTGGGCCAGCGATGGATGCACTGGCTCTGATTCCTAACGATAGTTATAAGAAATGAATAAACGAATAAACGATGAGTGTCCGATGTAAATCATACATCATATATTTATGTATAGATCATATTTATTTATAAAGAATATTATAAACCCAATGCCGATCTATTAAGGAACTAGAATGTTGGTAATTTAATTTATAAGACTCTGTAAGAATTGAATTAAAGTAGTGGGATGTGGGATTCGAAACGAGTATTTCGAAGGTGAAATGATGTGTGCATTCTTTTTAGATCTCGTTAGAATATGGATATTTGATGATCGATGAATCGAATCATTAAGTGTTACTCCTTCTTACCCCTTTGGCATTGCTGCTGGCGCTGTGATTGTTGTTGGCTTTTACAGAACTATTTTCCAAACTGTTGTTGTCTTTTTTGTGTTGATTTTTGTATTTCTTGGCTGGTGTGCCCGCGGCGGAAGGTGCTCCCGCCGGTGTGCTGTCCCCTGGGCCCGACACCAAGGCTGCTCCGCTTGTGGCCTCGCTGCTGCCGCCGGCATACTCTTGGTGGAGCAGCGAGGTCTGCTGCTCCTGGCAGCCGCCATTGGGGTTGCTGAGGGAGCTGCTGCTGCTGTTGCTGTTGCTGCTGCTGCTGCTGGACCCTGCCGCCGTGCCACTGCTGCCCATGCTGTGCGTCTCGATGTCGGCCAATTTGGCATCGATCTGTTCCAGGGGCTTGTAGGAGCTGCGATCCTTGCCAGCCGTCTGAATGCAGGCTGTAATTAGTACATGTCGGTTTTTGGTTATTTTACATTGGAAATAATGCATCTCCCAAGATTACGCTTCCCCAAAATACACATGTTTCAACCTACTTTGGTTGTTCTTTGACAAATGAGCGGAAAATATTTCCCCATAAATCACACACAAGCCAACCGAATGGATATAAAGCAGCTGAGATTTGCTAATTTCATATTTAATTTGATTTATGCGATTTAAAGTGGAAGACACGGAAGACCTGCAGTAATGGAGACGCCACGCCGGCGCAAATTCACCAGATACTCGCTCTATACCCTCACCCTCAACCGATCTGGCTATATAATGAGCCGACTTTCGCTGGGCAAAAACTGAACAAAACGGAACAAATGGGACAACATATCCAATTATAAAAAGGCGTCAGAGCAGCGGCTGCTGATTGAGACGCCTGCTCTAAATTTAGTTTTCTCCCCTCAAGGGCCCCGTGCCCCGGGCGGCCCCGGGCGGCGGCGGTGGCGGCGGCGGAAGGGCTGTGCGGCTTCTGGTTGCAAGTAAATTTTGCAATTAATTGTCAACGATTCGCTGGGATTCCCTGGGATCGCTGCCAATGACCCATGACAGGTCGACACTGGTGCCTCTTGGGCCTCTGGCTCGACAGTTTCCCGCCATCAATTGTCGCTTAATGAGACACACTTTTTCGGCTCCATTCCTTCCACTGTTTTTCTTTTTTTTTTGCTTTTTTATCGCTGGCTCCACGTTCTCGCTGTTGTTCTGAGTGCTTCACGAATGAATTCTAAAATCAATTAACGTTTGGCACAACAAATCGTTTTTCTGTCACACAAAAACATCAAACAACAACAACAGAGGCGGAGGCAGAGGCAGAGACAGAGGCAGAGGCAGAGAAAAATGCCACTTGAGAATCGCAATCTCGCAGAGAAGTCCGAGCTAATTGCTCTGCCTTCTGTGCCTTCTCTGCATTCTGTGGTGGCTGCTGCCATGGTTCGTGTATTTTGGTAATTACTGTATCCGAAACGGCACTCAAATCCATTGAGGCTCGATAAAAAGAGCCCGAGAAAAACCACTTATGAGCTCCACTTTGGCGGTGGCCCTCGGAACAAATTTTCAGCAAATTTTTCGAAAGCTGAGTTGAGCATTTTCAAATGCTTCAAAATTGAAAGTAATCATTATTGAATTGCGAAATGGATTTGGTACATACGCAATTATTTAATAAATATTTCAAAGGGTATAAATAAATCTTTCCAAATGATTTCAAGTTTGAAAGTTTTTTTCATTTGAATAAAACAAAATAATATTATTCAAAACATAATAGGGCTGTGCTTCCTTGTAGCTTTCCAAAATGATATTATCTATTACAAAAAGTACCTCAATCTTTCCTGGAATATTCTTCAATAAGTTGAAGATTTAATTTGATTTGTGTAGGTGAAGGAAAAAACTATAAATATTTCGAAATCCAGCGAATAATCGTCCTGTGATTACCAGTAGCATAAATTTCCTCCAAAAACCTCTTCTGTTCCCGAAATGCTAAAAAATCCCACCTATTTTCGAAATGTTTCAATGTTTAGTTCAAACAAAGGAATGGTAATCTTTCAATCTGAACTTCCTCATTCTAATGCACATTTATATTTTGTTTTGGAATAATCTATTGATGTTAGATGTAAGACTAAGTAAGCTTTATATAAAGCCCTCCTAATCAGCCTGAACATGATGCACATCTGATGTACCATCAAAGCGCACAATCCTTGTTCAGAAGCTCATCTTATACTGATTTTTCCGAGTTAGGCCCAAATGAAATGGGGTACACGGGATGTTTATGGTTGTTTGGGTAAATCCCAGCGCAGTTTTCTACCAAAAACCTTTGGCTACAGAGTGCATCTGATTGGAGGAGACTCACCTTCGATCTGTTTCATGGGGCTGAGGCCGCCGGTCATGTAGGGCGTGGTCCAGTAATCATTCGCATAGCAGCTGTAATCCGTTAGGTTGGGGCCCAGGCCGTTGTCCAGGAAGGGCATCGAGGTGCTCATCATGGCGCTGGCGCACTCCGTGGGACCCATCAGGTGAGTCATTTGAGCCCGTATTAATCCCTCGATATGCTTATTGTTGTATCTATGTATATCTGGTGGTCAATTGGTGGCAACTTTTGGCTATCACGATAAAAAAAAGTAAGTCTCACTGAATTCTGGGCCCATTTATTTGGTTTTGCTGGGCTAGTTGTTGTTTTGATCTCAAACGTTTTTCGCGCAGTTGTCAAATTTGATTATTGAATCCGCGCACACACACAGAACACACACGCACACACACAATCATGGGAGTACACTGAAAAAAGCTACGATTCGAGGGGGGAGGTTGTCAATCAGAATCGAGAGCGAAATCAACGGAAAAAAAATTGTATTCTCATTTGGGTTTTCCTTATTTTCGCAGCCGCTTCAACACTTTGAGGCAATTTTCCACCAAATGTTGTCTTGTTTTTTCTTTGTTTCAAATCATCCGCTTCTGTTTTATGGCCCGCTGGCGTTGACTGGCGAAAATTTTCGGCGTGATCGATCACTGTTCGATCGATCGATTGATTGACTTGAACTTCTTTTATTTGTTTCCTTATTTTTGTTGTTTCTTTGCAGAAATCTCGCTTCGCTTTTGTCGGAGGCGTTGAGTTGTCTCAATTGCCACCTTCTTCCGGCCAAGTGTGAAGTGATTTTTGTCGATCGAGTGTACACACGCGAATAGGCATTTATCTATCTATACCGAACACCGAGCACCGATCACCGAGCACTCAACTGATCTCAATTGAACTGATACTGATCTGAAGAAGATCCACTGATCTGAACCGATCGCAGCGTTGCACACACATCCGTTCCGTCAGGCGCTTGTCTGCCGAATGAGATCTCTGCCGGAGACTGACTGCAGCTCTGAAAGATCTCGCCCATCCAATGGATCTGCGCTGGTTCCTCTCCCTCTTCCCGTTCTGCCAATCGCTGCCAGCAGCATCCAAATTTAGACAGAGTCCATATGCCGATCAGTCGACCAATGGCTGTGGCTGTGGCTTTGCCTCTGGCTGAGGCGTCTCCTCCTTCCGGGGGCCTCTCAATCGATTTGTGTCGACATCTGTTTGCTCTTCGCTGTCCGTACGTTCTTTATGGCCGGGCAGAACCGATGTGCTCTTCGGCGTAGAGCATAGGGAGCGAAAGAGACATCGATTAGCTGGGGGATATGTACAGTGGAGCTTCCCATGGCTCTATCTATCTATCCCTATAACATTTCAATTTAAATTAAGCCTAAACATACAACTTTTTTGTATGCACTTGTCTGTTGATCCTTGACAAAGAACTGTTTATGTTTTTCCGATGTCAAGAAGGTCTGACAGAGGGACACTGAAGTAGTCGGTTCCCAGGCAGTGATCCGTTTTATAATAAATGTTTCAATCGTTCGTTAATCGTTGGCCACCAGGTCAGGCTTTACTGTACTCTTGCTCTCCTCCTCCACGGATGCTCTCTCTGTGCCGTGCTCTCCCAGGAGGCGTGGTCTTCTAGCGGCGGCGATCTTTGGGTCTGCTCTGTGGTGGGGGCTGCGCGCCAGTGGGCGTGTGCTGGCTGGGTGGGTGGCTGGCTGACCTGAGTCATTTGGAAAATGCGTTTAATTGGACTGCCACCACATGTGGGCAGTGGTGGCAGTGGTGGCAGTGGTGGCAGTGATGCTGCCGCCTAGTGGTGCCCATAAATACAAATTGCGCCATAACCTCGACACTAAATAAACCGTAAAGAGGAATACGGAATAACCAGCGAGAGGAGGGAGACAGACTGAAAGCGAGTGGGAGTGACAGAGAGAGACATAGAGAGTAAAATGGCGTCTGTTTGGCATGAGCCCACGGGGGGGATCCGATCCGATGCGAACCGAACCGAACCGAACCGATCAAAGCGAACGATTTGTTTCTCCTGCTTTTTTCGGTGTCTGCTTTTCATCAGCCACACGGCATTCAATTAACGGCACAAATGCAGCAGGCAGCCGCCATACCTGGTCGGAGCCCTACACCTACACATACACCTGCACGTTCCTGTACACCTGACGCGATTTGTTTATACGGATCGCACTCTACGGATTCCTATGGGCATAAATCTTTGCATCCAGTTGCGCCCAGGACTTATCCATTGGCCATTTATGGGTAATGGCCCCCCAGCCACAGCGCCGCTCTGTTTACCATTATTTTGAGTTAAGTGGTTTTCGTTTCGTGAGATCGGAATGGAGACTACATAAATAATTCATAAATTGTTGAATGCTTTTCTGGTTATTACATTATTTGTTAATCATTTGTTTAGCCATAAACAAATGGAATTCAAATTGTGAATATTCGGAGAAGCGATTCGATCTGCGTAGATCGAGAAAGCATTAAAAATGATTTTTCAGTTCAAAAAATGGGCTTCCGATAGACGATGGTATATGGACTAAACATATTTACACATATCCTTAATATTAGCAAGCTCAGAATTTGTATTTACATATTATCCAGGCGTCTAAATTCACATTTCCCCCGATCATTCAGTATTTTTTTGGAACTAACCATCATCGCATAGAAAATTCAAAACTGCTCAGGTCACAGTATGCAGATCTATGTTCAAACACGTGATGGCAAGAGGACTCCCTTCAAGACCGGCCACTTTGGCACCGCGGGCGAACTGAAGATCCGCATCGGTCGCGCGCTGGGCGTCCCCATGGGCTTCAGTCGATTGGTCTTCAGGACAAAAATACTGAAAAACAGCGTACAGCTCGAGGAAGCCGGTGTCAGGCCGCTGTCAACGCTGGAGCTCTATTGGCAGCCGGTTATCTGCACCCGGAAGAGGTTCAGCGAACTGGAGCTCAGCGGGGAAATGAGCGTGCTGGAGGGTCGAACCGGTCACGGCGGCAGGTCGGAGAGCTATGATCAGATGTTGAAGAAAGGCGGCACCACGACCAAGTCGAGGTCGAGCGGCCAGGACCCACGTCTTGGCCGTGCCAGAGGTCCAAAGTCCGCAGCCTCCACCGCCGCTCCCTCCGTTTCTGAGGTCGTGCTGGCGAGCCGCCCGGGAGCCGGCGTTGGGGAGCAGTCCCAGGAGGATGATGAGAAGGAGGTGGAAGAGTGCTCTGACCTATCAGATGATGAGATCGACTTAATGGCCATCTTCCGCCGGCAGAGGTCCGATATGAAATCTTTTGACGAGCTACCCTTCAAGAATGAGCCCCTGGACGAAAATACTAGCTTGGGCATTGTTCCGGAAAAGCTGGAGGAACGGCAGGAGCAATGAGGACCTAGACAGATCAATGATAATCCTCCCTAAGCTACACCAATCCAAGGGACGCTCGCTCTTAAGAAAAATAAAGAATGTTTCCAAATTCTAAGTTTATTCCCCCAAAATTCAATCCTTCGATAAGCTCTAAATTTTCGTTTCAGCATTCCCAGGAAGTATAATAAATATATATAAATTCTTTCCATTTAAAAATGTAAACCTATCCGCGGATAACCTAGGATATATAGGATATATGATCAGTCGGATATTGAAATATCAAAACATTCTAGCAGTTTCGCGTTGCAATTGTTGATTTATTCCATAGATTGATGGACTTACCTTTATCCTTAGTTCTGATCGAGATTGGGGCTCCTACACTGTACATTGTCCAGAGCTAGTATCCATTATTAGTGAGGACACATCAACTGAACGGATTCCCGTCACATGGATATATCTGGATATATATCTCCCCATCTTATTGGATGATCTATTTTCACATTGCGAGCGATGGTTCAATTGGAAATGCCCCCAGGAAGGAGAGAACCGACAAACCCAAAGGCAATGAAAAATAATTGACAAACATTTTGAAGGCGTCGACACATTTATGCACCCCCTCATTGGCGGAGAGCTTCCGGTTCGCTGCCACGCCACGGGAAGTGGCGGTGGACGGGGTACGTGGGACGGGGGGGGACAGTGAACTGTCAACTGCATTTTTTTGGGGGGTGTCAAGTGCTGAAGTGCCCCGACCGTTGGCACCCCATAAAATCGAAAGCAAACAAAAGTGTTTTGATCAATATTGTTTCCCTCTTTTCCATTACATTTTCATCTTTATTTTTGCTTTCGTCTCTCAGTTTTCGTGGTTCAAAGCAAACAAAGGCAGAGTGTGATTTTTATATAATTACAAATTACAAAAAAAAAAGAAATGAATATCTAATAGAATAGTATATAATTCTGAAGGAAAAATGTGGCTTTCAATGTCCCCAGCAAGAGAGATGGAGAGAGAGAGAGAGAGAGAGGGCTGGGCTTCACAGCATCCAGGCGACGAGGAGGCCGCAGAGGAGCAGAGACATCGAGAGCACCAGCTGGGCGCTGGAGTCGCGGGCCAGGGGAATCAGGGTATCGTTGGCCTGCAGGAAGTTGCAGCCGCGCCCCGTGCACGTGAAGCAGTGGCCGTCCTTGATGCACTGCTTGTTGGCCTGGGCGCTGGTAAGGCAGCCGCGCTGGAAGGACCCGTCCGCGGTGCGGTTGCTGTTGCGAATGTAGCAGAGGTCGCCCAGCTTATAGATGGGACAGATGGAGGCGTGCTCGTACACCTGGCTGGCGCAGCTCGAGGAGGTGGAGTTGCCCGAGCACTGGAGGCACTGGGCGCGCGAGGAGGGGAACATCTGACGGTTGCAGCCCTCCGCGTACGTACAGATCTGGCACTCCAGCTCGTTGTTGCAGGTGGCCTTGGTGGCATTGTCCAGCTCTTTCACACAGCCGCGCACGGTGTAGCCGTCTGTGGATCAGATTTACTTTTGGAAAACAGTGCATTCGACAGTTGTAGGAGTTGCACTCACCTTTGATGACGCGCACGTAGCACTCGGCTCCGCCGGTGGACTCTGAGCAGTTCTTGGTGAATAAGCTGAGCGGATCGGTGGCGCAACGGGGCTCCGTTTTCGAATTGCACTGGAGACAGCCATCTGCGAATTTAGCGAGTGGAACGTTGCGTTTGCTTTGAGTCATGGCTAAACCTGATTAGATTAGATTAATTTTTGTATAGCCTTCGAAGTACCATCCAGCACCAGCTATGCTACACCAGCCCGAACGTCCAGTACAGTGCGCGACCTGTCAAACGTACATGAAGGACACTCCATTTGGGACTTTCGATTGGTTTTCGTTTGATTTTCTACGATTTTCACCCGCCCTGCCCCATGATCGCGGCACGCACTGTACTGTATGGGGCTCGCTGTTATCTCGTTTTCTCTCTACCGTAGCCATCGATTCTTATCGAGCAAGTGAGTCGAACACGGTACATAGACCGACGAATGAGTCAACTACCATATATTTAAGCTGTGTATGTACATAGGTCTCCACACAAGATAAGCCCAGCAAATAAACCTAAAAATAAAATCAAATTTGGAAACTATTTCCAAGTTTTGCGCCCCAAAAGTACTCCACTTGTTTGGCTTGAAACTCCCCTACAAGGAAATACTCGTACATCTACCGAATACCCTACACATTCCACCCTCAATCTATGCAACAGCATCCAAATGTATCTGCAGTCCTTGCACTTAAGTCCATCTAAATCTCAATGAAATCAAGCAGTATTTCCCACTAAATTAATAGAGTTATCCATGTTTATATTATACATATTCTTCAGTGCATTCCAGTATGGAACAAAAACACAAACACAACCAAAAAAAAAGAGAGAAAGAGACATAAACGTCATACGATCTGCATGTACATATATCTGGAAAATATTTCGTTGTTGCCGGCATGCAGTGAACACGCACACCACGACACAAGACACCCACACAGATACGTAGCAGAGCGTTACACCGTGAACACAGTTACCATGGACTCGGTGGGCAATTGATAAGATACGCAATTTCGATTTGTTCGATTTGTTATGTGTTTATGGTGGCCGCCGCTTATCACACTTTCTTATATAATGCACTTGTAACTCAAACCGAAGTCAACAAAAATATATGAAAATGTAGGCGAAGTAAAATGACTGATCAAAGATTTACCACAACTGATGTAGGTCAGAAAACACAGGGACGCAATCACCAGCAAATAGAAGTTCATGTTGGATATTTGATATTTGATTGCGGACTCAAAATGTGGGTTAACTTAAGGAAGGTGGGGCGTTAGAGTAGCGACACGGAGTAAAGTTGAAACTGGACTGACGAAAAATCCGTAGCCACGCTTGGCATCGGGGGCCCGCATAGGGATTTTGAGCTTGCGGTTGCCGACGACGATAAGATAACACATTCGTCATGATTCGTGACCGAGTGTGATAAAGGCAAACGGTTGGCCGGGGTGGAGACATCTGGCGTGTGGAAAACACAGACACACGCACACCAAACCCCTACGAATCACCTTTCATTGATTCGCCATAGCAGGTGATTTTAAACATTGCGCGCTCCTCAAATAGGTTCCACAATTAACGTTAGCCTATCGATATTCTTCGATATTGAAATACTCAACAACAGCATCGGTTTCAATTTTATAACCAACACTAGCGATCAGCTATGGCGACTTATCGAAGCACTGCCATCTCAATTGGATTTGTGGGGCAGATTTTCCCGTGGACTTTGGCGCTGTTGTGGCCCACTACTCCGCCCTGCCTCAGCCCCCCAGAAGACGAATTTCATTGAAAAACAACTGAAAAGACAAGAAGAAGAACAGGGGCACTACCAGCTGGCCAAGGACGGGGTCTCCTGCAAGAACTACTGTGGACTATGATCCGATCTCGCATTACATTTACTGGGTAAGAAGGATTAGCAGAAGCTGAGCGCGGTGTCCCTAATATCCCTAACCCTTTTTGTTTTTCCAGATCGAAGGCAGGAGTCACAGCATCAAGCGTTCTCTGGCAAATGGCACAAAGGTGAGCCTCTTGGCCAACTCCGGACAGCCGTTCGACATTGCAATCGACATCATTGGGCGGCTGCTCTTCTGGACCTGCTCCTACTCCAACAGCATTAACGTGACCATCCGCACAATTGTGTTCCTAAAACGTTGCCTCTTTTAGCTTCCTGGGTGAATCCATAGGCGTCAACGATACCGGGGACTCGGAAAAGCCTCGCAACATTGCCGCCTTGGGGAGATTTGTGTACTGGCTGGACGACAAGACCGGACTGAAGCGGATCACTGTCAACGAAGAGCGTCGAAGAAGCGGAAGTGCGGCACAGTCGTCCAAATTGTTTCCACAACTGCATAGCCAGAGGGGAGGGTGTGGCACGCAGTACTCACGATGTCTGCTCGTGCCCCAAGCATCTGATGCTGCTGGAGGACAAGGAGAGCTACGGCGTGTGTCCGGCCTTTGGGCCAGATTTCACGTGCACGTCCCCAGTGACGGAGAATGGTGACATGAATAAGGACTGCGCACCCGCCTCCTGGCGCTGTGACGGCCAAAATGACTGCCCGGAAAAGTCGGATGAATTGGAATGACCCACATGCCGGGTGGATCAGTTCAGCTGCCAATCCGGCGAGTGCTTCGACAAGGCTCTGATCTGCGATGCTACCACCTGTGACAACTGTGAAAATGTCCACGATGAGGCCGACTGCTGCAAGCGGCTTTCACTGTGCCATCAACAAGGTGATTGGAAAGACACGATATCTGCCCAAATTATTAGACTAAAAATATCCTATTCCACCTTCCGACAGCTTTGCATATCAGCCAAGCAGATCCATGAGATTGTATCAACTCTGCCCAAGCCCAAAACTGTTACAGTCCACCGTTGAGAACCATTCCATCTGTCTAGTCCCATATTTTATGACGGGCCGTCGTCTTTGAGTGCCAAGCCGAGTCAAAATCTTTCCAAAAAGCCTGCGAAACCGTTGACAAAGTCCTAAGCTCCTTTTCGCCCGAGCCAAAGCAACCAGAACAAAAGCTTAAATCCTTACCATTCGATGACGATGATTTGGATTTAGATAATATATTTGTCAAGCCATTGATGCAGCCGAACAAACTCTCAGAGAGATTAGTTGGAAAAAACTCTCTGTTTGATGATGACGACCTGTCACTGATTTGTTTCGCTCAAAGACTATCTTCATTTTAAATAAACAAAATAGGGTATACAAAGGCCTATACACGCATCATGTCTTCAAATACCAGCAACATTGCGACTGTTTTTTTGTTGAACTATTTTGTTTAAGCCTTGTTTTAGCCAAAATACAATAAAAGCAAGAACTAAAAACTAGCCAATCTTGAAGAAAATGTATTCATCAACGGCCTAAAATTATTTGGGCCGAACTAAGGGTTTTAGTTAGCCAGAATTATTCAAGAGAATATAAAAATTGAACAATATGAACGACTATCCTCTTTCGCTTTTTTGTTTTGACCTATTTCGCTAAAAGGTTTTTTTTGTTTGACCATTTTCACTAAAACCTTTTTTTACGCAAAATCCAATAAAAGCAAGTATTTAGAATAAGACAGTTAAGAAGAAAATTATTTATGAATCGTACAAAATTATGTGGGCATGGCTAAATGTGCTATATAGCTGAGAATATTCCACGGAAGATCGAAAACGAGGAATATGTAAAATATAACTTGAATTCGTCAGTATATTTACGGTATATTTTTTAAATGAGACGGTATGTTTCGGTATATTCCTGAGGGTCAGACGGTATATTTGTTCGATAAGTCCGTCGATAGTTGTCTAATAAAATTTCAAAGCAAATATTTTTCGGAAAAAACATTGTTTCCAGGCGGTAAAAAGGATTAAAGGACAATGTCTGAGACGCCACGTACACCTGGCACCCCCGGCAGCCTGGCCATGGAGATGGTCAAGGCCCAGAACACTGCTCTGGCAGATTTCAAGAAGCCCACAGATCTCGTGCGACGCAAAAACAAACCAAAAATTCTCACCGAAGAGCAGTACATTGAAGAGATGTCCAAGATCATACAGCGTGACTTCTTTCCCGACCTGGAGAAGTTGCGGGCCCAGAATGATTACCTTGAGGCTGAGGCGCGTCGTGACTTTTTGCAAATGGCAGAGATACGGGCGCGCTACAGCCTGGGCAGGATTCCAAGGATGGGCTGCAGGAACGGTAGACGTAACAACCGTAACAACAATGGTGAGTAGCCGGTTAAAGAAGTTTCCATATATAACTCATCTGTTTGTCCCTTGCGTTAGCCATGTCCCCGGCCACCTTTGAGACGCCTGTAAGCCAAGGAAGTCGCAGCAACACTCCTCTCCAGCGTGCTGACACACCGTGCTCCACCACCAGCAGCAGCGCTCGCAGCTCTACCGAAGGCGATTCGTTACCCTCCAAGATGTCGCTGGACGCCTTCCTGCAGAGCTACACGAGCGAGGACAACCAGAGCTTCCAGGAAATCATTGAGACAGCCGAGGAGAAACTGCGCCAGAAGTATGCCCTGCTGTACAACCACGAACAGCTGTCCGCGGATCAGCTGAAGCGCGCCCTTATGTTGCCCAGCATCGAGAAGCAGTTCGAGGAGCCCGATCCGCTGAGGAAGATCGAGACTTGGAAGTACACAAACATGAACTCGGTCATGTATGTGCCTGACGGGGTTGAGTTGACCGAGGAGGAGCGTGTGCAGGCAGCAGAACGCCGAATGAGCATCAAGCACGAGGCCACCAGACTTCCAGATAGCTTGAACAACAAACATCAGGAGGTGGAAAATAAAAAGGCTACAGACCCAGCGGTTGGAGAAAACGATCCCACAGCCACACCACGCATACGCGGCTTCGAGCTACTACGCTCTCCCTCGCCACATCCGGGTGTGGCCTTCTCCCCGATCATGACCTGGGGCGAGATCGATGGCACGCCCTTCCGCCTGGATGGAGGTGACACTCCGCTGCGTCCCACCCAGGGACCCTCGTTCCGTATCAACGAGAACTCCCGGCGCGAGAACATAGCCATTGCTTTGGCCGAAAGAGTCAGCGAGAAGATGCGCAACCAAAAACAAGTTGCTTTCGACACTGCCCGACGCAACATCGGCTCCCCGCTGATCCGTACCAACATGGAGCGCTTGGCCAGCATGTCACCGGCTGCCCAGCATCTGGCCACCGCCAAGCTAGGCTTGCGCTGCACACCCAGCCTATCACACACTCCAACGCCGGGTGCGGCCAGGAAGAGAAAGATCACGCCCGGTCTGGTGAAGAGCACAACACCGCTGGGGAAGCCAAGACGAATCACAACACCATCCAGGAACACCGTCATCGACACGGGCTCCACAATAACAGACGACCTTCTCAAGATCCCCATAAAGCCTCGCAGTGCAGCGGCGGATTTCTTTTAGCAAACTGTCGAACCCGGATATCCTTTAACACATAGTCAATTCATTTTTTGCGTTTAAATTTTAATACAACTATCCAATAAACATACAAAATGTTGTAATATTTGCCTTCTAATCTAGGCCGCATCGTGATCTTTGTAGTCGACATGGTCGCCGGACTTGAACCGTTGTGCCTCCAGCACCTGGATGAATCGCTCCGTTGTCTGAGGCGGTGTCAGCATTGTTTTGGCCTCACGCTGCTCCCGGAACATGGCCACCACCGCGGGATCGTGAGCCTCGCGCTGCACCTGAACTGTCATCTGGGTGTCAATCATTCCGGGCGCATAGTTGAGCACCAGAGTGCCCGGTGCTGACTCCTCGGTGGCCAGCACACGGAAATACATCTCCCTGGCAGCCTTCACAGTGCAATAGTAGGCCATCGATGAGATTGGGGCTATGGCCGCCAGGGTGCTTAGGTTGACCACCAGCTTGGGGACGTCACCAAAGATGCGCATGAACTGGCAGTTGAGGGCAATGGCGGAGAACACATTGGTGTGGTAATACTGCTGCAGATACACCGTGTCACCAATCTCCCGAGCACGCTTGGAAGTGTCGCCGACTGTGCCCGCATTGTGGATGATAACAGCGCGCTGGAAGTGGCGCGGATACGCCTTTGCATGGTTGAGGGATTCGAATATGATACCGCCAAAATCTTCGGCCCTGGCTGTGCTCAACTCCAAAGCGAACGTGCGAACAGACAGATCTGGACTTTCCTTCAAAATGTTGGCCTTTGTCTCCTCGAGCAGCGGCTGGCTGCGTCCCATCAGCACAACCAGCGAACCCACAGATTGAATGCGTTGCGACAGCTGTTGGGCGAATTCGCGGCCAATGCCACGCGATGCTCCAGTCACCAGGAGATATGTTTTCTGCTTCAGATCCATGCTGAGACTTTCTAATTTTTCAATCTCTGGCAGGCAACAGTTAGCCGACGTTTTTTCTGACAGCTATCGCACAGCTGACTAAAGCTCTCGTGTTAACCCTCTCCCTCGCACACATTGCCCGGTACGAAGGTGCTTTTGCTCTAAGCTTTGCTTTAAACGGAAAGGTTATCGCTGTGCCTACTTAATGGTCGATTAATTGGCCAATTGAATCCCCCCTAAAAAATCATTAAGTTCTAAAAATCTGCAACATAAATTCGCATCCACAAATTCATGCCAAGGCCGTATTCGATTTCAAAGTCAAGGTCAATCGATTAAATTAAGGGAAAAAAAAACTAAAAGTAAAAGCTTCCTTCCCCATGGATAAGCAGAAAAAGCTTGCAATGTAATTGTACATGCTTTAGACTTCTAATTGATCAATTTAATTTGTATTTTCTTAGCCCCCAAAGTATGCCTTGAAGCGTCCAACAAGGGATCTGATCTGGATTAACTTTCTGAGCCATTTTCCCAAGATCTGGTCCATTAATTCTTTGTTAGAGTTAGAGTGTTCTATAACACAAAATTCCTCCTAGGTATGTGTGTGTGTGTATGTTTGTAAAAATCACCACTAAGGCGCTTAGATGCCCTAGGGTATTTTTGTCCCTACATATGTATGTATATTTAGCGACAGGGATCACTTTTATGGCAAACCATAATTGGTATGCGCTGTGAAAAAAAACCTACAAAATATGTACTTATACATTAATCCAATGCTACAGAAAGGAACTTAAAATACAGCTCCCGAGATTGAGCTGCCAATATATTGGCAATGATTTGTATAGACAAACATAAGACATAGAACTCTTGCGAAAAAGTATTCCGAATTTTCAGATCCCATCCCATCCCACAAGACGCGAGTCCCATATGATTCGGTTCTTATCAGATTGATGGAGGACCCGGCAACAGTCTACTACTCTCGTGACTGCCCTAGTGCCCCCTCTCTATATATAATTTTGTTCGCTTATCGGTGATTCCGACTGGTACTGTCTGGAAGTGGATTTTAAATAACTGACGATAGGCATAAATATAAATATGTACATATTTAATCCTATATGTAGCAATAAGCGCTGATTCATCTACGGAACAGGCGGTTCTTTCCTGGGGATCTTCATTCTGTGGGAACTGAAATATACATATAATATAGCTAATCTTTTACGGAGTTTTCCCCCGAATACTGACTTACGGACCCACTTTATGAATGCTATAGCGACTCTGTATAGATCTACTAAAGTTCGTTGAACTTCTTTGAGTTTCTTCCTATTACAATCCTCTCTGCAGTTCATACGGATCATGATTATCTCTTACATATCGATGTCTTCAACCATTCCTGCAAAGAGCACAGATTTCCCACCGATTTCTTTCCCGGAAAGCCAAATAAAAATCGTGTTTGTTTTGTTTTTCAGTTTCCTTTTCGTGTGCCTCGCTCTTCTCCACCTCCAGTACCGGGGTCAGCAGCCAAAGTTTATTCATTTCCCAAACAATTAAATCAAAAACAGCTTCCAAGTCGTTGACCATGGTTAGAACCGAGTCCAGCAGGAACACAGCCCACCGCCAGGTTTCTACTCATAAAACGAATGTGTCGTAGTAGTCGACATCGTGGCCGGAAACAAAGGAGATCTTCTCTAGAATATTGATCAGCTTAAGGGTGGCCTGCAGCGGCTGGGCGCGTGGCATTTGCAGCATCTGGGACGACGTTACCAGAGATTCGGGGTTAATCATATTGCCGTTGACATCGTACTGGGTCTGATGGGAGTCAAGCAAGCCAGGGGCATAGCTAAGCACATGGACATTGTGACGTGCCTCCTCGGAAGCCATGGCACGGAAGTACATGTCCCTGGCACGCTTGCAGGAGCAGAGTAGACCGCTGTGGATCAACGGACGCACAAGCAGCGACGAGGTCACGTTGATTGCCAGCTTCTCCACGTCAGTCAGTTGTTTGCAGTGAAGCCAGCGCTGATTCAGGGCCACCGGGGCATACAACTGCTGCTGGACGTAGGCGGCCCAATCCTGCGACAACTGTGGCTCCATCAGCACTTCGGTGGCGGCCACTCCCTCGTTGTGCACGATAATGGAACGCTCGAAGACGGTAGACGGTTCCGCTTGCTTCAAGGCCTGCTCCATCAGCTCTACTCCATTCGAATGGTGCTCATCCAGCTTGCCCGTCCTCAGCTGGACTATATCCGGCTTCAGCAGCTCCCTGAGAAGCTGCTCCAAAGAAGCAAGTTTCTCCTGATCATCGTCCAGGATAAGGGCAACAGATCCGGGTGCCAAGCGACTGCATAGCTGCAGAGCCAGTGTCTGACCCAAAGGATTCGAGCTGCCACTCAGCACCAGAAAGGTGCGCTTATTTAAATCCATTCTTTTTGCTGCCATTTTAAGCTGGATGAGGACTGGATGAGCAGGATTTCCCGGACTTCGTGTGGAAGAAGAGCACCGACTTTTTTACTGGCGATTACTTGCGGCTGTACAACTGTACTGAACGGAAAGCAATTCTCGGCTCTAACAACTGGACTCTGTTCGGGCAAGATAAGCTTCGCATTCAGTGAATTACTTGGGTATATACTCGTTTAAATATATACTTGAAGATCTGTGTAAATGGAAAACCCGGGTCTCTTCTAGCGGTGATTCGCGTTGCTCTGAGCTCGTGAGTACGTCAGCTCAGCGCTTATATACGAAAACATCTGATAAGACAGACAGACAGACGATCTTCTGTGTCCGGGCTCCAGCCACGGCGTGTTGCCGAGCCATTAACCTGTAATTGCCCAATAACCAGCAGAGTTTTGACCTTTGGCATCCTTCTTTGCATGAATTCAATTGCTGATCGCTTGCCTACTGGCGACTTCGTCTCAACTCGGTCGGAAGACCGTACAAGCATCTGATCTGATCTAGAAAGAGATAAACCTGAGTGGGAGATGAACTCTTCTTTCAGAATAATTACTTACCGCACATATATACGTCACATATGCACGCGCCGTTACTTACGTTATCGCTTTCAGTCATCGAACTTCGATTGCATAATAGAAAAATATAATGATTTAATCAATTGCTAAAACACGGGTATTCGGTCATAATTACTTGTTACATCAGTTAATGCACATGCACAATGATACCGCCAAAGACGTGTTTAGTCGGATGTGTCATGTAATGGATTTTAATGGAAGAATGTGCACAAGATTACTTCGATATGCACACGCCCACACCCACACACTCACTCAATGTTATCGATGAAAAGGAACTGCGACTGCAATCTCCCATCGATAGGCGTATTTTTGTGTATTGTTGTTTTGATTAGAGCCGAGCCCGAAAACAACAAAATCCAGAAATTAGGTTAACGGCCTGATTCCGCTTCTTTGGCGTCTCGTCTGCTCCCGGGGGTCAATCCGCGAGATGACGCTGACCCAATTTGTGGATTGGGAACACGCAGCTACAGCCTAATCGCAATACAATTCCTATAACATTTCGACTTTGTCGCAACTTCATTGTTAATTTTGTCGCCGACGACGGGGTGGCGGGGCGATATGAAATTCTATGGAATTCAACAGATTTGTCTCTTTATGGTAGTTTTGTTTTTATCAATATCAGGTTGGGCGCTGCCCAATTCCGGAGAGCACGTACCTACTGGCTTCGAGCAGCGGCGGTGGCGGTGGCGGTCGCGTCGCTGCAGCATCAGCAGACAGCGCCGCCCGCACCTGAACCTGAACCTGACCCTGGTGTGGGCCAGTCAAGTTCAATCGAGAAAGCGCTGAGCTGGATGCTGCCGAGTGTGATGCTGCACTGAACCTTAACCATGAATGGCCAAGATTTCTTTTAGCCCGAATCGAGAGAAACACGGCAACAACAACAAAAACTAATGTTCTGAGAGCAACTGCAATGACGAGACCCCAAGCAGCGCTTCACAGTCTTCTGGGGTATATAAAACGTGTGGACCACTCCATTAGCAGTTCAAACTTTTAACGAGCACCGAGCGGCACGCGACCGATAAGAAAACCAAACCAAAGCCAAGCCCCAAAGCAGACCAGAATGCAAGCCTGTAAACTGTTTCTCTCATTGCTGCTGGCGATGCACTGCACTCAAGCGGTAAGCATATCGAAGGAAAGAGCGAGCAAGAGCATCTCATTTGAACGGGACCGGCAATAATTGTGCGTGTGAAAGTGCGACGACTAATGTGACGGATTGAAGAAAGCTCTTTTGACGTTAGCGAACACTGTTTACAAATTTCGCGTGTGTTTACTTAATGAAAGATAAATGTGTTTAATTAAAAATTTCTATTGGTTTTACAGCTGCTGGCTGCCTGTGTGTGCTCGGAAAAGGGTTCCGACTATTGCCAAAGCTGCCAAGGACCGACAATTGTGCGTCCGAAGCCCCGCTACTATGAGCCCAGCGATGTGAACCTCTCGCCGATCGGTGACAATTGCTGGTGCAGCAAGCAGCTGATCGAACCCGCCCAACTGCCCAAGACCTGCGGAAAAGTACGTGATCTCTTTCAATATGTGCATGCCTTCAACAATCTCTTGGGTCGCCGTATGCTCGAGGGTGCACTCGAGGCCAAAACACTGGCGGCTCGCCGTCTGGCCGAGCGTCTGCAACGTCTGGAGCATATCGATTGCTACAAGAGGCGTCCATCCGGCTACCAGTATCAAATCTAACCAACATGACTAACCACTCATAATAGCTTAAGTCCTAGAATTAGCCCTAGCACAATAGATCCGGGACCAGTAACTAATTTTAATCAATGCGCGCATCCATCATCATCGAGAACATCATCATCCTCAGCTGCAGTATATAGTATTTCCGCGTCGAGCTCTTTATCAGAGAGCCGCCAGTGAGTCGTGGGTTGCAATACTAGCCAGAGCCTCAACTATGCCTTGTCACCGTAAACTTCACCATCATTATGCTCTTCGCCCGTCATCATTATCGCTCCGTACGTGCTTCTAAGCATCAACAATCTGAAAATGATAGAAACCAAATTCGATACCTTATAACGATACCCCGAAACTCTCGATCATTTACACACAGACGACACCATGCAAGCCCACCTGCGGATGCCAGCAGAGCGACGATAGCTACAGCAGTGGCTCCAGCTCCAGTTCCAGCTATGGCAAGTAAGTGGATCCATCCCCATTACCATTACGATACCGTCAGTTCCATGTGCTAACCACCTGTAACTTTCACAGCATTGCCTATGCGGCCGAGAAGGCGGAAGATAACAGTCCGGCCGCAGATCCCATCAGTGTGAGCCTGGCCGCCCAGGCCGGCAAGGCCATCAATGTGCCCGAGGCTAAGCTGGCCTTTGGCTTTGCACAGAAGCCTGTGGATGGTGTTCAAAAGGTACAGTTCTCCAATGTGCCCGAGGAGAATCTCTTCAAGCTGAAGAGCGAGGTCATCACTCTGAAGAAGCCCAACTATGTTGCCAAACAGGAGGAGGAAGAGGAGTACATCGAGGAGGAGGAACAACAGCAGTCCGATGATGAGCCGGCCCCCCAGTTGACCTACAAGCAGCTGGGCTACATAACCGAGCAATTTAAGAACCCCAAATTCAAGAAAATATCCAGTTCCCGCTCGAGCTATGGCTCTAGCAGCTATGGCTCCAGCAGCTACGGCTCCAGCAGCTACGCCTCCAAGAGCGCCTCCAGCGATGGCTACGGCAAGGTGGCCGGCAAGGTTTCCGTTGATTGTGGATTCAAGCCGGGACGCATAACCTCCTACCGCAATGCGAATCGCCAGGAGCCAGATGCTGGTAGCTGCTATTAGGCATATCCTGCTCATCCTTCCGATTGTAAATATCTACTATTTATGCTAAGGAATGAATGGATGGATGTTTGTCTGTCTGGCTTAGAGTTTAAATATATTGACTTCTCACTATTTATGCAAAAAACAAACACAAACGTGGCTATACATTAATCTACATTTATTTCATTCAAGTTCTCTCACTGCCAGGCATTCATATGCTAGATTTAAGCAGCCACTGGTTCGTTAGGTCAGAACCTATGTATCTCTCTTCTGATGTCTTCAGAGTTGTGGCTTGTTGACAGGCTCTTCCTTATCGATTGTCGTAGTCCTTGCTGGAGCCCTTTGGTTTCATCGCCCGAGGGGTGGCGAGAGATGAGAGTCTGCCATCTGGACTGACTTTTTGGCGGGCTTCGTCCTCTAAGTACTAGTCTCAATACTGGAAATTATCTCCGACGAACGATCCGATTTCAATGGAGAAAAATTGCACTTTCTTAGCAGATTGTTTGCCTTTGTGGGAAGGCCAACGATGATGGGCCGGCCCCCACCAGTTGAGAATCTTTAAAACTAAAGAGAATTTGTTTCTTTTGAAGCTTTTTTTATACTAGGATTTAATTTAGAATTCGACTTACCTCCGGACATTTCGAACCGACTGAAAAAACTGGCATCCGACCTCCTTGTTTACTTCCACAAACGTAGGCGTACCACACGCACACAGCTTCATGGCCTTAAGCAGTGATCTTAATCTCCATTGAGGATCGTTCTTCGGAGGATATTTCCAGCAGTGAGGTTAGTGCTTCGGACGACGAGGCACACAAAAAGCCAAACCCAGTGAAGACAGCTCCAGCAGAGACTCTTCTAGCCAAGAAGGGAGACGCGTCTAACGAGGATATCTACATATATCCATGGGAAATATCCCAAAAAACCGTCTAGACGAGCCAAGCCCTGTACAAATAAAGAGAATTTGTTTTTATTGAACGAAATCAGATTGACAAGAAATTCTAAAAATATGACACCAAAAGAATACTAAGAATTTTCATAGGTCAATTAATTTCTGCACGTTAATGCTTGACGTTAGCTTTCCATTAACACTTTAAACAAACACTTTTAAAAACTTAAAAAAAAGGTGTTTGCACTTCTGTAATTTAAAATATTGAATTTTATTTACTTCCGTATTGCTCCGACTTCTCGAATGAACTGAATAAACTGTAAATTCCTGATGATTCCTTCCAATAGGCTGTGCATGAATTGACTCATCTTTCTTGCGTGCTTGCGATACAGTTACTTGGCTGCATCTTATCATTTTCCTATTGCATTACTGAGAGAGTGAGAGAGAATGCGATCGGAGAGTGGAGTGGATCGTGAGGTAGAGGGCGGTCAGAGCTAATTTGGTGTTGTTGAGCGTGAGTGAGATGCATGCTGTTGATTAGCCACAACAAGCAATTGATTGAAAGCATTTAGCAGGGCAGAGCAGCAGAGACAGGGTGAAAACAGAGCAAACGCAGAGCAGAGGGGAATCGAAGTAAATTCAGTCAGCGTTAGCCGAGGCGCAGAACCACACGAGGAACTTCCCCTGCAGGTGGCAGGCAGAGAGAGCCACCGATGGCGGAAGCCGAACGAAAACGAATGCAGTCAGGGCAAGCGAGAGAGCAGAGCAGAGGTAATGCCATAAGAAAATACACACAATTGAAACGTTGCGATCCCAAAGCAGAGGTAGAGGCAGAGGCAGAGGCAGAGGGCATAAGCATAAGGAAGCATCTTCACTGCAGCATCTCCTTCCCCCCCTTCCCAGCACTGTATTTGTGTGGCATGGCATCCTTGGAATGTGTGGCAGCATCAACGCGCGCCACAAGTCAAATGAGAAAATTAATTTGGCACAACATTTGGATTTAGCCAATTTAAACGCTGAAAGACACTGAAAAAACCAGCGAAAGCTGGGAACATGTCTTTTGATGGAAAACATGACCCAATGCGAAAGCAAATGCAAATTTTGAAATTTGAAAAGGTCAGCGAAACCCAAAAACAACCACAACACAGAGGGGAGAGCATATAGAGAAAACCTTGCCGAAGTTCAAGTTCAACGAGCTGCTCGTTGGGGCACACAGTGCCCCAACCTCAAGCCCCAGCGACGTGGTCAGTGGCCGGCGGCTGCGTGAGACATTGCATCGGTGGATGCAACGGTTCCATATAAAGAATGCGACAATTGAAGCTGCGGCTAGTAGTAGCCCCAACGGCAGACACGAAAGCACACATCGATCCGGATTCCGCACACAGATCCAAACGCACGAATTATGCGCCAATTGATAACCCTTCTGGGCCTGGTTGTGGTACTAGGCCTGGTCCAGTCGGCTCCTGTGGAGGTCGTCTACACGGGCGAGGGCTGTGCCTGTCCCACCCAGCTGGGCTATCAGCTGAATGTGCCCAATCCGCCCAAGCCCAAGAAGTATGGGGCCAGCGATTATGGCTATCGTGTGGAAAAACCCGTCCAGACCAAGGCGAAGATCAGCTATAGCTTCGATTTCACCGTCGAACAGCCCAGGACACCGCCACCGCCCAAGTATCCCGAATCCAAGCTGTATGCCAAAGTCGATCGGGTGACGGTCAACAAAGGAGGTGAGTGGGAGATCAACCCATACCCTGCCATTGTTAACCATGATTACCCTTTGCAGATTGTGCCGCCAAGCATACATCCAGCTGCAGTTGCTCGAGCTGCTCCAGCCCCAAACCAAGGTATGTAGCCCCAGGCCCAGGCCCAGGCCCAGACCCAGGCCCAAGGTCCCCCAATGCCATACGTCGTCGTCGTGACCTGCGCACGCCCGGCTCATTGATCCGCAGGCGTCTAATGCGCCAGCAACAGCTCCAAGAGCGACCCCCACGCTACGTGAAGCTCTATCACAAGGATTTGGCCGCCCAGCAGCAGCAGCAGCAGCAGAAGCTGAAACTCTTTGGCCTGATGCCAGCAGAGTCGCATGAACCATCCCCAAAGACGAAGCGCAAGACCAAGAAGTCACCGGCTGGCTGGTTGGGATTGGGTAGGCGGCTGGCCAAGCGTGATATCAAAGGAGAATTCGATCTGCTGGAGCGGGAACGTGCCCAGATTGACTTGACGGCCCCCGAGATCATACAGTTCATGCCGGAGACGCTGAATCCAAATTTCCAGCCGGGCCAGTGTCATATGGGCTGTGGCGCCATTACAGCAGTCGGGCCTCCTCCTCCTCAGCCTCTCCCTCCAGCCACCGAAGAGGCTGGCAAAGAGTTCGATCCGACGGAAGATCAAACAGAGCTGCCAGTGACGACAGAACAGCAGAATACCATACCCGCCAAGCGAGCCGCTTTGGGCTACTATCCACTGCAGATCCCATCGCCATTGGGTCTGCCACTGGACGACTACAAGTATGTGGATGATTCGCAGCTTCGCAGTCTGCTGTCGACGACCTCCGTGCCCGATCCGCTGGAGCAGGGCTCCACGCCGCTGCAGTTTGCCGGCGACTTGGAGTCGGTGACGCGGCGCGGCTATACATCTGCTCTGCTGGGCAGCGGCGGTGGCTATCCCGTACAGCATGTGTCCGACTCTCAGCTGGACAGACTCATCTCAGAGATTGTCTACCCGCATCCGCACTATCTGGAGTCGAGCACGCACTATCCCGAGCCCCACCAGAAGAGGCAAACAACGGACTTCCTCAAGAAGCTCATTGACGGCCGCCTCGGCGGCTGGGGCTTCGACTCGGCCACTGAGCCGGACCATACCCTCCATGCCGACTACTCCACGACGCCCGCCAAGACCTATGGCTACAACAGTCATGTCCAGAACGGCTACAGTATCGACACCTACAATGTGCCACCCATTTCCGAGTACCTGCGAGCCTGGTTCTAGCCCCCCAGAGTCCCAACGTGATCTTTAGCTTACATCTAATTTACATAGTTCCATAAGAAGAAAACCCCACCACCACCACCACCCCCCACCAAGCAAACAAAAATGAATATACATATGTAATAAATTGAAAATGATGTTGGCGTTTCTTTTTCATTCACTTTCCCCTTTGTTTTTTCTTCTCTTTGCAGCTGCAACCACGATGAGGGCTACTGAAAAGACACCCAAAACCGAAAGCCCAAACCCAAACCCAAACTCAACGCGAACCGCACCCAATCAATATGCTGAGGTCGGCCAAATGGGGTCTCCGAATGTAGGCCAGTGGAGCACCATTCTGGGGAGTCTTGCATATAAATGTAACTAGATTTCTGACCACCTACCCTATCCCTTTCCTCTCCCTCTCTCCACCTCCACCTCCATCTCTCTCGCACTCTGTCCTCCACACTCCACAATTTCTGTCTACGTTTTGCCTTGTCTTTCTGCAGCTCTCCACGTTTTTTTTTTTTGCTCCAATTCAGAGTTTAATAAAATATTTGCTTTTGATTAAAATGCTTGGATACGCTTGATTTGATTTTTGGGGCGCTGGGGTTCGGTTCCACAGGTTGCGTACGCGAAATGCATTCCCCTAAAAGTATGCCCGTAAAAACTATAGAATCATAGAAAATGATTGTCGAATCTGGCTTGGATCGGATCATTATTATAGCCAGAAGAAACAGCGCCTTCCACGCGCTTCCTCTTACTCATTCTCACTCTCGCTCTTGCTCTCTCTCACCCACCCTCTTCCTCGTGCAGTGTGCGTCCTCTGGCGTCCCTACTGACTGAGTATCGGATATTAATGTAGAGCCGCGGTCCTTGCCGTTCCGTTGCTCCTACTGGACCTCCCAGCAGAAAGCAGAAGGAGTGCCTCCGTCAGAATGGGTCAGAAAGAGGAAACACCTTGGACTACTACTTTCTGCCCAGGTAATGGAGATGGGTGGCAAATGGCGCCAAGGGCAATCAGCGGCAGGTTAGAACTCCTCTTTTTCCCCACACAGCAAAGAGGTCCGACTGCGATCCCCAAGCACAACGAATAAGGCGTAGGCATCAATAAAGAATAAAAGAGAGACTGTACCAGACCGTGAGTTTTAAGACTGGGAAAAGTATTGTACAGTATTTGTAAAAGCGAAGCATTTCCTCTTTGGGCAACTGTTCCGCTATAGTCTGTTTATGCTTTCTAAGGGGAAATCTTGGAAAGCTTAGAACCCGAACGAGGCTTGAAGATGTCCAGTGTTTGCCCTCTCAATTCCGAAGGACTTTCTTTGTTTAGTTTTTGCCCATCGCCAAAGTATATTTCCTGCCAAATGGTTGCTCCAAAATTTTAACGTTTAAATTTTAAGGATGGATTTCTATGGTACATATGTATGTTATATGCTATACCTTTTTGCTATATTTTCAAGCCGATTCTGAGGTAAAAGTATAATCTTACAATGGTATATATTTCATACATTTTGTGGTACATAATTGATCAATTTTTTCCTTTGCACATAAACAGGTCTTTATCGTGATAAAATGTGATATCAAAATTCAATGTTATCAAAGATTCGGCATTCAATTTAATGAATTAGTGAACATGCTCGTATAAGCTCAATTATTCCAAAAATGAATATTTATCACGATCTGTTAATGGCTGCATGCCATGGCTGCGGTTCCATAAAGTTGTTGATCATTCAAGCCAGTAAAATTCTTTTGGATTGAGCCAAAATCTCTACATATAGAGAGAGAGAGAGAGATACGAGATAAAAAGAACACTGAACAGCATTGAAGAAATCCATTGGGAAGACAGACAGACAGACAGTCTTGTGGGATATACCAATTATTTGTATTCCTTTGCCACTGCCAGACGATAAGAATTGCTCCATTCTGAGGTAAGAGTCGGAGAGAGAGAGAGAGAGAGAGAGAGAGAGAGAGAGCTGGTTAAATCATTCAGTAAAAACAATTTCCAATGGCCCTGGGAGTGAGTGCTTTTCACTGTCTCGTACGATCTCTGCCTGGCTACGGCTACGGCTACGGCTTTGGGACTGACGCATCAAGATCATGATGATACACATCTGAGTATCTGACCATAGATCACGTCCCGGCACGTTTTTCTTCCGTTTTTTTTCTTCTGTTTCGGACTTGGCGCGTAACCTGAGCATTCACGGCAGTGGCAGAGTGGCAGAGTGGCAGTGGCGTTGTTTTTTGGTGGCTATTTAAATGGAATCCATTGACTGCCCCGGGTTCAGTCAAATGCGAGCTCCATCGAAATGGAATCGAAAGTCCACTGCAGTTGGCCACTGCTGCTCTTGCTGCTGATGCTGGCTCTGGGCCGAGTCCGGCCAGAGGTAAGTCTTCGAGATTCCCCCCAAAGCCAAGAACCGAACTAAGCGTCCATCATATTCCGTAGAATATCAACGATACCACGGCCAGTGAGGATATCGATGACGACGAGGCCACTAGTCCCAGTCCGTCCATACCAGAGACCACCGATCGTCTGATCACTGGAGATCTTCGGAAGGCGGCGCGCGTGGAGCAGCTGTCGCCGCCGGGCAGCGGCTCTGCGTCCAAGCAGGAGTACGATGTGATTGATGTGCTGTCCGCCACCAATGCGGTGGTGGGCAAGGCCAAGAGCGGCCAGACCACGCGCATCTTTACCACCGGAGACGTGGATGACACATTCTGGATGAAGCATCTGGGGGATGACTTCAAGCATGCCATTCACCTGCAGGTGGGCGGCACCAATGAAGAGTACAATCGTCTGGTCAATCAGACACAGAATGGCATTCACGAGGAGGTGCACCATGAGTATCTGCCGGGGGCAGAGCGACCAGACTCCATGCAACAGCAGCAGCAGCAGCCCAGAGCTCGCTATACGCCACGGAGCTCCCCCAGGCAGCAGCAGCAGCAGCAGGGTCTTGAGGGAGAGGCCTTGGCCATGAAGCAGCGATACCTGATCCATCGGCAGCAGCAGCAGCAGCAGCAACAGCAGAGATATGGTTACACACAGCAGCATGCCCAGCAATACACACCACGAGCACACACACAGATACACCAATACCCACAACCACACACACACCAACACCAACACCAACAGCAGCCACACACACACAGATACCAAAGACCATATCCACCGAAGGCCCAGCAGCAGCAGCAGCAGCAGCAACAACAAGTGCGATACATCAACCACCGGCCACCCATCCGTACCATCATCAACTCCAGCGAGGATCAGCTGCATGCGGCCCAATCAAGTCCGGGAGCCCAGCACGCAGCAGCTGCGGCCATTCAAGCGGGAGGTGGCATCGGACGGTCCCCCGACGAAGATGAGGCGGACACCTTTGGCAGCCAGCTGCCGTTCAAGTCGCCCTTCAACGACTACGGCAGTCGACCCACCCGCGATCTCACCTATCTCCTGTACAGGCGGGGACTCTAGGACTAGTTTAGACTTAAGGCCTGGCCTCCAATTGGGTTCTATAAATGAGGCACAGCCAATTACATTACAGAAACATTTAAGGGGAAGTACAAAATAAAATGAGGAAAACCACAGCTATGATGTTGTTTGTGCGAGGATTAAGGGGACTCCTGGTTGGGGCCAACAATCCAAGTGGTTGGAAGATGCCCAAAATCACTTTAGATAAAGAAAATGAAACACTACGATGCCTCCATTGGAAACCACTGAACGGAAGTTAGTGAAGGTCTCAAAGAGAAGAGGAAGATCCGGAAGATCTTTTGATAATGAACGGGCATTAAGATAGAGATCATGGCACCTTATTTAATTCTTTAGCAGTTTAACGAAGACCTTTGTGCTTCTGTGTAAAGTTCTCTCAAGTCTTTTCATCTACAGACTGGTGTCTTTAGTTCGATGGAGACTTTATTCCCAAACAGCAGATGATCGAAATCGCACTAAAATATTAACCTTTATCTTCAATCTTCTATCAGCCAGAAGTTGCTGAAGTTTAAAGAAAACCCTAAGAAATCCACAACTAAATATTTCCTTGAGAAAGAGAAACACTCATCTTGGTCTACGTAACCCCCAAAGAGATCAAGCCACTCCACTCAAGCCACTTTGGTTCGTCAAAGATTGAGCGAGAGATCGGGCAACCATGGGTTTGACTCACAAGAGGTATGGGTATGCCACAAAGAAGCCATCCGTCCAATGGCACAGAGAGATGAGATTGCGACGAGAGACAGAGAGATCTGATCTGATCTGAGCGGAGCGGAGCAGTTCGGTGGTTAGGAGGTTGGCTGATGGCTGAGGGCTTTCTGAGGTGGCCGAGACACAAAGGTGAACCGAAATCGGAAATGGGAAATCGTTGGTAAAGATCACGTAGCCGACCATGGCGGGGGGCGATTATAGGCGCTATAAAGAGCTAGCCCGGTGGCCAGACACCGAGCAGTAGACAACACACACGTAACCCGCAACATGCAACTCGGACTCTGGTTTGGCATTCTCGCCATCGCTGCGGCACCGGTAAGACAGCCCCAGCCTAAGACCCAGACAACCCCCGCCGCCCATTCCCTAAGCTAACCCAAGCCCATCTCTTTGTGTCTTTGTCCAGCTGGTAAGCGCTAATTATGGTCAAGGTGGAGGTGGTGGTCCCGGCCATGGACCCATTCAGTACCTGCCCAGTGGCCCGTCTGGGGGCCTCGAGGAGTACGTGAACGTGGCGACGGGCGGCTCGCAGCCAGCGGCCAGCCAGATCGCAGCGCAGGCCGAGATCCAGCCCACGCAAGAGGAGGCCCGTCGTCTGGGTCGTGTCCAGGCCCAGCTGCAGGCTCTGAACGCCAATCCCACCTACCAGAAGCTGAAGAACTCCGAGGACATTGCCGAGTCGCTGGCCGAGACGAATCTCGCTAGCAACATCCGCCAGGGCAAGATCAATGTCGTCTCGCCCCAGTTTGTGGATCAGCATCTGTTCCGTTCCCTGCTAGTGCCGTCGGGCCACAACAACCACCAGGTGATCGCCACCCAGCCCCTGCCACCCATCATTGTCCACCAGCCGGGCGCACCACCAGCGCATGTGAACAGCGGACCCCCCACCGTGGTCCGTGGCAATCCCGTGATCTACAAGATCAAGCCTTCGGTCATCTACCAGCAGGAGGTGATCAACAAGGTCCCCACCCCCCTCAGCCTCAACCCCGTCTACGTGAAGGTCTACAAGCCGGGCAAGAAGATCGAGGCGCCACTGGCACCCGTTGTTGCCCCCGTCTATGGACAGCCGCAGTCGTACGGTAGCCAGCCGCAGTCGTACGGTGGCTCTGGGGCCGCCTCCGCTGCCGGTTCTGCCTCCTCCGCCGATGGCTATGCCGCCGGCAACGAGGCACCCCTCTACAACAACCCCTCCCCCTATGGCCAGGCCAACTACTAAGCCAGCTTAGAGTTTCCTTCTCCTGGCCAAGGAGTGCTCCTCGTCTTCTGCACGCGGAGCAGCTGTTTAATTTAACAAATTTGTTTTTTTTTTGCCCCTTGCTGAATGCAAATAAAAAATGGAAAATATGCTTAAAATATATAATTATTGACTAACTGGGGAAAGGAAGGGGAATCCATCCAATTGCGATCCATTTGGAAGTTGGAATCATTCATTTGTCGATACATTCGACGGCATACTACTCATGAATGTTGGCTTAAACATTCGATACAGCACTGATTTTATATATCCCAAATAAAAGAATCTACTTTTAAGGATTATATAGTAGTACAATTCAGTTTCAGGGTCCTTAAAGTAATTTATAGAGGCTAGATAGGCTTCAAATGAATATTTGCAGCTTAAACATACAAATTAAAGCTACAGGGAAGGGCGGCGGCCTTAGCTACTACAGCTTCTCACTCCAGATTTACATATTTTCGTTATCTTTTGCACTACACCTCTAGACACATAGACATTCTTGGCATATCTTTAACAATCTGCAATGAAATCAGCTTCAACTGGTAACATTTTTCTTCTCGATAAAGTCAAATTCAATCACATATGAACCATATACACTTGTAGAGCTATTGTCTGCCGATACACACAATTGCAGAGTGCACAATACTTATGGAAATATAATACATGTGTTCATATATGAAGTTGAACGAAGGAATGGATTGAATTACTATTATTCGATTACAAATATTACTACTTTTAAGAGGTTGAAATACAATAAACATTTGATGGTCAGACACAGTAAATTGTAAGCATACGAATTCGATTTGCTTTAGAGTACGTTCTTTGATATCTTTACAAAGTTTTTTAGAGTACTATGAAACAATTATAGATATATAATAACATTTATCAGTATCTTCAATGGTTCAGAATTGTAAAACCGTTTTGGTGTTGTTTTGTCTGCTGTTCCCTGTTGCCCTTTAATGTTGTTAACTTAGTCTATTATTAGCAGTTAGTTCTAACAATTTGCAGCCGAAAGCCACAGCTTTCCTCTATCCTATAGTCCGTGGACTGTGGGCTACAGATCCCAAAACACGTGGCATTATCTTTCCATAGAAATCTCCAAGAAATCCTCTCGGAGAAGCTGTTCCCCTGAGACGCTCTGCAATTGTATTTTTCATCTCTTGAGGAAGAAATTATACACATTTAGTTCCATGCGATTGTTGGGCTCTGAAAGAAAGCATTCCATACAAAACAGGCACCAAAAATACAAATCAATTCAATCGAAAGGTAACCAAGAGTATGATTTATACCAAAGCCTCAATCCTTAATTCAATCCAGGGATGGGAATCTTTCTTTCCGCCATTCGCTAGTCCCGCACTCAGATTTCATGGGTGGCCAATGCGGAAGCAGCGCTGGCTGGCCGGGCAATCGCAATCTCTCCGCAGACGTTCGGACCTCGATATGCAGCTCTGAGAGATTCAAAAGTGTCGATTGTTGGTGCTGTTTGTTTTTGGTTTCTACGTAAGAAGCCGTGATATGGGTGCGATGCGCGATGTGCGATGCGTGCGATCTATCAGCATTTGGCCATGTTTCGTTCGCATCGCGTGGGCCAAAACCCCGGCAGCAACAACAACCAGAAGAACCATAACAAGAACATGACGAAGTTTTTGAGCGGAACAAGCTTGGGGGGCCGCCAGCTCTCGAACCGGGATTGGTGCCGGCCAAATGTCACGTACTGTCCAGCCAGAGCATATTTAAAGAAATCTCCGAGTGAGGCAGGGCAGCAGAAGACATCAGACAATCCAATTGGGAGCACCATCATCGGAGCGCCAACTGGGAACTGCAACTGGAGAAAAGATGACAAGACAGAGCTACATTTGGGCTCTGGCCGCCTGCCTCATCGTACGTACCACAAGAGATGCTCCTCCACACAGATGTGGATCGTCTACATGATCTACAATCGTCTCCGTTTCGCTCTTCTTTTTGCAGGCATGCGCCAGTGCCAATGGCTATGGTGCGCAACAGGGCTACGGCGGTCCCGGGGCCGGGGGCGGTCCAGGTGGCAATGATGGAGGCGCCGATGCATCGGCCGGAGCATCTGCTGGCGGTGCCGGCAGCAGTGGCGGCGAGTACACCATTAGCAATGGCGGATCTGGAGCTGGTGAGGGTGCCGACGCCTCGGGCGTGGCCCAGGCCGGACAGAGCGGCTATGCCTCCTCTGGACAGAGCAGCTATGGCTCCGACCAGAACATCCCCTACAAGCCGGTGAACACCAAGGGCAACACCCTGACCTCTTCCATCACGTATCCCCAGAACAAGGGCGAGATTCTGATCCATCGTCCCGCGCCCATCATTGTGAAGCGTCCGCCCACCAAGGTGCTGGTGAATCATCCTCCATTGGTGGTGAAGCCCGCACCCGTGGTGCTCCACAAGCCCCCAGCAATCGTGCTCCGCAAGGTCTACGTTAAGCACCACCCACGTCGCGTCAAGGTCGAGCCCGTGTTCGTCAATGTGGTCAAGCCCCCAGCAGAGAAGTACTTCGTGAATGAGAATAAACAGGGCTACGGACAGGGCTCCCACGGCGGTTCCCAGGGCTCCCACCACGGACACGGCCACGGAGGTCACGGTGCTCACGGTCACGGTGCCGGCTCGCACGGTTCCGGACACGGCGGCAGCCACCAGCACGGTCCCGGCCAAGCTCTGCCCGCCTATGCCTCCGGTGCCGACAGCGCCGCTGCCAGTGCCGGATACCAGCTGCTCCAGGGTGGCAATCAGGGTCTCTCCGCCCTGGCCAGCATCGCTGGCGATCGCGAGGGTCACTACGGTGGCGGTCACGATCACGGTCACGGTCACAGCCATCAGCACTACGGTGGTGCCGGCCCTGCCGGACCCGGAGCCTACTCGGCTCCCTCCTATTAGGTTGGGACGCTGCGTGTCGGCCTTTCAGTGGCTGGCTCTGGCGTTTAGTTACTATGTTTTTACACAGCCTGAACGTCCACACACCCCACACACACACAAGCAACCAATGCACAATGGAAGGCGTGGCACTCAGGTTTCTTTGCAAACAAATAAAAAAATTTGAAAAAATTAACAATGATTTATTATTTGGATGAAGGCGGACGGCGGAAGAGCTGAACAGCGGAAGAGCGGCGGCACAAAAATTTTCAGTATATAGAAAGTAGATATTTTTTGCTATCGTTTTACTCAAAGCTGGGCAAGAATAGCAATATGATACCAAAAATACAATGCAGAAAAAAGAAGCGCTCTTGTTTTGAATATGTAAGCCATATAATACAGATTTTAGCTTAGTTTATTTTAGCTGATTTGTTATATTTTCAAACTGGGCAGTTCTTTTTGGTAATCGATATCGCATGCACTTGTCGAACCAGGTCTGCATATGCGATAATTGCAGTAGATATTTTTTGCTATCGTTTTACTCAAAGCTGGGCAAGAATAGCAATATGCTACCAAAAATACAATGCAGAAAAAGAAGCCCTCTTATTTTGAATATATAAGCCATATAATACAGATTTTAGTTTAGTTTTTTTTGAGCTGATTTCTTATATTCTCAAACTGGGCAGCTCTTATTGGTAATCGATATCGATGAAAGTAATCGATGGATGTTCGCTTGAATTGTATCCGAATAAAAAAGGTAAACAAAGTCGCTTTTGATCAGAACCTGTCTCCTATTGGCCCATAGCATATCTATCAGAATTAAATAGGTGGTCAAAAGCTGTCGACAAACTAATGTATGGGCTTGGTCGTAAAGTGCAGTCTAAATTTCCATTGTAGGGACCGTACAACTCTCGTCCTTGCCAGTGCGTGTGCGTGATCCAGGCAATGTCACGTACGCCCACCGCTTACTATTGCTAATATTCACCCTTAACATCCGCTCGCCCAGTCGGTAACAATGCAAGATAACTGCCACAATTAACAGTCTAGTAAGTAGGTCATCAGGTGACGCGCCGCCCTTTTGGCCAGTTTGAAAAATCAGCATAAAAATGCGACACTTTCGCAAAGCGATTTCAGTCTGTAAGCAGAATTAAATTGAGTGCATTCAACAACAACACAACAGAAAACGAAACGAAACGAAACCAAAAGTAAATGCGAAATAGTACAAAAATCTGTTACAAGTTCGAATAAACCCGCAGCAAAGATACTCCGAAAATGAGGCGCACTCTTTGGCACATGCTCACGGCCCAGCTCCTGCTCCTGGTACTCTGTTCGCTGCTCTCTCTCTGCTCCGGCGGCAATATGCATCCTTTGAAAGTGGGCAAAAACTATGTGTCGCTGCACAACCAGCCCAAGGACTTTCGCTCTTTAGTGATGGATATTACCAAGTTTGTTCTCACTATTGTGGGCAGAACGCGTTGAGCCACTTTTTTTTGTTTATTGTTAATTTTTTTTGAGCACGTATTCCTTATTTATAGAAAGGTATGTCCCTGTGTGCAGCCGCTCCTATGATAAATGAATAATCCAATGATTTTAATCATAATCCAAACAAATAGCAAAAGCTTTTGCCTCCATCTAATTTGTCCAAAGATCGGACTAGTACCATATCTATTACTAAGCTGGTAGGTCGCGCATGATCCAAAAATATACAATTCCCAGATATTTCAGTTCTTTATCTCTATTCAAAGGCGTCGAGATTTGCATTCCAATCTGAGTCCTGCCCCCCCGCCCCCAATTCAGTTCGGAGTTCCAAAAATCTCCATTAGAGACCGACAGGTGTGTAGTACATCAAATCGTATCTCCAAAATCAGACAATTATTCTTATTTAATTCATTTTCCGCTTATAGAAAGGCCAGCGACCAGCGACCAGCAGATCAGTGCAGAGACCGACAACCATTGCCAAAGCAACGCAAAGCCTGGCCTCGAACTGAATTTACAATAAAAATTCTTAATTCTTGGTACAAAAATTACTGTATTTAGCTGATGAAAATAATTTGAATATATGTATTTTTCGAGCAGGTTAACTTTTTGTAGAGTAAATGTTGGTTAAATATGGTCTTTTAATTTGTTCTTTTGTGGCAAACGTTCTTGTTCTGTTGTTCTGTTTAGAGCTAATAAAATCGCATACAAGTGAATTTGATTACAGATTTAAAATGAACTGGAAACAGGGTTAAATATTGCAATCGACATATGTATGTGAAATGTGAGCCTGGGATGTGATTTGAGTTAGTAAGGGAATAGATTATCGTCCTCTCGTCGCTGGGTAATCGGGATGGGTCTGGCGGAATATCTTGTGATTCTCTTCTTTACGGATTTTAAAAAGTCTACAAATTTAAAAGTGCGTTAATTTATATGAAAAAAAATGTCAAATGCGAGGCTCTGATGGAATGTTATGGCCTAAAGATACGTTGATGCCCGTGGTTCGGTGGTGGGTGTCCTTTGGGTGATCCTTTTCTCATGCCCTTCCTTCCTTCCCCGCTTTACTGATGACGGGTTGCAGCATAGGCATCTGCAGGCTGATTTTTGCCTGGGGAAGGCTTCGTGGCCGCCTGCTGCTGTTTCTTGGGCTGCAGCGGGCTGCCATCGTTGGGAAAGTTGTTCATCACCTCAAAGACTGGTGGAGCGGCGGTCGAGGACATCATTGGCGGCGACAAGGGCCAGGCATACCGATTCTACGAAATCAACACAAATATCGTTACAATACTCAATGAAAATGGAAATTGAAAGGCAGATCTTACCTGTCCTCCAGCAGCACCCCTGGCCAGGGGGGATGGCGGAAGTGCTGTTTGAAAGAATAGTGGCGGACCTGCCGGGGTCACCAGGTGGGTCGGCGAGAGGGGCAGCGGCCCCACCGGCGACGAGGTCAAGAAACTGAACGACCGGCCATTGGTGCTGGGCGATGGCGTTGGCGTGGGCAAGAGAGATACAGCATGTGCCAGCGTATCGTTTAGGTCTTTCAGCTGCTCTGGACGATTGCCGCGCGACTTGGTCGATCCCGCGCTACGATTAGACGGAAATGTATTGCCGTTTTCCTGCTCACCAGCATCGGGTGTGGGCGGTGGGGTTGTGGCCAAATGCAGCTTGCCCATTGGATCCTCCACTCCGGCAACCGCATTCAACTCCGGTTCGGTCCCGAAGGTCGACATGCGTAGATGCATATCCACGCCCATGTTGTAAAAGTATCGCAATGTCTCCATATCCGGCGGCATATCCCCGCCATTCGAAATAAACGAGCGACGTGTTTGTCCCTCAAACGAGAGCGGATGTAGCGATGGTGCTGTACGGTTTGGGTGTGGCGGCGGTGCCATCGGCATAAACGGTAGCGGCGGATGCAGGGCAATGGTCCCCTGCGGCGACGGTGCAAATCCCCCGAAGGGCATCATCACGCAATTCTTTGGCGGCGGCGGTGGCATTGAAAAGCGGAAAGCCTCCTCGGGCACTGCTATGGGAGAGCCCGACCAGGCTGTCGGTGGTGGTGGGAGGCCACTACGACCCCCGCCCGCCATCAGCGGCATGTAGGGCACAAAGTGGGTGGTACCAGCGGCGGCTACTGCTCCTACTCCTGGCGGAGCTGGCCCAGAGGATGATGGCTCTTGCGACTTAGGCGACGATGTCTGTTGCAATTTGGAGGCCCGATCATCACCCTCGCGCTTATCGCTTTTTGACATCGAAGTCTTCTTCTGCTGCTGTTGCGGCTGCTGCCCGTCCGGATCCGATTCCACCTGGATGATTTCGATCATGCTTTTGTATGCGTTTCCGCGTGGGTGCTCCGAATGTCGGGGCTCCCGTTGCTGCTGGGCATGGGGCTGGAAGTAGGTGCTCGCATCGGTCGACTTGGTTTTCCGCCACTTTTGCAACTTGTTCTTGTTAAAGAATTTGGTTATGTTCTCGCGCTGTATCTGTCCCTGCATGGTCTGCTGATGGCGATACGGCACCTCCCAGGGACGAAAATCTTCGGGTGCCACAGGATGCATCGTTTCATAGGGCACCTAAAGAGAACGACAAAGAGAGAGAGAGACTTTAGGATTTACTTATCCGTCCGGCAGTAGGGAACATTCAAAAGATTAGAAATAACATAAGGAAGGGTGGGGTACCAATATATTTTTGCCAAGCTTCTCTATGAACACAATACTCTCGTTCTTTTTGCTATTAATTTTTTGGATGTAGCCCGTGCAATCCTCCACTTCTTTCCCCAGATTAAACTCCACCAGGCACTTGGCTCCCACCTGCAAAGAGGACACGAAAAACAGGGAAAACCAGAACAAACGAAACGTTTAAGAGATAGATAAGCGACACGACATGGGTGAATGACATGGATGATGAAAGTGTAGATTGATGAAACGTGTGTGTGTGTGTGTGTTTGTGTGTCCTCCTGTTTTACCTTAAAGTTGTAATCATTGTGGTAGACATTGTAGCGTTTTGACTCCTTGCGTATGTCGTTCCACACATCAAACTCCACATTGCGATACATGTTGGGGTCCAAGGACTTGGCCACCTTGTAGGGAAACGGTGTGATTCCTGTAAGCGAAGCACAAGGCACATTACAGACCATTTTATCCTTATGGAAGCCATCTCTTAGCTAGCCATCTCTTACCATCGTCCAGCAGCTGACGGACACACGAGACATATCGATTGGGGCACATTTGCAGCATATCATTCTCAGTCGAATCCCGCCCCAACTCAGCCCCGCCCCCGCCGGATGACAACTCCTCGGTAATCGAGATGCTGCTGCTGTGAAATTTGCAGAGCTTGAAATCCTCGAGAATGCATTTCGTGAGCTCCGGCACGTCCAGCTTAAAGAGTCGGCCATCGCTACAGCGCAGCCGTAGCATGTAGCCCCTAGGATCGAATTCGACCTTGAAGAAGTCCCACTGAAAGGTGTGTGGATGGAGCATGCTCTCCACGGCGAAGTCCACGTCCGGCAGCTTGAAGAGCGACTGGTAGAGCATCTTGAAAGTGATTGCTATAAGCAGGGAGAAGATGAATAAACACACGCCCCTTCGAGTGGCGTTCTCCACTTACACTGACAAACGGCGGCCGATGTCATGTACTCTAGCTCGAATACGGAATCAAAGTGGTTCTCCTTGGTGTAAAATACGCGAAAGTTATCCACACAGTGGCGATTAAAGGTCACGCCCGCGCCCATGTTGAACGGCTCATACAGGATCACATTGCGCCTGCCCCAAATAAGAAAGATTTCATTTTGCTGCACTGCCCTGCCCGAAGGACAGAAGAACCACACCACTCACCGATATATGAGGCACATGGCCCTCAGCTCAAGCATGGTGCCATAGGTCTTGGGCTTGGCCAACTCTCTGCAATACTTGTCGAAATTTCCATTAATATACTGCAAAAGAGTCGGGGGGAGAATATTAGCCCAGAGGGGAACGAGTATGTTTCGAGGAGCATTTTCGCACCTGCTCGAAGATGCGACGCTTGCGTGTCATAAAGCGTACACATTCCTGGCGCAGCTCGTAGTGCAGGTGCTGGGTGTCGTACATCTGCTCGGCAATCACACGGAAAAGGCTGGAGGCGTCGCGGGCCGTGTGCTTGCGGTACATACCGTGACTTTCCAGATATTGGTCAAACGGATCGGGTGCCTGGCGGCTGCCCGAGGTGACTGGGCGCACCATTTCCATCAATAGTGACTCCATGGTGAGACCTCTAGAAACGCAACAATATTTGCTCTATAATTATTGCACAAAAATCCACTGGAATTTCGCAAAGAACCTTCGAAGACGAAAAATTCTCAAACGTTGCAAGCAAAATTCCAGAATTCCACAAAAGCAACGGCGCTTTGCTGCGCAATTCCAGCGTCTGTGTGCGCTAGAGAGAGATGACGATATGTAACATCGTCAATGTATACACATTTTCAACATGGCGCCAGGGCGAACAAGACAAGGCAAATGGAGATCATCAAAAAATGTTATACTTGACGCCAATTTTGATACATATGCATGCATAAAATGTACAAACTTCTTACGTAACGTACCTTAACTCCTTGCAGTAATAGCAACTAATTACAAACTGCGATACCGGTCGAAAAAAAACACACAAATAACTAATTCTAAATATAAAATGAACTAGCCGGAATAAGGATGGCTGGCACACACGTAGGGAGAGTGGGCAAAAAAATATATGTAACGAAAATGTTAAAAAAAATTACACGAAACGACTCAAATGGGTTTTTTTTTTTTTGGCTTTTCTTCTATGTTATTTCCTTGCACTTGCACTGATTTTATTATATATCTTTCGACCGCCAGCTTCAGCTTATCCGCGTCCGTACACTACAGTAGATTCAAAGAGTTGGAACGATCTGCGTAGTGTATTGGAATTTCTTTCCAGCTTTCCAGTTGTACGAATGAGCGGGTGAGAAGGAGGGCGCTCAAAAAAAGAGTTGCCGCAAGAAACGGTGAAAAGGATAGATCGATAGGCAATTTTAATCTATTATCTTAATAAATTACTGCTGGTATTATAATTTGTTGAACTAATTTGAAAAACTATCCAAGCGCGGACTATAAATCTGGATGTTTAAATGCGCGGGCTACGGAAATCCAAAGGGACGAACGAGTGCGCAAGAGGGCGCTCCACATATCCAAGCGATCCAAGCGAGTTGAAATAATACATTCTTGTGAAATGTTAATGACTTTTAAATCTGGCTTTCATTAAAACTACTGTTACTATTAGAGGAAATTTACTTATATACATATTTTGAACACAAATATAACCAAAATATTTACTATCGATGTGTGCGGAGTCTATCGATACCGGAACATGTGTGCTAGGCCATCACCGAAAGCGCCAGGCTGCTGTGCATGCTGGGAGGGGAGAACAAGAAGAGCCGCCTCCTGTGGTTTTTGTTGTTGCCTGTGCCGCGTCTGCTGCAGAATGGGGTGGAAAATGCCGTCGCCGCATAGCCGTTGTTGTCTGCGCTTTTCTTTGGTTGTTGTTGCCCCGCTGGCCTCAGTTTGAAATTGCAAGTCAATGAAGCCAGGAGTAAACTTCAAGTTCGCGCTGTTACCGCGACTAAAGTTGTCTGGAAAAGATGTGAGTGTGTGTTGTTTTTGTTTTTTTTTTCAATTGTTAAATGTTGACTACTTCGTTTTGGTTATCTTGTAAGTGTGTGTCACTCCTACTTCTGTTTTTGTTCCGTTTGTTTCGACTTCTCTCGGTGTTTCATCATTCATCTGTGTACGCCCACCCACACCATTCCCCACCAGCGGCAATACCTTGCTGTTTTTCTCCCCCTGCATTTCGTCAAAACATAACCACAAATGTAACAAACAAAAGACGAAACAGTCATCAGAATGCAAAATAAAATCCCTCATAACCGACTACAACACGTGTGTGCGCCGTACGTCACGGAAAATCAAAGAAAACCATCTGATCCCTGCGGGAGAAAAGTTACGTTTGATTATGAAATTCAAACAATGGAATTGTGCAGTTATTTCCCCATCTACTCGTACATATCGTGCTCCTGCTCCCTTTGGCTGGGAGCTGACGCTGGTGGGGTAAAAATCAATAGGAGAGACAAAGCACGTGTTGTCTTTCCCCCGGAGTGAGTGCTTTGGTGAATCGATTAACTGTTTATCTAAGTTTATTGAACGCATGCAAAACATGGTCCCTCTCTCTCTCTCTCTCTCTCTCTTCAGGCCATCAGGGCATTCCCCCCTCTCTATTTTTTTCAATCGAACTCTTCTGTTCCTTTTCCATTTCTGGAGTTTCCACCCACTTACATATGTATGTATGTAAATACATTCATATGCATACATGTATATAATGTGCGTATGTTTTTGAGTATTTCTTTCATCTTCATCTTTATCAAGGTTTCGTGGTCAATGTCATGGCCACCAAGGAACCCCTGGGCTTGTGTTATGAAACTACACACATGCATACATACATATGTACATATTTTCTATAAGCAGAATGATTAAATCGAATGACTGAATTGGCATCTCCTTATCAATATCGGTCGGGAATTGCGGTTTCTCTTATACAACGATTAAAACTATCCTTCAAAAAAGTTATCTTATCGGAGTATAGCGCAACTCTGACAAGTACCCTCTCTTCGTCTTCTCCCTACCCCGACATGTCTTTCAGGCGCGACTTAACGCCAGCGTCGCGCTTATTTGATAACAATTTCCTTCTGCTCTGCTCTTTTGGTTCACACGTTGTTGCTGCTGTTGCGATTGTTTTGTTTGCCGGTCAGTCAGCAACAAAGATCTCTCGCTCTCGGTTTGTCAGTTGCCTTCGATCATTCGCGTTTCTGCCGAGGGAGAGAAAGGTAAAACATAAAAACATCGAAAGGCAAAGGCAAAGAACAATCGTAAAGGGGGTGGAAGACGGGAAAAATAACTCTTTTTTTTTTGCCAAATGTTAATTGTGAATGTGTGTGTGTGCGTGCGAGTTGCGTGGCGGCGCTGTCGAACCGGTTATTTTGCACTGTTATCTTTTGAAGTGGCCTACAGTGGCGGGCCAGTACATTATCCAGATTTAAGAACTTTAAATATTTGGTGTATTCTTTTGAGAATCTTTCACAAGAGAAGGTTACAGTGAATGGTGTTCAGTTGGAAGCACTTACTGTACTGGGTCTACTTTTCTGACCGCGACCGTAGACATTCGGAATCCGTTAATACAGTGGCGTGTCAGAAAATTGTGCGACCAAAAGAATTGGCAGTGCTGCCACGAGTGTATTTGTAGTGCTTTGATTTGATTTGAAATTTGTTCTTACTTTTTGTTTGCCTCGACATTTACCTTATGTACATATGTATCTTTCTTTTGGTTCTTTTCTTTTCACATACAAATCGAATACATTATACAAAACGCCCACCTACGCCACGCCCCCACACCCACTTGTTGTTGTTGTCGTAGTATTGGGACCGTGGCAACATGAAGCCGATTGACAGCCCTCCGAACAGTGGCGGCAAGAATAATGAGTCCAGATTGCGCCGCAGGCCTATACGTAAGCTATTTTTGTCACACTATCCCCACTCTACATATTACGTGTTACCATCCACACCCCCCTACCCCCCAGCACCTTGCCACGTAACTTTACCCCAACACCTCCCACCTAATCTCTCTTCTCTCTCCTGGCATTTTGTTCTTTGGTTGCTAATTTTAGTATTTAAATATAAACTAAGGCAGGGATTTGGGGCTTACTAATCCAATTTGAATCCATTAACACTAACCACCAATGGTGGGGGCCCCAACCATTTTAATCCGCATACCGTCCGGCTGTCTGTCTGATTTATGCAAATCCAGTCGCTGTTCTGTTTTTGAAGATATAACCAGGAACATCTCTTCGATTTTTTGTATTCTTTTTGATTTATTTAAGTTGCCTGTGTGTGTGTGTGTGTGTGTGTTTGTCGCTGTGTGACATCTTTTATTGCTGTTCCCATAATTTGCTGCACGCTATTTATAAGAAAACCGTGAAATGCATTTCGCATGCACTTTACATGCGCCATTAAAAAGTACCAACACTGCAATCCACTCGACTCCACTCGAGTTGTGCGGCAATTAATTTAATGTTAATTATTAATTTTGTTTATTTTTCTCAATACCAATTACATTATGCTTTGTTGTTGTCTTGTCTCTTTTTTTATGCTTGGCTTGAATGTGTGACCATGAAAATCAAAGTTTAAGGCCAGCGGCAAAGTGCAAGCAGTGCATGCACTGCACTGCTTAACCCACATAGTTGTTGTTGTTGTTGCTGCTGCTGCTGCATTTGTTTATTTTGTGTAAACAACTGCCATTGCACTTTCATTGCCATTGCCGCCTGCCAGGCTATTTTGTTGTTGTTGTTAACGGTTCCGCCGCTATGCTCAGCTGTTTGTCAGGGTTGAACTGCTGCCACTTGATAATCGTTTAATCGATAGCTTAGAGATGGACAAAAAATCACCCACAAGGTGACAGTCCCGCACAGTCCTGCATTATCCATCGCATAAGTTACACCCTTTACACGATTGGCATTAAACCTATCGTTTTTTTTTGGGAGAAAATGGGTTCTAAAACCATATACTATGGTATCTTATTTCAATGGTTATATTTCAAGATATTGCGAAAAGTAAGTATTGTAGGAAAGTAGAAACCGATTTGCCAATTGTGTGAATGGCAAAATCCATCGTTGGTAAAATATCGTTCTTTAATTGAATGACTTAACCTAGTAACATTTAACTGCAATTTAAATGTATTTTCATTGCCATTGTCGGGTATTCACCTAGCCTCAATAATCAGTCGATTACCCCCACCCCTAGCCCTTCATTGCAGCCATGCAAGGCAACGCCGCATAACGGTCAAGCGGTCGGCACCTGCGGATGGGCATACCTGTTACACGGAGAGTACAGCGACATGTATGGGGATCATTTTCTATCGCTCTTCTTGGGGAGATTATATTTATCTAAGGTTCCGACAAGATACGATAGCTGCCGTTGGAATTATCAGTTGAACATAAAAACCAACCGTTTTAAAAAAGTTTGTAGGTATTCATGCGTTATAGCAACATCTGATGACTACACGGGACGACTTCCAGAAGAACTTCCCGGAGCTTTACATACAGTCTTATTAAGTGCTCCCTCTCTAGAAGCTCAAGGGCTTACACGCGTACCCAATTGGGTGGGCTTTGAGGGTGAGCTTTCTAACTGGAATTCGGAGGCTGCCCTGACTCTGGCTTTGGCTGTTGCTGCTGCTTGTTATGACGTCAGTCAGCAAGGGGATTGTGGTAAAGAGTAATGCAAATATTGGTATTAACACCTCATCTTACGCTAGAGATGACAGACGACGTCATTTGTGCCCTGGAAATTAAGATAGTCCCGTAAATTGAGTAATTAATTTTGATCCCATTAAACGAAAATGCCAAAACACCGATTAATGATGCCGCTGATCTGCCGGATTTCCAAAGGGACTAACCTGGAATAGGCAGTAAATGTGAAATAATATCCGTAGATCGCCCACTATTTGTAGTGCCTACGAAACACATTTGTGTAAATAGCGCTCGATCAAATAGTGTCTGGTATTCTGGTATCTGGTACCAAAAAGAAACTGTCGCCCAACCCAGCCGCAACTTCAGTCGTTATTCAGAATCGGAGCAAGGGACATAGCGAAAAAAAATTGAAGAAAAATAAAATAATAAATTCTTGGGTCCACGTTGGAAACCCCCTAACATTTTTTTTTTGTCATGGATGGTCTGCTGGGCGGTACAGGACGGGGTCATGGCAGACACTATTGCGGCTATGCCCGCCTCATAAACACCTGCGATGACGAGAGCAGCGATGGGGCAGGTATGTTTGTTCTCTACTTTGTA